AGCCAAGACGGCCACTAGTCCCCGAGATAGGGTCGTCAGGACTATGTTGACGAAGGTAGGGAGGGCACTTGATCAGAAGAATACGGAAGTCGCTGCTTTGAAGGCAAAAAACGACTTCTTAGCCAACGAGTTGGAATCCAAAAAACCCTATTCACGTAAAAGGGTCAAAATAGACGCCAACGACAGATTTGCTACTATTGACGAAATTGACGAGGCTCAAAAAGCTAGTCAAAAGCCTCCCAAGAAGAGATCCAAGAAGACCAAGTCCAGGCCTGCACACTTGGTCCAGGAAGCTGAAGAAATTATCGCCCGTGGGCTTGAGCAATATAGGGCGATTGACGAGGACTAGAATGTACTTTCTTCTATAGAATTTGGCCTACAATTGAGTATTTTGACGATTCTTGTGGTGGGCGGTGATGGTGGTGGGCGATTGCAAAGGGGGGCGATTGCATAAGTGGGTCGCCCTGTCTAGTTGACTAGACAGACTCGCTCGACTTGCATTTTTCCAATCTTCCCTCTCTACAGACGACGACAAAAGAACGGAACCCCGATACACCTTTGTGGCCGCGACCAGAGTCAGAAAGACCAAGCTCGGGAGAGTGTGACGTGCAAAAAGGTACGGCGACCGAAGTTAGAAAGACTAAGCGCGAGGAACAAGGATGCGCACGACGTGGGAGAGTGGCGAGAGTAATGTGCTGGCGACGGTCTTGTACCGTTGTAGATTGCAGACACAAGAGGGCCTTTTGGCGGGGAGGATCTCGACGCTGCATTATTTGTCGGACATTTCCTGATATTCATTCTCCTCTCCGCTGCAAAACACACAGAGAAAGAGACTTGATATTATAGCTTGCGAATGATAGGTGCACAAATCTGGGGCCATATTTCAGCTTTTGCTCGAAGAACTCCTGAAAATTCTCAAAGAAAGACGTGGCTATGCACGAGCACATATGCCTTGTCTAAAACCCATCTGAGCTGGAGGAACATCATCCCTTCATATGCGCTTGAATGGTTTCTGGATACGCTAGCCTGGTTGACACATTGTGGTCCGTCAAAGTTGTAACCAGCTTCAAACGAGGCATGGCAATTCTGGTTCAAAACTTCAAACTGCAAAGGACCTTGATGTATTAGGATAGAAGAGAAATGAACGGAAAGGCTCTTTCAAATCCCCATGCTACTTTTAGGGTTCAGCCACTCATGTTCGCATAGAGACAGTCCAAAGAAGCATCTTCTTTCTTTTCTCACTCTCCGCAACCTGTCTCTCCAAACGACATGCCCTGCGAGTCCATGGCCGCCTGTCCCATTTGACTCCGCCGAGGAAGCCTGGCTGAAAAAAAAAAGTGGAATGACTGGCCCTGCATTGGGAGCTGAGTGGTTCAGCTGTTGCGCGGTCGAGGATCGAGGTCAAAGGTTGACGAGCCTCCGCGAAGGAACTACCATGCCCCCCCCCCCAACGGATCACCCTAGCAGTGGATCACCCTTTTACACCAAAACACTACATCTTTGAACAGCAACAGCGCACTCAATTGTGGAGCTATTGACAAGCCAAATATGGCAAAAAATAGCTAGTTGACTATTTAATCCATATATTGTGCTGGCACACGAAGTGCACGGCCAGATCTTGTCAGTCTTACAGGCACCTCTTCTTCTTCAGCCTCTTCTTCGACCTCTTCTTCAGCCTCTTCTTCAGCCTCTTCTTCATCATCCACCTCTTCAATTTGAGGCTCTGCTTGAGGCTCTGCGGGAACCACGCCGCCTAGTAGTATAGTCCCTAGGTCCATGAACCGCTTGTTAGGATTGGGAATTTTCCTTCGTTTTCGGGGCCTAATACGTTCCAGTTGAGCCTCTAGGGCTTCAATACGGTGCTGTTTGAGTATTAATTCGGTCTGAAACTTCTCAACGGCCGCCGTAGCTTTCTGGAACTTCCATCTTGTCCGGGGACTACTTCCTTTGCTAAAATCCCTAATCTGACGCCATATAGTGGTGTACTAGGGACTCCAGAGAGGACTGGGGGTCTAGGGGTCTTTGCCCTGTCTTGCTGAATCTCTGAGTGGTTTAGGGGTTTTGCCTATTAATAGGCCAATTTCCGGTCGTCCGGAATAATGATTTGATAGTTCTTCTTATTAATGCTTCCTCCCTAGCTACCTTATAGTATCGAATGAAGTTGATCTTGTCAATAGGAACTACGTCGGTTAGACTAGCTAACTTAGCTAGCTTACGTCTATAGAGAGCTTTAATAGAGTTGAAAGGCTATTACAAACCACTCGACTGTTAGGGTCGTCTGTCTGTAAGGGAGCACGGGCTCCACAGGATGCTGGGGTTGGTAATTATGAAGATAGAACAAAGGGCAAGCTCCTATCGCACGGGTAATACAGTCAAACCGGAATGCCACTCAAAGTGTATGAGTGCAGTGAATGTGTATTGCTTGCTTGAAGAACCAAGCAAGAACTATCTAAGACCGTGGGTACGGTCATCATATATATCTATCTGTAGAACCAATAAAAATGGTCGCAGGGTCCCGGCCCCCGTGCCCGGGACGCGGGACCTGAAAGAAAGGTCCCGTGTCCCGCGAACGGGAAACGGGACACCTCTTATTGGCTGTCAACCAGACCCGGTCCCATATCCCGCGCCAGAGGCGTGGAACACTCCTGATTGGCCGAGATTGACTCAGCAGGACTCACCGAGGTGCATCCCTTCAGGGATCCGTAACAAAGGCCCGTTATTAAGTGGCTGTAAGCCGTGAGAGGTGTGGGCCGGTAGGAAGCAAAGATATATATTATTCAGGCCGCATATCGCCATGAAGTCGTCTTATATATATATATATATTATAATATCACTAGATCAAAGAGCGTACGGGACTTATCTCTTATGATTTTGTGGCTACCGTAGCTATTAAGAATAAGCAGCCGAGTCTTATTCTCGCAGTCGAGGAGCCTATCGGTTTATGGAATGAAAATATCCTCAAGCTAGTTAATCGCTATTTGGTTGTCAGTCCAGCTCTTTTCTGTAGTAACGAAGCGACAGTTGTAGATTTTGTGAGGACACGTCCACCAAACTGGCCCTCAAGCAGCCAGAGCCGCTCAGAACCCCCGGGCCTATCAGAAGCCTCCTCGAGGCCCCACCTACCCCACTGAAAGATGAAAACTTATTCGCGAGCACGCGACGCGTTGTCGGACTTTTCCTTCTTTCCCTCCTCAGTTTAGAATCTTCGTCGATAGCACCCAATGGACTGAGTTCACCTTGTCACGGCCGGCTTGGAATGAGGGCGGAACTCCTCTATTGGGCGCTATAGACGAAGATTCTAAACTAAAGGGAAAAGGGAAAAGAAGCTCAAAAGCCTCCCGTCGCGAGATTCTTCCAGGGCGTCTCAAGGTGGGGCTCTGGCTGGTCGGGTGGATCCACCCAACTGGCGTCTGATTAGCCAGAGCGTCTGGGAGGCCTGGAGGACCAGGCCCTCACACACCTCAATGCCTTGCCCTGGTCGTGATAGATTTTCTGTATTTTCTCTTCAAATTACGATGTTTGAAGGTCTTTTCCTTTAAAAATGATGCCCGGGTTGAGTGCTAGGCCACCGGTACCGATGTATTCGATAATGGTGGACTAGCTACGACCTTCATCGCTTTTTGGGCAGGCTTTCTTCGTCTCTGATGTCTCTAGGACTAATGAATCAAACCCTATATGGTATAAGTAGTAGATAATATAACTAGGTATTGTTTACTTACTAAAGCCCGCCATAATGCCGGCCTTATCGACGTTGAAGGTGAGCTCAGGCCTAATCTAGTCGTATTCTTTCTCCCTTATATTGAAGTACCAGTTGACGGCTTTGTGAGTAAACCCGTTAAAACGAGCGGCTTCCATTTTCTTGCCTACTTTGGCTCGAATGTCGGAGTTTCTAGCTTTGAAGCTAGAAATCCAGTTTTTCCCTATAGGGCTTATTTGCCCTGCTTCTTTATAGAGTCTTGTAGCAATGTTAAATACTATTGAGTAACTTGGAGCAAAGTCGAGTCTTTCCTACTTGACGATCCACTTAATGAACCCCTTTTTTTGAGGCTGTGTGAGCCTGCGTTGTGTTCGGAGAACCTCTTCTTAGGGGGGGACTCCGTTGAGTCGTCGGCTCAACGTTGTATAAGGAGCTCTATGCTTTTGAGCCGATTGGCGAATAGAAAGCTTATTGTCTGTGACGTCTAGGTACGCATTGACCATATTATCGTCACTTTGTTCAGACATTGTGGTAGTACAAGACGCAATTCAGACTCAAGGTAGGGGGAGAAGAATGTCAGGGAGCTAATTTAGAGTTAATTTGGAGTTAATTTGGAGTTATTTTGCGATAATGTAACGAAAAAAGTAGGGCTTGGGCTGACAAATCCATACTAAGATTAACGTTAAACTACATGTAATTACATAAATAGCTCAATTGTCTACTTGTGAGGAGCTTCACAATTGTCTACGTTATTATCGTTCAAAAGGGAGTGTTTTGGTGTAAAAGGGTGATCCACTGCTAGGGTGATCCGTTAGGGGGTGGGGTATGGTACAAAATTGATGGCTTCACAGTTGGCTCCTTGATTTGGGGTTGACATCGAGACCGTCACCCATGTCGTCCGCAGTCACAATGATGTCGGTGGGAAACAATTCATTCTCTAGAGTCAGTGTTTTACCTCTCGGTGACCGATTCATGTTCTTCGGGTTTTGGCTGCCTAGTTGTGCTACTTTGCCGACTGCGAATCACCGTATTTTCTAAATGTGGATTCCTGCTCCCAGTGGCCGGGGAGATGTTGAGTATGGTGCGATCCGTCGAGTACACAGAATAGCACAACGAGAAGAGACTCACCAAGAACGGCTGCCAAGAGCACTTCTGGCGCGAGTTAACGACAAATTCAAAGACATCTAGACTAGATATTAATTACAAAGGACAAAACAACGCTAACACCTATGATGAGCCAAAGTCGGTCTATTATTATGCACCCGCTGCCACAGAGACAGACACAAACACCCCCGCACGCCGCCTATGATATGATGACATCAAAGCAGCTGCTCCACTGGGGCGCGTTGCTGACGGTTTCGTTCTTGAAGCTCCAGAGCCAGACGAGCATGTGGCGGCCAGGCTCCATGTTTGCGGGCAGTGTGACCGTCATCCAATTGCCCTTGTCAATGAGGCCGAAGTCGGGGTCTACAACACTTTTGTCTGCGGGGAGGGCGAAGGATTCGTCGGAGAAGCCGGCCTTGGCGATTCTGGTCTTGTCGGTGAGGTCGTCGAGTGTCTTGAGCTCGGTCTCCTTCTTGCCGGCCCAGAAGACCTGGACGTTGCCGGGGTCACCGTTACCGTTGGCGCCTTTGCCGCGTGAGTGGCCGTTGCCGCCGTAGCGCAGCGTGATGGTGCCGCCGGCCTTGGCGGTGGCGATGGGGGTGTTCGGCCCCTGCGGCTTGAACTCCCGCTGCGGCGGGCTGCAGGCACTGCGGTCGTTCAAGAAGACCGCGGCATTGATGTTCCACGCAATGGTTGTCCCCTCCACCTGCCAGTTGCCCGGGTTATCCTTTGCGCGGGGCCATCCTTTACAGAACTCGGGGTGAAAGCTGCGGCCAGTTAGTAATCATGGACAACCATGGTTCAGGGCGGCATCATGGTGGGCACCTACACAGGATCGGCGGGATCAACGGGGTTCTTCTTGGCGCCCTCTTCCATCAATTTTATCTGGGGGGCCTTGTCGAAGTCAACGCACTCGACCCAGGAGTGCGCAGCCGCGAATCCGGCCACTGACAGGGACAGGTACGTAAACACGGAGAGTTGCATCTTGGAGGGTTTGATGATACGATGGGATGGGTAGAAAATAAGGAGCGTTTTACAGAATCTCTGGCTGTTTCGTCCGAGGGCGCCACGCATATTTATGTCGGAGCAGATGTCGGAGATGAGGCCTGTTGCAGGCCCAAGCAACCCAAGGTCTGCCTGATGTCGGAGTTGCTATTGTCAGGCCATCATCGCCTAGCTGTCGGGTCGGAGTCGGACATGGGATGAAGAGAATTAGTTCTGATTCAGGGGTGGCTGCAGATTTCAGACCAATGACTAGGCAATTGCTCGAAACATTTTGTTTGAATGTTTCGCGCCTGTCTGTCTGTCTGTCTGACCAGTGAAGCGGGCGCTCGACTTTGGCAGTGGGGATGGGCTCGAAACGACCTGCAGGCTTGCCCTGCCAAGCGAAACCTTTTGGGCCAGATGAATCGCCGCGGCCTTTGCGCCGGCCCAGCTACCAGGGTCAAATGTGCAAAAACGCGGCCGGGCTAGCCGCTGGCCAGGGCAATTACGCAATAAGTCCGAACTCAAAGGGGAAAAAGAACTCGAGGCCGCCGGCCTGAGGCTAGCAGGACCGGGGGAGACGAATTGCAAATGGAATCGAAGTTGGAATCGAAGTTGTGCCTTTCGGACTTTGGGGGTTGCGCTGTGCTCCCTTGCCGCTTGCTGTGAGCCCTTCCGTAAGGTTCCAAGTCGAAATGTTTCATTGCACCGAGCTGCCATCTGTGTCGCCGTTTATGCACTATCCCATGTTCCTGATAGAGGTCAGCGACCGCAAATGCAGCCGCAAAATGGAATGACGTGAAAATCGGAAGATTCTGCGAGACAAAAGTCGGCGGGGAGCCATCCTTGCTCCCACAGTGGACCAAGCCTGCTGCGCCGGCCTGACAAGCCACCGCTCCTACCTGACAAGGCGCCGACCCTGCCTGACAAGGCAATGACCCCACCTGAGTGGCGCACCTGAGACGGTGTGTCATGGCCCAGCAGACATGTGATGTTCTCGCTGTGATTGGGTGCAGTGGACTTTAGAGTGTGGTCAAAGCTCCTCAAGGGCTCGCTAAACCCCTGACAGATTGACATTAGCCATCCAGGCGACCCAGGTTTTCGTCCGGAGTCCGGTTCATCGTCCAGCCACATCGTACACCTTGCTCGAACGGGAAGCCGCCCATGCAACGACAAACCGCTCTCTCCTTGAGTCTTCGGGGGTCTACACTGTCCTTGACCGGGACTGGCAAAAGCCAGAAGGAGGGTTAGGGTTTGCCCGGATTCCATTTTAGAAATGGCAAACAATCCATTCCGCGGGTTGGCTGCAAGACCGGCCGCCACTGGCCGAGACTACCAGACCCGGTTTCATTCATGTTTTCACGTCGCAGCGACAGGCTTCCAAGCTTTTGGCCTGCACCTCTCTATGTGGGCTGTTATCCTACAAATTCAGCGAATAACTCGTGCTGCTGCTGCTGCCAAGCGTGTTTCCTGGGTCAGCTTTGAGCGGACCTTCACGCCAGAAACACTGGTTTGGCTGGGCAGTGCATCCGCGGAATAAGGAATTCACAATCGGAGTTATCTCTTCCGATCGTCGAGGGTTGAACCAAGAGGTCATCTGAGTAATCCACAACCGGCCGGATTCAAAAGGGATGGTTGAGTGTTGAGGGAGCGGGGAAAAGCGCCTGGCGTGATGTCCATCGGCTGATGACGTGCCCAGTGTAGACCCAGGCCACCCACCCAATGGTCCCAATTCCCCCCCCCCAATCAAGCCGCACAACCTTGCCAACCATGTCTTCCATCCCAAATTCCTCGAGGCACGAGCCTTTCTCTCGTCAGCATCCCTTTCTCGACTCTGGCGTCCTATCTGGCCACATCCTCGGCTTTCAAGCCACGTCCCATGTTCGCAGCCATTCAGATGGCGGCAAAATCCGTCGGTCCGAAGGGACCGAGGATGAGCAAAACATTGCAAGCGACGCGTTGGCTAGACATTGACATTCATGTATATGCCCAGCACGCCCATCACGAGCCGGCCATACTGCCGACTTACTTCGGTGACAGATCCTACGACCTCGCCGACGACGTGACTTCACAGGCAACGAAAGGAATAGCGAAGCATCCAGCAATTAAGAATTTGAAACGGCCTTGTCCGCTGCCATATTATAATTAATCCCCGGGGACTGAGAAACAGCAGAAAAAGACCCGGGTGCCAGATGGAGGGTGTGCAAGTCAAGAAGCGCGCCCCACGTCCAGCGGTTGATCCGAGTTCCGCTGCCTGTGACGCATCCCTTGTTCCTCTGCCTGTACTTTTATTCCATCCTTGGACTTTTGGCATGGCGCCTCTGTGATTGAATGCTTCGCTCAAATCACTTTAGTCTGTGTATGGTGATGGGTGTAGGCAAGTATTTTACGTTGGTGATAGATCTAACTGTGGAATTCGCTCCTTAAGTAGAAAATGATAAATAAAAAGCTTTGTTCAGCCAAGCTATGTGTTTCTCGTTCGTCCAAGATCCTTGTGGTCTTGTAGCGTCTAGCATATTCTTCCAAAACAATGACCTAGCAAGACTTAACACAAAGCCAAGACACTCTAGCCTTCAGTCACAACTCACAAGGTGATAGTGGTCGGCGGTGCCTACTAGCTTAGACAAGAAAATGATGAACTGAAATAGGGGAAGCATAGGTATTACCAGAAGTAAGTTGCTAGTTTGGATTTGCGGAATTCGATCGCCTTCCAGTGAACCAGCTGTCACAGGCACATAATACTGAGAAAAAACAACATGGTCTTATTTTGAAAAGATATACGTCTTTCATTGCGTATCCCTAGGTACTCACTTGTCTGACTTTGAATTTCCTTCATGACCCCCTATGATGTCGTCAGGGACTCTCTCCTGACGTCAATTATGCTCCTCAAAGCAGAAATATAGTAAGATTAGGTGATCGGAATTGATATCATGGGACCCAAGTCGTTTGTGCACGTGCATCCGTGTCAAATCCAGCCACGTCGATTCCAGATACACGGTGTCACTTTAGTATAGCCCGTCTAAGTGCGTCTAACAATGCCGTACTTGGTGATTGCTGGTGCTGGGGAGTACGTCTTAGTATGTAACTGCCTATTTCTAACTATAGAAGTGGCAAACCCGCACAACTCACGCCACGGGGACACAAGCTGCCCAGCCAATGCGAGACTATCATCAAAGCCGGGTGGTTAAACGAAAAACTTCAGTCTTGGGCGAGCCATATGGACGATTATAGGGGCGATATGCGTGAATCTACATAGAGTCGGAGGAAAAGGATTGCTCTTGAGTATTGAACAGAAACTGAGTAGCGAGCTTTCTGAGCTGCATTGTTGGCGGTTGGTTTTAAGGTGCCTGCTTCGACTAAACCTAGATTAGGGAATATTCGCCTTTGGTAACGGCCATTAAATGATGGGCTGCCCGTTAAATGGCGGCTGCGATTAAGCAAGTTTTGCCTCCTTCGTTGTAATACGGGATCCACTAACGCATGGTAGGAGAAAGCCCCGCGTCAGGTGCCTAATACGAACTTGCCAGGCCCTTCTCGCTGCTGGAGCGGTGTTGCTTGGCAGATGGTCCTGTCTCTAAAAGTTCTAGTTATAAAGAAAACTGCCCAGCCATCCTTCTGACACCAACAATCGCTTTTGAGAAATTTCCTGGTTCATCCCGTGCAATCCTCATTGACACGAGACGCATCTCAATAGCCTTCCTCCGTATCACCTATCCCCCATTTTCTGGTCTATCACTATCAGGCTGCTTTGTGCCCTCATCGTACTACTTAACAGGCCTGCTGAGGCTGCTGGCATATCTTTCGGCCGTTTCCACGCATGCCCCGAAATCTTCTCCCAGATCTCCGCCTAGTCAAAGATCCACTCAATAAATCCATGAAATTTCACAAGCCGACAAACTAGAGTGCTAGCCTTCCGAGTAGCGCAGACCTTTTGGAACTAGCCGCCGCTGCCCTTGCCAATATGGTCAGCAATGACTGGAAGACTAACCGGAACTCCAGAACCAGTGACAAGAGCCGCCCTACAAATGCCATGACTGGTGAGTCTGGTCAGTCTGGCCACGGCGGCGAGGATCAGCGTGCAAAAATCAACAACAACAACGACAGAGGTGACGGCGTCTCTAATCTAGCCAAGGACAATGATACTGGCACCTTGGCAAACCGAAACCCGAGCCAAGTTGCCCCACGTCCTTCGTTGTCAACGACTAGACCCAGAGTGAGCCAACTCAGACTTCAAGGTAAAAATAAGAATGCCAGCTCAGACGAGAACGTGGATAAACACGGAGACGAGGGCAATGGCATCGACACCAGCAGCAACGGAAGCAGCGGCCCCGGATCAGCCAGCCTTGGCACTTCCCAGAATCTTAACGAGGGGAACGACAATGGCCGAAGGCAACTTCCCAATTCTCGACGTCGCCCCTCCGACCAAAGCCAGGTCGAAGACACGGCAGGCATACCAGCCGACCGAAAGGTAGTGGCAGAAAAACTCAAGACAGGCACCTTCCCGACAGCAGTGAGCAGACAGCCGTTGTCAGCCGGACACTCAGATACCACGCCCGGGCAGCGTGCGAGCCCGGCCGTTAGCACCGTTCCCCCCAGCAACAACGACTTCAGACCAGCCAAAGCTAGCCAGCCCACAAACGTTGTTGTCAAGGGACAGGGCCAGAAGGTGAACCACGGCACGGGCAAAACCAGCTCCTCGATGCAGCCCAGGCCCACTAATGGTCAGTCGCCGGCCTCTTCCAAATCTGGGCCGGTTTTGGGTCATTTTAATCCATCCGCCAGCCCAGTTGGCAAAGGCCAAGCTAACCGGAACATCCCCGTTACTCCCGCTGGTGCAACCCCTTCCGGTCCCGTCCGCTCCAGCGTTCAAAAGCGGGCCATGCCTCCTGACGATGACGAGGACGAGTACGCAGACACCTTCCCAGACGGAGAGCCCAATAACCGGAGAGCCCCGACCAAGAAGACCCTTGCCAAGAGACCCCGGGTCCGTAGTGTTGATCCAGAAGGAACTTTCAGAGGCAGGGTTGACGCCGTGGGACGTGACTACAACCTCCGGTCCAGTGTTTCTGTTGAGGTACGTTCAATCAAACAGCCCACTGACACATTTCAATCCCCTACACTGTACTCGACGCGCTCTACGCAATCTTTCAAGTCTCCACACAGCCTGAGGACAGCCGAGGTCAACCATCCCACCAGCATCAGAAATACTAGTTGTGCCTGCCTGAAACACGCGACGTTTTAGCTAACGAGATATCCCCGCGTGTTAGGGCGGCAATGAAGGTGGTAGCAATGATGATGACGACAATAAAGACGATGACAATGAAGACGGTGACTATGAAGAGAATAGAAATGAAGACGATAGTAACGAGGACGACAGCAATGAGAACGACAGCAATGAGAACGACAGCAATGAAAACGACAGCAATGAGAACGACAGCAATGAGGACGATAGTAATGAAGACGACGGCGAGTCTCAAGCGGATAGTGACTACGGCATCGTCAATGACTCGGGAAGATTCTCGGACCACGGGAATGACGAGGACGTCCCGGATGACGTGGAAGCCATGGGTGAGCACAAAGATGCCCAAATCAATAGCCCACAATATGTTTTCCCGTCCTGTCGCTAACCGAAGCTCTTTTCAATGGCACAGATGTCAGTGCCGTAGAGAACAATGCCGTAGAGAACAATGCCACAGAGACCAATGCAGCAGAGAACGATGCTGCAGAGACCAGTGCCACAGAAAATGAGGACGATACGGGTTGGGATGTCGAGAAAATTGAAGATGAGATGTACCTTGACGACGGGTCGTCTAAGTACCTCATCAAGTGGAAGATGCCCGGTGCGGCTGACTCTTGGGAGCCAGAAAAAAATCTCGACCCGGAACTTATTGACGAGTGGGAGAAGTCTAGACCACTCTGAGAGGCGGGAGGAGGGGTGGGCGAGGGCAGGGAAATAGGAAGACCGTTAAGAGTGCAGCCGTGAACAAGGAGAATGAAGGGGCGGTGGCTTGGCGAAAGGGAGCAAGGAGGAAAGGGGGGTGAGGGGTTGGGTTGGTTGTTTGTTTGGACCATACAAAGATAAGCTATGGGCCTTGTTCTTGTACACTAGTTTGGGGTTTCTTCTCTTGGCCGACTTGCAGCACCTCTAGGAGGTAGACTGAGCCTTAGACTTTTAGGCAGGCGTCGATCTTTTTTCTCATTTCGGCACTTCGTTTTCATTAGGGATTTGCTATCTTGTACTATAATTCGAGGCCGCAGAACAGTGTGTGCTATGTGTTTCGTTTTTTTTCTTTTCTTTTTTATTACTCTCTGCGTAACTAAGTCTTTGATCCCTTTGACGTGCACTCGCTCTCACCGTTATATTATTCTGCGGACCTATAACTAATTGAGTAGAAGACGAAGCTTCTACTCCTTCGCCATTATAGCCAGGTTCCTACAAGTTACCCCCCGAGCCTAAAGTGCATCCTTAACAAGTTTTGGGTTTGAATCCTTAATTATAAGAGCTTCGGAGAAAAGAGCGTCAGAGAAGTTATGTGGCCCAAGTGCTGGTATCTTTTGGTTGGCAGAGCAACGGAGGTACCAAGGTATCTTTGTCGTTTCCGACGATTTCACTCTACTCTTATTTGGTTTGCAGTCGTTACGCTGGCCCTACTCTCATTTCTTATACGCTTACCCCCACCTTTTAGCAGGCGGCGACGATTTTCTTTGCCGTTCGAGTTTTTTCGAGGCTCTTTCTTGCTTTTGCTTCGCTTGTGCTGTGCTCTTCTCTTTGCCACCAACGAGGATATATCTGAGCATTTTGTCATTTCCTATATTCATGCCGCCGGTACCAGTCGTCAAGATGATGTGGGCGGCTAGCACCAAGTCCAAGTTCGGAATGGACCTCGGCCGGGCTGGCGCCCTCTCTGCGCCTCAACCGCCGTCGTTGCTACCGCCAGATGCCGTTGCTGTCGCTGCTGCTAGCGCCTCAGGACGCGAGAACAACAAGTCTAGCGATGACGAGGAAGTCGGGGACACGCCCCAGGATGGCGAGAATAGTATGTTTATTGTCCCTTCGCGCGATTTGCCGCCATATCTGTCACGTGCGGCCTCCTTTTCTACCGCAACTCCTCATCTCAGATTTCTGCTCTGCTTCTGTTTTCAACACTTTAATCGGACCCTTTCCTTGGTGCTGGCCATGATTTCTCCCTCTCGTACCAGCTACTCAATCTGCCACATCGCCGCCAATCTTTCTGTCAAGCCTCCTTCGTCTACATATCCGACCGACCATCCGCACTATGCTAACCCCTTTCTCAGAGTCCACAGGCATCGAGGCCCAGATGGAGGTCATCGATTTTCTCTTCCCAAACCGCGAGCAGCTGCCCCCGTCGGCATTTGATGGCATCGGCACGGGCCCGCCTGATGAAACCCTGCAGGACCCGGACAATGCGCCGCGTAAATTCAATTCGAAATGTTTGGACCTGAAGGTAATCAGAGCCTTGAAGACGAAATGCAAGCGGGATAATATACCCTTGATTGAGGAGATAGAGCCGCATGTGTGTGTGGAGATCTACGACGTAAGTGTTGATTTCTATTCATTCCTCTCTCTGCCCACAAGCCTCGAGGAGGCCACTGTCAAGTGGTCCCAGACTCTCTGGCCTTCCCTGATATCCCTCAACTACTAGATTGTGACCCTGGTCGGTATTGGAGACACGCATATCCTCTCTGCTTGCTTCTTTTCCGCCTATCCCCTTTTCCTCTTCCTCGGCCCTTTTCGTCTTTGAGGATTCATTCCTTACTTGTTTCATACCACGCGGGTGTCCGGGCTAGTTTCTCGATGCTCCCTCTCATGTCCCGTCCCTTTCTTCACCTAGACGGCGTCATTGCCGTTGTCGTCGGCTTTCTCGCTCCCTGCTACTCTCCCATATCCGTCTCAGCCAATTTTGCATGATAGGCACTTGGCAGCTTGAACTTTCCTTTTGTACACCCTTATATCTCTCTCGAATTCTTCGACAGACTGCCGCTCATTCTTTTCCCTGCTAACCCTACGTCGCTACACAGTGTATTATCGTGGCTGACGCGTCGTCCATGGGTCGGCGGACGAAAATCGACGGGCGTGAACCCCAGGAGGCCCCAAACGGGTGGGGATTCGAGATGATGCCAGACTACCAGTCCGATTCCGACTTGGACGACGTTCCCGCTGCGTCGTCTAAGCCCGACCGCTCTGCGGGGCGGCCCCCGGCACATCGCCACCGTCGTCTGCCTCTCCCTCCACCCGATCCCCGGCCCGAATACGACCCCGTCGTCGCAAAGCAGAAAGTTGGACGAAAACATCCCAAAACCAAGCCTGACGACGACGAAGCCGTCGAGAAACCCGCCACTCCCCGCCGTGCCGCCGTGCCCACCGCCAAAGCCCGCGCCGCGGCTGCAGCCGAAGCCACATCTCTCTCCGGTCCGGCCGCCGCCGCCGCCGCCGCCACACCGCCTCGCTCCCGCCGGGATGCTGTCTCCGCTGCCTCGCCCGCACCCCCCCATGGCGAACAGCGCCGGCCCTGTGGCCGGTGCAGCGAGAAGGGCCTCGTGTGCGTGCCCAGCTCAGTCTGCACCGAGTGTGACCGTGCTGGCGTGCGCTGCGAGCGCGACAGGCCGGAGCGCGCCTACAATGCCTGCAGGAGGAGGAGAGTCTGTCTTCGCGTTGCCAAGTGTGCCAAGTGTGACGAGTGCTACAGGCACGATGCCGAGTGCGTGGTCCCGGGAGACGGGGACTGATTGACGGGTTTCGGTGTGTGGTGTTCGTTGAAGAAAGGGGTGGTTTTGTTTTGTTTTTTTCCATGAGGATTGGACTGGGTTTCTTTCCTATCGTCGGCTGTTTGCTTTTGCTCCTGGTGGGGGCTTTTATATCGGCGGTTTCTCCTTTTCTTGAATCGGAACTATTTTCTTGTATCGGGATTATTTTCCTGTATCGAGACTATTTTCTGGTATCGGGACTATTTTCTGGTATCGGGACTATGAGATTTCTCAGAGGTTCGTGCTTGGGTTGGGACTGGTTTTTTGTGGCGCTCACTCCGCTCTAACCGGAGCCTCCTTGTTTGGCGGCGTTCTGTTTTCTTCGCGGAGTTCCCTCTGGCTAAAGGGGAGGAGGGGGAGGAGGGGGGCTGGCTGGTGAAGCTTGGTCTGTCTGGGCAAACCCGGATTTGGAAGAGTTAATGGATGATACCCGAGTTCTGGCACCGCCCACAGCTTTACCATGCGTTTCTACTTTTCCCCTTTCCAATTTTGATTTCGCGTCTCTGCCTCTGGATTATTGGAAAGTATTTCGTAGTACACACTCAATCGACTACTTGACTTCACGTGCTATCATTTAAATACTAATGTGTTTGCGATGGTGTAATGCAGACCAGTCGCCAAGGGCGAGGAGCGAACTGCACGTTGGTGAGCTCAATCGTCTATCAGACGCCAACCTACAAAAGATTAGTGTCGAGAAGGACAACAGTACTTAGACCCTTACGGACGAAGCCACAAAGGCCATTGAAGATTGGATCACAAAGAATAGGACTGAGAATGAAAAGGGGGATTGAGCACATTGGGATGATGATCAATCATCTTGGTTGGGGGTATTGTTGGCTCACCACTCCCTCTGGTAGCCAGCGTCCAGGGCAAGGATAGGATGCTCCAGCCCCAGACCGAGTAGTTATACGGCCCTGAGGGTTCCCAGTGGGAAGCTAGACGAACCTCAGACCCCTTCTCCAGGTCGACCCCGCTAATCTGAGTATTAGTTCATGGATAAAGTCTGCCCCATGATTGACGAAATCCCCGAAGACGTCAACATACCGGTGGTTCAAGCAATGCAGCGTGCCATGATTAAAATGGCAGGCGAGGTCCGGAGGAGAACACCCGAGAAAAAAGCGCAAGAAGGTCATCATTGAGTAGGACAATACCTGCCTCTCGCCGCCACCTCGTAGCTAACTCGCCCTAGGTCCGTCAACGGGTACCCGGACTGGTGCGAGCCCTGCGTGGTGACCATGGCCAGCAATGTCGATGCCGAACATCGCTGTGTCGCGCGTATTGGTAAGTGACTCGTCTTGGTGACCTCGCTATGTGCTCGTAGCTTACCCTCTCAGGCTCGGACTCCACGAAATGCAAGCTCTGTAGCGGCAATCGCCGTACCAACGCTCAATGCCACACAGTGAGTTAGGTTACTCTCCCTGTGAGTTCGCTGCTGACCCCCTGTGAGGTCTGTCCGAAGTACAGAATTCTGGTGCCCAGTTGTACCAGGAGGCAATTATTCAATCAAACCCGCCAAACCGAAGAAAGACCCTCTTAAGGACATTAAAGTCACGGTTGACTTTGACGGCCATGGCTGCGACCGGGATGCAACCATGCAGATTGCCAACAACGCGTACAAGCTCCACCGCGGCCGTGAGATTACCATCACCAAGCAAAACATCGGGTGACGAACGCGTGAGGCGTGCGCTAGTTCGTCGTCTTATCCTCGTATTCGTCATTCCCGTCGTCTTTTTGTCTCTTCTCATTTCGTCTCTTGTTATCGTTGTACGAATAACGGCCTGAGACCTTGACATAGTTGGGATTGGTCTCGACAGTCTAGTCTTGGTACCATCTGTTTTCTGAGGATGATGTGAACATGAATGACATCAAATTGAGAGTCGAGTTTTGTTATACTCTAGAAACAACCCGTGTGATAGGCCTTCACCTTTCGTTTCAGAGCCATTTTGCAAGCAAAGGCGGTCGGCAAATGGTACAGGGCCGTGGAAAAACAAGTTGAAGTTGTTCGGGTCATTCTTCGGTGCGCTTCTCCGTATCCGTTTGGGGCTGCCTCCCCTGACAACAAGCCGGACCTGCTCCTGCACCCGCCAAAGCAATCGATCCCAAATCTACCCTCCTGGTCGGAGGATCGGCATCACTCTCCTTCTTTATGTTCCTAGCCATCCTTCAGAGATCACGTTCTACCGCTGTGAATTAAGATTCCCGGACTAGTGCGTTCTTGTAGCAGTCTATTTGTCTGTCGTTCGCGTTGTCATTAAAGCCAAGGTGCCCCGTTCAACAAGAGCTGGCGTGAAACTAGAACCCTCCAGTCAGGCGATAGTAATGAAATCAGCGAAAATCACAAAAATCTCGGCCGCATTAATGAGAAGCCCGATTCTCGTTGGGAATAGCCTTGAAGCCAGGGATGGATAACAAAATTGGGACCCTGCCAAGAATACGCGACCCTCGTGGGTTCTCGGTGATATTCTTCGTGGGTTCTCGGCGGTATTCTTCGTAGGTTCTCAGCAGTATTCTTCGTGGGTTCTCGGCGGTATTCTTCGCAACGACTATTATCCACTCCGTGATTAGGGTACGGAGCATACTAACTCCAACCACCATCCATTCCACAACCATCATCCATTCCCCAACCACCATCCATTCCCGCGTCGTCTCAACAAGTAACCAATCAACAAATCGCACCCCTCCCAGCCGACCTCGAACCATGACCGTGACTAGTCCACAGGCGACTCAAGCCTCGGTGCAGACGACGCGCACGCGGTCGGCATCGCGCATTTTGATGAGCATGGGCATATCCACGTCATTGGCAACCGCCAGCACGCGCTTGCGCACCTCTCTATCACTCTCGGCAGGGCGCAGCTTGACGGCGCCGAGGCGGTGGCGGTGCAGCAGACAGGCCAGCACGGCGACGAACTCGACCTCGGACAGCTTCTTGCCGGAGCAGTTCATGGGGCCGTGGGACCAGGGCAGGTAGATGAGGCGGGACGGCTCGTAGAGCTGTTCGCCACCAGTTTCTGGCGAGCTCACGATCCAGCGCCCGGGCAGCCACGCGTCCGGGTCGGGCCAGAAGGCTGGGTGTCTCTGCAGGGCCACGATCTGCGGCTGCACGAGCGTGCCGGCGGGGATGATCAGGGTCTGGTCGCGCACGCGCAGGCGCGTGTGCGGTGCGCCCGGCGTCCACTTGGGGATGGCGATGACGGGCGGGAACAGCCGCAGCGTCTCGAGCAGCACGGCCCGGCACCGCTTCAGCCGCGGGTACACGGTCTTGTAGTCCCACTGCCCTTCGGCGGCCGGCGAGTCGCCAAGCACGGCGGTGAGCTCCTCGGCGACCCACGTCTGGATCTCGGGGTGTGCGACGAGCAGCAGCAGGGCGAAGGCGAGCGTGTTGGCCGTCGTGTCGTGGCCGGCGAAGTTGATGACGAACAGGTCGCCGATGATCTCGTCGAGCGACAGGCCCTTGCGGTCGGCGGCGGGCGTGCCGGCGGCCACCTCGCGCTGGTGGACTTCGAGGGCCTGCACGAGCCCCGTGACGAGGCCGCCGGACCCGGGCCAGCCTTGGCTGCGGGCTTGGGTCTCGGCGTCGACCATGTGCTGCAGGTGGGCCCTGAAGGCGGCGCCGGCGTGGCCGATGCGAGTCCAGCTCCTGGGCATGGCGGGGTGGGTCAGGAAGCGGTAGGGGACCATGAGCAGCAGGATGATGTTGTCGAGGACCGTCTGCAGCGAGTCGCGGTAGTTGTTGGCCTCGCTGGCGGCCTGCGGCGGGTCGGCGGAGCCGTGGAACGGGAACGACCTGCGCATGCCGATCGACGCCAGCACGTTGAGCGACAGCGTGCGCGTGTCCTTCTGGATGCTGGGCACGCCGGCCGCAGACGCGCGCGTCCACGACTGCAGCGTAGCCCGGCCCTGCCGCAGCGACTCCCCCCACACAAACGGCATGGAGCTCTCGCTGAAGGGCGCCGAGAGGACCTTGCGGTGGCGCGCCCAGTCGTGCGAGCCGGCCGTCGAGACGGACGGGCCGTACACCTCGAGGATTTCTGGCCTGTGGTTTAGCACGGTTACGTTGCAGACGGCAATGCGTGTTCCGAACAGCTCCGAGACTCACTGTAGTCGGCGACGGGGCGGAGAAAGTCCCTACGCCGCGCAAAGATGTCCTCGGCGGCTTCCGGGTCGGCAACGAGCAGGAACAGGACCCTGGGGGTGGCGAGGGCGAAGACGGGGCCGAGGCGCACGTGCATGTTGGCCTTTTCGTGGAACTGCCAGCCGCGGCGCGAGAAGCGGACGGCGTCGGGCAACGAAGACCACTCGATGGGCAGCCGGCCGATCACCATCCACAGAAAGTCCTGGAATATGAGCCACGCGATGTTGTACGGATCGATGGGGAGCCGCTTCACGGGCACATTGATGGCCCGGCCCTTGCGCACGTTGATCTCGAGGCACACGAGACTCCACGCCACCCAGGCGACCGCAGCGCCGGCTAGAAGCTCGAAAATCATGGCTGGCGAATGGCGAACGTTGATGCCGAAAGGTGTTGTCCCCAGTCGTTGATGTCGAGAGGTGTTGTCTTCAGTCACGTTGATGCCAAAAGGTGTTGTCCCCAGTCACGTTGATGCCGAAAGGTGTTATGTTGTCCCCAGTCACGTTGATGCCGAAAGGTGTTGTCTTCAGTCACGTTGATGCCGAAAGGTGTTGTCCCCAGTCACGTTGATGCCGAAAGGTGTTGTCCACAGTCTCCCCTGCGTGACGCCGCAGAAAAAGTCGGTATGGTGCGGAAAAACGGGCACGCCAGGGCCATTGGCGGGGAGCGGGCGGGTTTGGTAGGGGTGATCGAGTCCTCCTCTCGCTAACCTGTTTCCCGCGCATTCGTCTGCTTGCGTACATACGTTGGTCATCTACAGGGCTAGGATTCGGGGGTTCGTCCAGGGGTCTGTTGCCCAGTTAGCGCGCCGTGGCGTCCAAAAGATGACCAACAGCCCATTGGTGATTGGCCTCTCACTTCGCAAGACGCCGAGCCATACAATACACAGTACGCAGAACGGGAAAAGTAATGTGGAATTTGCGCAGACCATGTCGGGGAACAAGGGCTCTTGGCTTTGACACCAAGGTCGCTGTCGGCAATCTTGGCTGTTCGACCGTCTCAGGCGAGAATATGCCGTAACCCAAGACGGGCGACGACGCCGGGACTGTCCTCATCACCGCCGCATAGATAGATTATCGAGCGGCTCGGGAATGGGCATCACGAGAATGCGCATCACGGGAATACGCATCACGGGAATGCGCATCAAGGGTATTCAAACGGTTATCATGGGCTCACTTTAGTGCTGACATCCACCACGGCACGGCCTGGACGCCGTCAGTCATCGTACACCCGCCGTCAGTCATCGTACAGCCTCTCAATGTATCTCCTCGGCAGGGCGTGGTAGGCATGCGGGATCTTGGCCGCGTCACCCAGGGTCCATTCCCTGGCCTCGCCCTCCGTGATCTTATCGCCGCCGAGGATGGCTCTACGCAGGCGGACGAAATCGCGCAGCACCGACTGCTCCCTGACCTTGATCCAGCCGGCGACGGCGGCCTTGTGGCGCCGCCGGAAGCAGTGCATGGACAGCGTCTTGTCCGGCCGCTTGAGGCGCTCCCACTCGCGCCGCAGCGACGGCCAGCCCGAGTGGTCGATGCGCCAGCGTGCCAGCGCGTCACGCCACTCCAGGCAGTCCTCAAGCACCTCCATGAAGACCTTCCAGCTGTCTTGCACGCGGCTCTTCGTCAAGGCCCAGGCGTCTTGGAGCTTGCCGTCGAGGATGCCCAGCAAGACGTCGGCGTCGGGGGCAGGAGGTGCATCCGCCCGTGGCTCGTTGACGACGGCGGGATTTTGCGGAGTTCCCTGCCGCTCGTGATTAGAACCAGCAGCTGGCGCGTCTCCAGCCGCGGCGGCCGGTGCCCTGGTGCTGTCCCCGGGGGAGCTCATGTAAGGGGCCATGGCCATTTCAAAGTTGTCGCTGGCGTCGACGGGGGGAGGGAGTGTGTAGCGCGGCGGTATCATGATGAGTGAAGAGGAGCAGTTTACCTGAGAACGAGAACGAGTTGGCTGTTGGGGACAGTATGAATATCCTGCTAGAGTTTTCTCTTCCACTTTGAGCTATACAGTTAAGATTTGAAGTCAAATTTTGCCCCATTACAGAGACTTTGGGAAAAATGCTAATGGGGCAAAAATCTAACCAACGCAGTGACAGGCCGCAGGGTAGAGTTTATATTCAGACTTCCACAGGATGCCAAACTTCGACCGTTTGGTTCTGCCATGGCCAAGGTAGCCAACTACCGAAGTGCCATGGCCAAGGTAGCCAGCTGCCGAAGTCATCAACCACCATTCTCGGGAAATTTACTCGGTCTTGCGACACCATCGTGATTCCAGCCCACGTCCTTGGAATTCAATTCGCTCCGAGCAATGCAGTAATTAACCCCCAGACGTCACCCTCGAGGTCGAAGGTATCAGTTTTCTCCAATGACTGGTCCAAGGGACGGAGTATAGGCATGTGCGAGTCTGTCTTGTCTTCAGATTCAGATAAGATGATTTTATTCGCGTCCGGCGGTGAGTTGGATAAGTCATGCTAATACCGGGGTAGATTAATTTACCTCGTCGGTGGTGGCTAAGATTTGAGAATCCCAAACTCTATCACGAAGAGTGCGATTGAATTACGGCCAGTATCAAAGTTCAACGTTGATTTAGGAAACCTGAACTCAATCTAAGAGAAAAAAGAAACTGTATTAAACTAGAGAAAGGGTTCGATAGCAACCCTAGAACCCTAGAAGTATAACCTCCACCCCGCCTCGTCACAGCCGCAGGAAATCATTCCAGTACGTCCAGTCCCAGTCGACATCGGCCGGGAAGCCCTCACCCACCGAGCCGTCCAGCCCAGCCGTCGCCGGCCTCCCCACCGCACCACCACCACCTCGCCCCGCCTCAGCACGGCTCAGCCGCCTGGCCTCCAGCAGCCTGACAAACTGCGGCGCGGCGTCTTCAGTATGAAATACCTGACCCGCAAGCCCACCACCACCGGCACCTCCCACACCTCCCACCGATTCCGCCACGGCCCCGCGCTGCGCGTCCCACGCCTCCAGCACCAGCTCGCCGAGCTTCTCGAAAAAAGGAGCATACTCGCCGCGCCCCACATCACCATCACCATCACCATCACCACCACCATCACCATCACCATCACCATCACCGTCACCATCACCATCACCATCACCATCGCCATCGCCATCGCCGGCCGACAGCTCAGGATACTCGCCATACATGTCCTCGACCAGCCGCCAGGCCAGCGCAGCATTTTCCTGCTCGCCGCGGCGCCGCGGCCGCCGCAGCTCGCTGAGCACAAACACCAGCGCATCCAGCTGGTTGCGCGTCGTGATGTGCGCCAGCAGGTGCCGCGAGAAGCCGCTGCGCGCGCCGGTGCGGACTGCGTCGAGGTATGCTAGCGCTGCGGAGAAGAGGGTGTCGCTCTCGCGGCGGGGGATCAGTGCCGCGCTGTTTGGGGCTGTTGGTCCAGGTCCAGGTCCAGGTCCAGAGCATGGTTGCTGCTGCTGCTGCTGCTGCCAGCGGGGGTGGTGGACGGCGAAGCGCATGCGGGCGACGGCGAGCGCGGCCATGGCGCGCGCGAGGGCGTGCAGCGGGATGCGCGCGTCGCAGCCGCGCAGGTGCGTGTCGAGGAACAGGGCCTCGAGCTCGTCGATGGCGGCGTCCTGCAGGGCGAGCTGCTGCTGCTGCCGGTGGGCGGGGCCGGGGGTGCCGTCGGGGAGGGCTGGCGGCGCCGATGATGTCGAGGGGTGGTTCTGGCGGCACGTGATGGCCTCCCACACGCGGGCCGCTTTCGGCGACGAGCGCTGCCACGCCGGCACGGCCATCTTGGCCAGCACCGCCAGCATCTCGGTCGGGCCGGCGTGCGCGGCCGGCGGGGCGAGCATGTTGGGGTGCAGGTCGGCGTCGTTGACGTTGAGCGGGAGGCGCAGGGCGCCGACGAGGTCGGCGGGGTGCGGCGGCCGCGCGCCCGTGGCGGCGTCGGCGCGGCCGCGCGCGTCGAGCCGGCGCAGCTGCCACCACAGGCGCACGCGCATCTCGCCGTCGAAGAAGGAGACGGGCGACGAGGCTGCCGGCGTCGGGTCCGTGTCGCGGTGCAGGCCCATGCGCTGGCCGACGCGCACGGCGGCGCCGGTCAGGCTGCCGGCGAGCTCGGACTCGGGGTTGGCCAGCAGGAACAGCACAAAGGCCTGCATGACGTCGAGGTCGTGCGTGGCCAGGAAGTCGGCGGCCACGAGGGCGCGCAGGGCGGCGGCGCGGTAGCGCGACAGCAGCACGGGGCGCGGCTCGCCGCAGAGCCCGTCGCACTCGGCGGCCGACAGCGACGTCACGGCCAGCGTGTAGATGGCGAACAGCAGGGCGGTCAGGGGCGCGGGGGCGGCGCCCGGGTCGAAGCTGGCGCCTAGCACGCGCTGCTGCAGCGTGGGCACGTGGACGATCTTGGTCAGCGGGTTGACGGCCTCGACGAAGACGTGCCACAGCCGGTAGATGCGCTGCGGCTCGGGGTGCAGCTCGCGCAGGTCCGGCTGCGGGCTGGCCAGCACCACGTGCAGCGGCGGCGTGGGATGCAGCAGCGGGTCCTCGCGGTGCCGCAGGCTCTGCATGGGAGGGTGTTTGAGCTGCCGTGTCAGACTATCAGCCGCTGTCGATCAAGCCGCCACCACCACACTGCAACGCACCTCGGAGCTTAGCGTCGACCACAGACACGGCTCGAGCTCGGCGAGAACGACATCGCGCGAGTGCTCAAACTGGCTGGGGCGCCGGGGCGCAGCGGGCACGAACAAGGCCGGAGCCAGGGTGGGGGGCGCGCCGGGGCCGGGGACGGGGGCGGGGACGGGGACGGGGACGGGGGCGGGGACGAGATGGATCCATGGCCTGTTGGGCTTGGTGACATCAACAGCATTGGGAGTGTTGGGCAGGGAAAAGTCGAGGTTGTGCTTGCGCATCAGGCCCTCGTAGCGGGCGAGGCGGTCGAGCACGTCCTCGTCGGCCGGCCGCTTAGCGGGCATGCGCGGCCGGGCGTTAGGGTCGTGGGCGTCGTAGAGGCAGACGGCTCTAGCCTTGCGGCAGTTAGCGCACGGCTCGTCCTTGTCGCACTTGACCTTGCGGCGCGCACACAGCGCACACGCATGCTTGTACCGGTGCACCCGCTGCCGCCCCGTCCCTGCGCCCGTCTCTGCGCCCGTCCCTATTCCTGTGCTCGTGGCCGTGCCGCCCAGCGACAGCGGCGACGTCGAGTTTGACGCATGCGAATCGCTGTCCATTTCGGTGCTCCGTTCGCGCGACGGAAATAGCGGATAGAAAATGACGTGTCGGGTGCGACGGCGGAGTTGAGCAGCGAAGGAAAAAGCCCCGGAAATTTCGGCTTCTGGGAAAGGCTTGGCGTGCCCCTTCGGAAATCCGAGCTCGGACGACGCGAGTGGTATTTGTGAAATTAGTCAGGCGTTGCGGTGCCAGGGGAGGGGTGGGGTGCCCGAGACGCTGCCTTGCCCGAGACGCTTGCCTTGCCCGAGACGCTTGCCTTGCCCGAAACTTGGGCCTGGTATTCCAATTTTCCATCAAATTCTCTCCTTGCCAGTCAGGAACAGGAACACCCCCTGCCAGTCAGGAACAGGAACACTCCTTGCCAGTCAGGAACAGGAACACTCCTTGCTCTACCAGGCCGGTACATGTTATTCCTAAGGTGGAGTACCTCAGCATCCAAGTTCGCATCCATGGATCGTCTAGCTGTCCGAGATAGGGAGTCTCAATCTCCGTTGCAGAACCTGAAAGTGTCGACACGGGCTCAAGCGCCCGCGAGTAGGCCACTGCAGGTGGGCCAGAAGCTTGTGTGCAACAAGTTAACGGCCCTATCAATATAGGTGAGGGCTGTCAATGCTGAAGAAAGACACAAAGCAGTGTCTTGCATGCTATTTCCGTCGACAATACCGACGGCTGTTGGTTGGCTAGAGCTCCCTTTTTCCAGGAGCCAACCCCCTGGTCCCTCGGGCTTGACGAACTTCCCGTTACTCCCACCCCGCCCGCCCTCCATCATATTAATCGGTCAAGTTCGCCTCTTGGCGGCCTCTCCTGCTTCATGCTCTACCTGCTTTCATTTGTCTCCCTTTCAAGTCCCGTGGCCTTCTCTTCTTACCCTCTTTAAATTGTTTTTTTTAGTGGAGGGAGGTGAAAAAAGGCGACTTTGCCGCCGCTTTCCCCGTATTTGTCTCGGGCCCAGGAGCTGCGGTCAACATGGCGGTCGAGATGCAAAAAAAGACGGCCCATGTAAGGGACCCGTCTGACAGTGAGCCCCCACCTCTCCTATACGCTCGCCGGAATGGTTGCCGGACTAACACGCCTAACGGTGCCGATGTCAAGCCTCCTCGGCCCGCTCAGCCTGCCGAACGAGAGCACGCCAGCTCGGAACATCCGCACGCCAGCTCGGAACATCCAGACCAGTCCGAAAAGGGTGACAAGCTCGACAAGCCCAACGACGCCGACGTGGTCTACCCAACCGGTCTAAAGCTCGTCCTGGTGCTCTCGTCCATGTTCATCGGCATGTTCCTGCTGTCTCTGGTAAGTCACACCCCAACCACCCCCCCTCCTCAAGACGGGGGAAACTCGTTGCTAACAACGACGTCCAGGACCGCCTCATCATCTCGACGGCCATCCCGCAAATCACCAACGACTTCAACTCGGCCGGCGACATTGGCTGGTACGGCACCGCCTACCTGCTCACCAACTGCGCCTTCCAGCTGTTGTTCGGCAAGCTGTACATGGTCTTCAGCATCAAGACCGTCTTCCTCGCCTCCATCTTTCTGTTCGAAGTCGGCTCCGCCCTGTGCGGCGCCGCCCCGACCTCTGTCGCTTTTATCCTCGGGCGTAGCATAGCCGGCCTGGGGGCGGGCGGCATTGCCGCTGGTGTCGTGAGTGTCTCCCCCCCCCCATTCTGTCAGTGTTATATCCGCCGGCTGCTGACCAACACTTTGCGCCCTGCCAGATGGTCATCATCGTGTACGCAGTCCCACTACAGAGCCGGCCCAAGTACCAGGGCTTCTTCGGCGCCGTGTTCGGCGTGTCGTCCGTCATCGGCCCGCTCGTCGGCGGCGCCTTTACCACCCACGTCACCTGGCGCTGGTGCTTCTACATGAACCTGCCGCTCGGCGCCGTCGTCATGGCCTTCATCTTCCTGCTGCTCGACATCCCCGACCGCCCGGGCACCCACATCCCCCTCCGGGCCAAGGTCGCCCAGCTCAACGCCCTCGGCTTCGCCGCCCTGCTGCCCGGCGTCGTCTGCCTGTGCTTGGCCCTGCAGTGGGGCGGGACTACCTATGCCGTGAGTGTGTCTTGCGTCCGCTGGTTTAGTTTCCGTTGTGGCTGACATGCGTGGCCGGGTAGTGGAGCAACGGCCGCATCGTCGCGCTGCTCGCGCTGTCCTTTGCGCTACTGATCGCCTTCGCCGCCATCCAGGTCTGGAAGCCCGGCCAGGCCATCGTGCCGCCACGTGTCTTTCTGCAGCGCAGCATCGCCTCGGGCGTGCTGGTCAGCGCCTGCGTCGGCGCGCACTCGAGCCTGTTCAGTGTGTTCCCCCCCTTAATCTCGTCCCCTCCTTAATCTCGTCCCCTCCTTAATCTCGTCCCCTCCTTAATCTCGTCCCCTCCTTAATCTCGTCCCCTCCTTAATCTCGTCCCCTCCTTAATCTCGTCCCCTCCTTAATCTCGTCCCCTCCTTAATCTCGTCCCCTCCTTAATCTCGTCCCCTATGGATCGGTGTGCTGACGTGGTAGACAGTCTACTACCTGCCCGTGTGGTTCCAGGCCATCCAGGGCGTGTCGGCCGTCGACAGCGGCATCCACCTGCTGCCGATGGTGCTGCCGCTGGTCGTCTCGTCCATCGCCTCGGGCATTTTGGTGTCGCGCATCGGCTACTACACGCCCTTCATGATCTTCGGGACCAGCCTGACGGCCGTCGGCGCGGGGCTGATCACGACGCTGAGCGTCGACGCGTCGGCCGGCCGCTGGGCCGGCTTCCAGGTCGTCTACGGCTTCGGCATGGGAGCGTGCATGCAGGGCGCTAACATGGCCGCGCAGACGGTGCTGCCGCGCGAGCTGGTGTCGATTGGCGCCTCGCTCATGTTCTTCTCTCAGCTGTTGTTCGGCGCCGTCTTCACGTCTGTCGGCGGCAATGTGCTCTCCAACCAGCTCGCGAGCCGCCTGGTCGGCATCTTGCCGGGCAGCGGGAACGGGGGTGACGCGAGTGCGGTTACCGGCACTGGTGCCACGGACCTCCTCGACCGCGTTCCCGCGCAGCTGCGGCCGGCCGCGCTGGAGGCATACAACGACTCGCTGCGCGTGTGCTTCCAAGTTGCGCTCGTCCTAGCGGCTGTGTCGATTATTGGCGCGCTGACCATGGAGTGGCGTAGTGTCAAGAAGAAGGGCGGTGAGAAGGGCGCGGCCGGTCACAAGGCCGCTGAGGAGGGCAAGGCTGGCGGCAAGGATGCGTCTGTTGGAGAGAAAGAGACGGAAGCTGACAAGGATAGGAAGGGCAGCAAGGACAGCAAGGACAGCAAGGACAGCAAGGACAGCAAGGACAGCAAGGACAGCAAGGACAGCAAGGACAGCAAGGACAGCAAGGACAGCAAGGCGTAAGAAATCGTTGCAAGCGGCATCAGCTGTGCCGGAGAGAAGATCCGGTATTGGCGGATTTTCCGTTCTTTGGAGTACAGACAAGCTTCTCTCGAGTGTCGCGGGGGCAAGGTTGTAGAAGGGTATAAGTAGGTGTACGATAATGCTCTCGTTCAAGAGCCGCTGGTTTATTTCATAATTGCCGGTAGTCACTAGACTAATTAATCAAATGCCGCTCTTTTGTGAAGGCAGACATTTACGAGAGTCAAGGCTGCAAGTAGGAATGACTGTATTCATAAAAGAACCAAGCTAAGGAAAGGAAAAGGAAAAGAAGAAGCCTGCAGTTCCTGCAGGCCGTGGTTTTGTGGTGGGGAGGGGCAATTGGGCTAGTCCTAATTGGGAAGAGTGGGGCTCGATTTGGGAGCGTGGGGCTCCAGGGTGTAGCCTGCAGCCAGGGCATGGTTGCGGTACCACGACCATAGTTCGGCCGTGCCGTAACATCTTTTGTCTTGCAACTGTCGTGATTAATTAGTTATCCAACAGAAACAGCAGTCGAAGAAAATGCTTTGGCTGTTCCATTGGCAATCTATTACTCGGCCAGGGTTGCAACGTCGTCCGTCCTGTATTAGCCTGACTGCGGAGACCGGCATTTAGCAGTTGAAAGAAGTCTCCCAGCATAAGCCTCGCGGTCGCATATGGATACGGCTAGAAAATTTAGTGGCGTTACGGCCTTGTGAAGTATCGGAGGCCACCGATTTCTACATAGGCGTTGTCACTTTCCACGGCGTACTAGATAAGATGGGTTGAGGAATGTTGTTCCCACCATGCCAAACCGGTAATCCTCGACGAGCAGCCCAACGGTCAAACTCGCGCGCAAAGTTAATCGCGCAACCTACGGCATATCTGGACGCCGAGGCTGCCTACCCAGCTACGCATATCGTTCAAGAACTTGACTCCTGTCGTACCGACTTTTCGCGACAGCGATGGCAACAGAGCAGAGTTTCTGCAACATTTGCGTCGACTTGATCCGTCGTCTCTCAAGCAAGAACAGGGTGTTGCAGGACTGCCCTCGGTACATACGCAATGGGGAATACTACGACCCTATCTGGCATCACGCTGATCCGAGCAAGCTCGCAGTTTCAGCAAGACGATGCACTCTCTGCTATTACATGGTTCGCGCTATGGTCGTACATAAGGCGCCAGAACTTATTACCGATAGGATTGACTCGCTGTGTATCATCCAGAATGACAAATATGATTGGATCTCCGAAGCGGAGCGTATGGGCGACATCTACGAGAATTCCCATGTCACCCTGATGGCTACCGACTCACAGGACGGACGTGGCGGGTTGTTCCCACAGCGCGCAACTTCGCCCCCACTGTCACGGCACGGCGGTAGGCGCTGAGGCCCTACGGATGCGTGACCATACTATAACCCACTATAGAATTGCAGCCTGACGGCTTGTAATTCTGGCATCCTTTTGGAAGGTGTGGTGCAGCGGTAGTGGGTGTTGCTAAACGCCGTCACAATTACAAGCCGCCCTACGGCTGCGGGTTCGAGCCCTGCAGTTGCAAATGAGTCCTTTTGTGAATAAAGGTAGTTTGGGGATCCCTATAGTATGCCCTAGCCCGCGTAGAGCTCCCGAACCGTAGTGCTCGAGGTTCCGGGGTAGTCAGACCTCTACGCGCCCCGCGGGGCCGAGGGGGGGGGTGATGTCACGGCACGGCGGTAGGCGCTGAGGCCCTACGGATGCGTGACCATACTATAACCCACTATAGAATTGCAGCCTGACGGCTTGTAATTCTGGCATCCTTTTGGAAGGTGTGGTGCAGCGGTAGTGGGTGTTGCTAAACGCCGTCACACCCACCCCCTGTCAGCCACTTGATATTCCGTACCATCCAAGTAGCACCTCAACGTCGAGTCCATATCACGACGATTAGCTAGGCTACGCATTCCTAGGCTATGTGTCGGGCGAGGATCCGGCCTAGTGCGATAGAGGTGACCCGCGGAGCGCAAGCTGTTACGGGCAAGAAATCCGTAGGGGCATCCTAATGACGAGGGCCTGGGTGACGCAAGAGCTTGCTCTCTCCCGCAGGTCTGTTTAGTATACCTCGCGAGGGCTAGTATGGGTATGAGGACGCTGCATGCTGAAGAGGACGGGGGTGCCTACGATACCATGCGCACCACGTCGAGTAGTAGGACGGTAGACTGGCTAGAGTTTATTTCCCTGCACACACGAGGGCCGCAACATTTAAGAGAGACCGACTAATATCCTTGCGCGGTATTTTCAATGAGCTAGCCTCCAAGCGGTCAGGGGAAACGTATCACTGGGGCCTATGGAAAAGCAGTATCCACGACGGCCTCCTGTGGCGGCCGCTGGAGATCCAACCGGGCGGAACCAACCCCCTCAGCGCGCCGTCTTGTTCGTCGGCAATGTTGAAGTGTCAATGAAATTCCTTGGACTCTACGCCGGGCGACGGCGTTTATGACCCTCGGAAGTTGACCGACCAACCGAAACAAGAGATAACGTGCGCCAGGACCCTGGGCGGGGCCTTCCTCATCCTCGTGCATGTTCCCGATAGCCCGCCCACTTTTCGCAGGGTCGGCCCTGGCAATGATGTCGACAGTGGTTATAGTTATTCATGGCCTGATCGTGCATTTGGAGCCATGTGGGCTGACGAACCCAAGGTTGGCCTTGATGGAAAGCTGATGGGGAAGTCGGTGAAGACTATCCACGTCATCTAGCGGCGGAGACCCCGTACTAAGCCCATATCACCCGCAGTTGGCCGTCTACAGCAGCCGTCCACGGGAGGCTATCTGTTGGAAAGGGGCGCTGTATGGGACTTTTGTTTATTTGCACTTTACCCCTGATACCCCTGAATTTCGGGTATCCACAATCTGACGGGTGAGATAAGAGAAGCTCAATCTGCCGCCGACTAGCCCTCTACTAATGCCGGACTTCATGCGGTTGTGGATGTTTATGTGCACGGACAAATTGTAAGAGAATTATTCCAACTTGTGCAGGCTTTCCTAATCATTGCACTTGGCGGCAAGTAAATAATGAAATTGGTGAGACAAAGCACACGCCAACAACATTTCGCTCCTCCCAATTAACAAAAGCCCTCTCAAATTATTTAATTGTTTCCGTCAGTGCATAGCATCCCAGTCTTCAACGGGACTGCGCATTGCCAGTCCATGAAATAACCAAGGCCTGGCGCTAAATCGGTTGTTAGCACTACGTCACCCTAAAGCTTAGCAATAACGCTTAGCAATGACGCTTGGCAATGACGCTTGGCAATGACGCTTGGCAATGACGCTTGGCAGATCTAACGTGCCCATGAATTCAATCCGACCTGGCGTTGGCGATCATGGGCTCCCAACGACGGGCCCTGGCTGAGGTGCGCCCGGTGTCGGCTTGAAGCGGCCTTCGGGATTGCAACGGCAGCGACCCGATTCTGCATGGCGTGTCTGGAGAGCGCGCCCTCCCGTCGACAACGGCCAAGCCAACGCAGCGCCCAACGAGGCACGTGTTATTGCTCCCGACTCTCCACTGCGACTACCGGCAATCGCTAATCGGTGACTTCGGTGACTCCAAAGGTGGGGCCCACAACTGAGTCACAACCTTGGGTTGATGGCTTGAACTCCGAAAGATTAAAAGACCGCCCGTTCTGTTGACTTTTCGGGTTCCTGTTTAACCACTTCTTCCGAAGCAGCTGCATACCCCGCTCCATCCCCCCCCCCCCCCCCCCCGACCCCCGATCCCCGATCCCCGAACAACCACACGCAATACAGCATGGGCGACTACGTAGCCGATCTTGCGGTGCGAGTCAAGGCAGCTGGGGCCGCCGTCGAGGGCCAGGATGGAGAGGCCGGCGGGCTGCAGTTTGGAAAGGAGCTGGCAAGCCACTTTCTCTTTGACCGGGAATACCGCAACCTCAACCACGGTATGCCCATGACTCCCAAACTCGGGATAGAGACACAAACTCGGGACAGAGACACAAAACTCACCCCAGTGCAGGTTCCTTCGGGGCGATCCCGCGCGCCATCCAGGCCAAGCAGCGCGCGTTCCAGGACCGGGCCGAGGCGGCGCCGGACCCGTTTATCCGGTTCGAGAACCCGGAGCTGATCGACGAGTCGCGCGCCGCCGTAGCCGAGATCCTCGGCGTGCCGACCGACACGGTGGTGTTCGTGGCCAACGCGACCACGGGCGTCAACACGGTGCTGCACAACCTGGTTTGGGCGGCCGACGGCCGCGACGAGATCCTCTACTTCGACACCATCTACGCCGCCTGCGCCAAGACCATCGACTACGTCGTCGAGAGCGGCCGCGGCCTCGTCGCAAGCCGCAGCATCCCGCTCGTCTACCCCGTCGACGACGCCGCCGTCGTCGCCGCCTTCCGCGCCGCCGCCGCTGCGTCGCGCGCCCAAGGCAAGCGGCCCCGCGTCGCCGTCTTCGACGTCGTGTCGTCGCTGCCCGGCGTGCGCTTCCCCTTCGAGGCCGTCACGGCCGCCTGCCGCGACGAAGGCACTCTGTCGCTCATCGACGGCGCGCAGGGCATCGGCCTGGTCTCGCTGACGCACCTCGCCGCCGTCGACCCGGACTTTTTTGTCAGCAACTGCCACAAGTGGCTGTTCACGCCGCGCGGATGCGCCGTGTTCTACGTGCCGCAGCGCAACCAGCCGCTGCTGCGCTCGACGTTGCCGACGTCGCACGGCTTCGTGCCGGCGCCTGACGGCGGTGCGCCGGCGCGCCGCGTCGTGTTTGCGCCGTCGGCCAAGAGCGAGTTTGTCAACAACTTCGAGTTCGTCGGCACGCTCGACAACGCCCCGTACCTGTGCGTCAAGGACGCCATCCGCTGGCGCGCCGACGCGCTGGGCGGCGAGGACCGCATCCTCGCCTACACGCACGCGCTGGCCAAGGCTGGCGGGCAGCGCGTCGCCGAGATTCTCGGGACAGAGGTCCTCGACAACGCTGCCGGGTCGCTGACGCGCTGCGCCATGGTTAACGTCGTGCTGCCGCTGGCCGTTGCCGGCGCGGACGAGGCCGATGAGGGATTGAAGCAGCTGCTGGACAGCGGGAAAGTCGCGTTGGTTCCCGAGGCCGAGGCCGCCGACTTGGGCAACTGGCTCCAGCAGACGCTGATCAAGGAGTACAAGACGTTCCTGCCCATCTATGCTTACCGCGGCCGCTTGTGGTCGCGGCTCAGTGCGCAGGTCTATCTTGACTTGGATGATTTCGAGTGGGCGGGCCAGACCCTCAAGGCCATGTGTGAGCGAGCTGTTGCGGGGGAGTATAATAAGAACTAAAGAATGGAGCTACTCAGAGGCGGCGGAGTTTTTAGCCGGTTTATTTTCTGCTCTGCTTCGTGGGGACGGTGATTAGTTGAGCCGTTCCAAACTGGTGTCACGGCACAGGAGGGATGGCGGGAATGAGGAATTCCTAGCCTCGATTATATTCTGTAGTCTAGCTCAACGAGGATGGTTCCAATTTGGCGCCTAAGGCATTGCGGGAAGACAGCCTTGACAATCTCCCCGAGGTTGGCAGAGGCTGTCTTCTGCATTGAAGATAATAGTCAGGTAGGTATCTTTGGTATAATCGGGGGTCAATTGAATGGTGGGTGCCAATCACCTCAGTCTCGCCTAATCTGCAGGTTTACGTGTGCGGCGGATTTGAAGACTTCTGAGCTAATTAATAAACTCTGACCGCTGCGCCAGCAGGCCCAGCAGATGGTGTCAGAGCCCTGGCCGTCATCCAGGCCCCTTTTGCTTAGATTACGGGTTGGATGACTGCGCTAGCCTTGATGTCAAGAGGTCTGTTTTGGCCCGCATACGCCAAATGTGCCCTCTTCCCGCAAACACAAAGCGCATACAACACCCACCACCCTCAACGTCACTACTCCCTACGCCGTAGCCCCCTATGAACTCCCAACTTGCCAACGCCTTCCTGCAGACTGCGCAGGGCTTCCTCGCGGCGCCTGCCCCAGCCCTGGCCCCGCCTACTGTTCCGGAGACGGGCGCCCTGAGCCAGGAGCTCCAGAGGCACATCGAGGCCGCGCGCGATGAGACCCTCGAATACCACCGCACACATCGGCCGCCCAACACGGTACGGATCTATGGCCCTAAGCAAAAGGAGTGGAAGCCTTGTTATGTTACACAGGGCTTTCCCCCTGGGGGCTAGTACCTTCTTGGCGATTGGGTCGATGAGGGTAAACTCTTACTCTTTATTAAGGAGGTAGCATCGCGCCCCCCGCGCAAAGGCATGAGGCTCGCCGAAGAGAGGAAGCGTAAGGCTGCAAGCCAGGCCCAGGGCCAGCCGCCCTCTAAGAAAGGCCCTGGTCCTGGCCCTCGCTCCTCTAATCACCTGGTTGTTGAAGGCGAGGACGATGAGGAGCAGTCGGACCTCGTACTCATGTACAATACTATTCGGGGCTACGTCTCTGCGATTAAGGAGCTTTGGTCTTTGCACACCTCGCAAGGACTACACTGTGCACCGCAGCCGAGCCGCGTTGCTTTGAAGGTTTTGGAAATATCGATTATCCGAGGCGAACATACTCGCTGGAGGGAGACCGGGGGATCTCTACGTTCCGTGATGGCTATACCGGCTCGTAGATTTCCGACCTCCACCACCAAGTCTGGAACGAAGGCTTGGGCCGGGGCACAGTTGAAGCGTTACGGACCCAGGTTGACTTTTTTCTGGGGAATTCGATGCTTTTACGCTCGAGTAACCGTTTACCGCTCGAGCTTGCAGACCTTTTCTTCATGCCATTACCTAAAGAGGGCACTAATGGCGGTGGCTGATGCTTAGTAGCAGTTATGGACCAAGGCAAAACAAACCAGCACGGGCGGCTTGAGTACGGCGCTGTTCTCCGCCACCGGAACTACCAATCATACCTTATAGGCGCCTTATCCACGAATTCGCCGTTGAGTCCGAGAGCTTCTTATCGAGGTTGGCGTTATCACGCTTGAGGAGCTTGATATTATACCAGTCTTGGCTTTTATAGAAGTAGGGAAAAGACTCGCCCGACATATACCAACGCCAGAAGAAGTATACTGCAAGAGAGACTATATGATCTTAACGGTATCCAGGGCTCCAAAGTCTCGTATATACCACGGTCATTAGGGGTGCGGATTTCTAAGGCGAATAATGTGCCTAAGGCGCAAATTCGACGTGGAGGACGTTGGAATAGCGATCAGATGACTGGCTGGTACCTGACCGAGTTGCCGCGCTAGTTTATGCGAGGCGTGGCGGACTTTAAGCCAGATTACGCCTCCAGCTACTTTATTTTACGCGAAACGATTAAGCCGCCGCCTTCTTTACGCCGGCAGGTCTGGTCACGGCTCGACCGCTGGCGCCAAGCACATCTTGACCTCCCTGGTACTAGCGAAGTGGTTGAGCCAAACCTGGCTATAGGCGGATTCCTTGAGTTTCTTGTTAGGCTCTACGATATTTTCTCCAAGATTCGGTATTTATCCGGCAAAGCCATCCAAGCCACCCTATCTTTTATAACAACCTCTTTACCACGGCCGAATATACCACCTTTACCACCGTAGTTATAGCAGCAACCGATACACTTTATTATAAAGATCTATACCTAGTTACTATCTAAAAAGTAATCCCTTTAGTTAACGAGCTTACTTAACCAGCTTACCGCCAAACTCGACGACTTTCTTATAGGGTCCTTAAGTCTTCACTTTATACCGGGAGAAGCCGGATATTACCCTAAGGTCACGATCCTACAAGCCAATACCGCCATCAACCTACACCACCGTCTCTGTCAACCTAAATATAAGCCAGCCGCAAGCTACCACCCTCAGTAACCTGACAGTACAAGCACCAATACCAATACCGTCATATAAACTCTCACGCGAAATAGCCATAGTCCCTAATCTATGGAGGGAGTGGATAGTAGGGCTAGCAGGCCTTCCAGCAGTTATATCGCTAGATGCAGCACACGAGAGCCGTTAGCGGTCTCCATCAGAGTGGCAGTACTACTCGATGCGTAAGGTAATCATTAACGAGATCATAGCCATGGCAGGGAGTCCAAACAATATAGATGGAATAGCGGTTGCAATAGAGACCTTAGAGCGACGGCGAGCCCAGGGGAAGGCATCGTTGGACAAGCTGATCAAGCAGATAAAGGGGGGCCGGAAAGGCAGGCCAGAGTAAATAGATTGAAGGTTGGGGTTTTTAGTTAGTTCAAGGCAAAACAATTACATTCACTCAATTATGGCCCGTTTGGCCTCAAAAAAATCGGCATCTAGTACTCTTATAACTAGTTCTTCATATACTCCGATTTTAAAGCCATTATAGGCTCTATTGCGTACGTAGTCGCCGTATAAAGTCGGCGAAGGCCAGTTTTGGTGATGTCACGAGCCGATTACGGATTTGGCGGGGTCAGCGGCGGATCCGCCACCCAAACTGAGCACTGACCTACAGCGACTACACCATAGGCTGCATTTGCGCGCTCCCTATCGAGATGGCCGCCGCCCAAGCCATGCTTGACCGTTTTCACAAGTCCCTACGCAAGAAGCCAAACGACAACAACGCCTATATCCTAGGCAGCATTGGCCCGCATAACATCGTTGTCGCCTGTCTGCCGACGGGTGGCTATGGCACAAGTAACGCCGCCGTCATTGCTACCAACCTTTTTCGATGTGTGTTTGCTCGTCGGCGTTGGCGGCGGCGCCCTTGGCAAAGCTGACGTTCGCCTTGGCGATGTTTTAGTCAGCAACGCGGTAGAGCAGTATGACATCGGCACGACGGGGCCCGATGGCCTCCGAAGACGTCGAGTCCAGTACCAGCCACCCCAAGAACTACGAACAGCCATCTCGAGATTGCGAGCTCAGCATGAGTTCGGCCAGAGCAGGCTAGCCGCCGTTCTATCCGAGATGGGACGACAGCATCAGCCCATAGCAAATACGCGCACCGGAATTCACTCGAGGACTTCGTCTTCGAGAGCACTACGACCATGTTGGATCGGCGAGCACAAGCCGCTAACGACCGCCTCCAGAACAAGAATCTTCATAAGCTCGCCGCACAGAGTTGCTCAAGTCGCTAAGGTTCAAGGATATGGGTTCCCGCTATGCAAATATCAAAGCTGCGCATGCAAAAACATGCCAGTGGCTGCTCCAGCATCCTGCGTACGTGGATTGGTTAGATCCTAACAAGCTCTCTCAACACTCTAGCATTTTGTGGATCGACGGAAAGCTTGGCACCGGCAAGTCAACGCTCATGAAATTTGCTTACGCCGACGCGCGGTCGAGAGAGAGGGGCTCCGACGAGGTCGCTATCACCGCATTCTTCTTCAACGCGAGAGGGAGCGACATGGAGGAGTCGGTAGAGGGCATGTATCGGGCTTTGGTTCTTCAGCTCCTGGACAGGTGGCCAAATCTCTAGCACCCATTCGACGATCTGGAGCCAGTTCCCTCAAGTACGACGCTTGGAGGCTACGCCTGGACAATCGAAGGGCTTGACGGTTTCCTCCTCTCCGTCATATCCAAAGTCGGCCGTCGACGATGAATCTGCTACGTCGATGCTTTGGACGAATCCGACGAGAAACAGGTCAGGTCGATGGTGGCGGGCTTCGAAAGCCTCGGACAACGCGCTGCCAGGTCTGGCAACGTGGCCCGGCTCCGGCTTCTCCTCGATCGCGGCGCCAAAGTTAACACGAGAAACGATGCATGGGTTACGAGGATTCGCCTCTCATATTAGCTAGCCGCGGTGGGTGGGGTGCCAGCGTGCAGCTGCTCCTCGACAGGGGGGCCTTCGCCGATGTAAGAGACTGCAATGGTAGGACGCCACTGTGGAACGCTGCTAGCCTCGGGCACCGAGACGTCGCGAAGCTTCTCGATTCGGGCGCTGATGTCGATTTGAAAGACTCGGGCGGTCACACCCCGCTCTGGGCTGCGTGTGCTAGCTTGGTCGAGAACGAGGTCGGGGAGACAACAGGAATCCATGTGCCGCTCGATCGAATTGCCAGCGCCATTGCCATCGACACTTATGCCAGCGACATTGGTGCTGGCGGCGACGTTGATGCTAGCGATGACGTTGATGCTAGCGGCGACGCTAGTGCCGCCGATATCGACTGGACGGGTAACCAATACTGTGCACTACCGTCACCAGCCGCCACCAGTCATAGACGCTTGGGTGTCGTGAAACTGCTCCTTGACGAGGGCGCTGATAGAGAATCTATGCTTCTCAATGCGGTAACTTAAAGTTTCATGGCTTCCAAAGAGCTAGAATTCTAGCTCCAAAACAATGTGCGTGGCCTCCAACCCCCCTTCCCAGGCGGCTCGTGCGCGGCCCCATTCACTCCCCACCTACTATTGTCTACTGCTCCAGAACATACTTCTCTTGCTGTACAAAGGTGATATTGGCGAGAGCATGGAAAAGGCTGCTCGCTCGCGTTCCTGGAGAGCTAGATAGTGCTTTACGCGTGGTGAGGGGTTACCTTTGATATCGTCGGTGTATCGGGGGTTATCGTTGACGCGAGGGACGGGGACGGCCATAGTGATCAGGGGTCCGGGGGCCGGGGAACAAGGGGCTTGTTTACACCCTTGCCCAATATAATCTAGTCTACTTTTCTGTCCTTTTTTCTTGGCCCGCTCACCTCATTTAAGGGGTCCGGCTCGCATAGTGTTGTCTTTGTGTGATGTCTTTGTGGTTGTTGTGTTGTGGTGCCTTTTCACCGCTTCACTGCTTATTGTTGTTTACTGGGAAATTTGTTCCAGGCTGCTGAGCTATTCTTATGTAGCAAACTGGCAAGAAGCAATGGCGTAGAACTAGTGTTAGAATCCTTCGTGTAGGTTTTTTCAATCTCATTTCGCTCGGCCATCGTTCCCGAATGAAACAAGGGAAGAATCTGGCCACGAATAACGTCTGCGCACACGTTACAATGACCTAAATGTTGCTTTTGGTATTAATAATTATCTCCTGAAAACAAAAAGCAAAAGGAAACACTATTCGAGATAAAGCTGTCCCGGCAAAGGCACGGAGATGTGCTCTGCGTACTTCATAGCGGCCAGACCCCCGATGGACACGGCACCTCCCTGACCTCAGGTGGCTAGACGAGGCTGTGATCGTGGTTCGAAAAGGGTCGTCAGAAGTAACGTCAAGCGATGTGACCTTGTCTAACCCAGAGGCACCGATAGGTCAAAGCTTCCAGGGTGTTGGCCGGTTGGGGTTCCGATTGCTGTCTGGAACGTGTGCTCTGAGGCTTCCTGCGGGTGCCTGGATCTTGTGGCGTTTGGGGGCCAATTCGTGCCGGTTAGCAGATCTACTTGGGCCAGCTCCTTGGGCCAGCTCCTGAATGTTAGCCATTGCGAAGTCGCCGCGATGGCAATGAAACAGGGATTAATTGGACCCATCAGGATTTTGCGTTAGGGCTTTATTTAAGCTGATATAGCAAAGAGAGGTTTCGCTTCTTTGTGTGGACTAGGGAGCAGGTGGAACTAGAGAACACAAAGTGAGATGCGGTTCGCGACGGTGGTCAGAGGACATAGCTTACCTATTTGAAAGACTCAGTGCTGAAGAAAATGAATAGAGTTGGAACTAACTATCACGAGAAGCGAAGCTGAAACCCTAAAGCAAGCCGTTCAAAGACAAATAAGCTCTCAATGTTATGTTTTTTCAGCTTTCATGTTTTGATCAGGTGTGTGTACCGGTTCCGAACGAAGAATGAGGGACAAAGAAGATAGAAAGGTCGTATACAATAAGAACATAACCCCGTCTCCCATTATGCCCATCACACAGACTCATCTTCCTTTTTGAGAGTGACCATGGCCTCTGATGATTCCACTAGAACCTTCTCTGTCGCTGAGCGAGACAAATCTCTTTCCACGTCCTCAAAGGGTGCCCTGAGCCTCGGATGGCGCGCATCCGTCATGTCGAGCACACCCATGCCCGCGCCGCCCATGCCCGCGCCGCCCATGCCCGCGCCGCCCGTCTGTCTCACCACAACCGGCACGGCATCCACGGCGCCCTTCCACGGGCCCACGCCGAGCTGCTCGTGGGCCAGCCGCTGCAGCTGCAGCGTGTCGTTCAGCGCCCACTCGAGGCGCGCGGGGCTAGCGGCCGCCCCTTTCCGCGTCCCTCTACAGCACCAACAGCACGCCGCAGCAACCGCCTCGACGTTCGCCGACACCACAATCACCACCAGGCCAAACACCAGCACAAACACCAGCCCGAATAGCGAGAACGACACGTGGTACGGCGAGAGCATCTTCTGGCTGGCGCACAGCGCACGCTCCTCGGCATTGGCAGGCCGCGTCAGCGCCGACTCGGGCAAGGCATCATCCCCACCGCCGCCACTGGCCGACGGTCCGGCCGCGGCATCGACAAAGGCGCGCTGCATAGCCGCCAGCGTGGTCGTGAACCAGTACTGCATCTCGAGCTGCCACTGGCCGTCGGGTAGGGCGGCCTGGAAGCCGCCGCGCAGCGACGCGCGCGCTAGAAGGTCCGCGCGCATGGCCATCTCGGCCATGTTGGCGTTCGCCGTCCCGGTGACGCCCGACAGCCAGCTCAGGCGGTTCTGCGCTTCCTCATCCCTGTCAAACATCAACACCAGGTCCTGCGCCACGTCCCACAGCCCGCGCAGCCGCGTGCACTTCTTAGAGGCGCAGAACTGGTACCGCTCGAGGCACGCTAGCGGGGCCCCCGGGCTGTCTTGTCCGTACTCGGTGCGCGGCGCCATGCCGGCCGCGGGCACGCGCGCGCCGATGGCCGTCGTGGCGCGGAACCACGGGTCGGTGACGGGGTCGGAGAAGCGCACTGCGTTGGCCGCCAGGAACATTAGGGTCAGGTCGGCGTTGTTGTTGGTCACGGAAAGCTCGGCGATCGGCGTGAACACGGACCAGGTCGGTACGAGCGTGCCGTTGGCGTAGTAGGCTGGGCGCACGCTGTGTAATAATATAATTAGGTTAGTGGTGTCTTGTTTTTTTTTTTTTTTTTTTTGAGGTGAGAGACAGAAGGATAGCTCACCCCATGCCATACTCCGGGTACGGCGCGGCGGCCTGGTACAGGTTGCCGTTGGTGTAGGCGTCGTTGGACGCCTGGAAGGTGAAGCTGCGGTTGCCGTACAGGGGGCCGAACAAGTAGCGCGTGACGGAGGCGTCGGCGGAGAAGTTGTGGCGCTCGGTGCGGTTCACCATGGTCAGGGGTGCGCAGTGCGCCGTGTAGCGGTACTGGATGCGTTCCGCGGCCGGCGCGTTGAGCCCAAAGTCGGCGTGGCTGTCCAGGAAGCCCGTGTCGAGCTGCAGGTTGGCGGTGTCGCTCTGGCAGATGGCCAGCCCGGCGGGAAACGGGCACGGGGCGTTGGTGGCGGCCGTGAACGGCAGCCGCGGCTCGACAAACGTGTCGCACCCGTAGCCTGTTGTTGATGCCACGTTGCTGCTGCTGCTGCTGCTGCCCGAGTTATAGCACTGCTGGGCGTAGATGGCGGCGGCCTGGTGGCGCCTCTCGCCGCGCGGGCTGAGGACCGTCTCGGAAAGGGTCGTGTTGGTCGTATCAGTGTTGGAGACGAGGGCGCAGTTGGCGCCCAGCATCAGCACCTCGCTGCCCAGCGCCACCTTGGCCGAAAAGCCCGAGGCCACGGCGAGCCCGCACACGGCGAGCACGGTGCCGCCGACGATGGGCAGGATGCGCCGGCGGACGCGTGGCGACGAGCCGCTCCGCCGCCAGGCCCACACGAGCTGCAGGAATTTGAAGGCGCCCTGGGAAGGGTCGCTGGTGTTGCGCAGGATGGTCTGCCGCTGGTGGTAGAGGGTGTCTTGTGGCGTCGTCGCCTTCGACGACGCCTGGTGCAGACTGAAACAGAGGATGCGCCAAATGTGGCTGCCTACGACAGTCACGAAGAAGGCCACAAAGGCAATGAGGAGAGTTCCGTCGGTGCGGCCAAGGGTAAGCGTCGCCCCGAGCACCTTGCCATAGGACCAGTTGGTCCACACTCCGGTGTAGACAGGGTAGTCGGATGAGCCCGAGGACATGATGGCGGCTGGTTCGACACGGGATGGTGAGCGAGTGCGTGGTTTGCGATGGCAGCCATTAAATCAAGAAGAGACCGGACATTTGCAATTACGAGACCTAGATATCTTCTATAGCATCGTCTTCCTGGTCTGCCTCTGCATGGGCGATGCGTAAGTCCATCATACCAGCAACGCCGTAGCGAAACATAGATTCGCCTGCATTGAATATCAACTAGTGTAACATGGGGGAGATTTTGAAACGCCGTTCGGCTCAACGTCGTTGTGCCAGAGCATTGCGCTGATATATCTAATATAATCGGCTGCCACAAGCGCCGGCAAGGTATCACTGCATCGCATAAGGAACTCTCATCTCCCGGCGGGGTGATTGATGTGCCTGGCCCCCAAGGGCGGCGGTTCGGGACGCTGGGCGAGTCAGAGGCACAGTCTATATTGCTCGACGGCAACAGTCTGAGCGGCCCCCAACCCTGCCCCGGGAATGGCACGCTTTTGCCGTTCAACCATCTGTGATCGGACCCCTAATCAACGAGCAATCCCCAAGGACATGGAGCGGGGCGCAGGCAATGCCACCGCAATTATGGTACATTCGTCACTGGCCAGTCTCAAGGTCTGATCAGGCACAAGGGGGTGATGCTGAGCTATAGGGTGATGCTGAGCTATAGGGTGCGGCATAGTAGATCTAGCGTTGTGAGAATGGTAGGCCTTGTGCGGGACTGGAACTGTCGACGAGGACTCGTAGTCTGGGACATTTGACACGGGAATATACTAGCAACTGAATTAAATGATATAAGCTATAGGCCAGGAGAGAAAGGCGTACGCCATCGCGAGTGTCCCTATGGCAATGGAAAAAAGCAGAGGCTTTACTACGTGGCTGAACGCCTTTCTGTAATCGGATATGGAGTATTTTCGTAGGGCTAAGGGCAGATCCTTCGTATTGAACGAGTAAATACGTAGGTCTAATTATTCAATAAGCCTGTCAGAGTATCCCGAGACTCTTGTAATCGGCTAATATTAATCACCCTCGTCGACGTAATTAAATTTCCGCCTCGTATTGGGCAACAAGCACTTTGCATAAAACCATATCGTTGAAAAAATTGCGCCTCCACCGTATGGCAATGATTTGCGGTCCTGGCGCGGGAAAAAAACTGCATATTCAGCCAGTGGGTGTTATTTTCTCGGCCCCGGTCCAGCTTCACGACCTTCATATCCTCGGCGCGGGCAGATCGATCGAACTCGCGAAGATATTTGACATGTTCTTCGACGGCTGCGACCTGTGGCGCGCCGTCGTCTTTGCTCGTGATCAAGAACACTGTCAGTGGTAATATGTTTTGAAGTTGATGACGCTGGTTCAATGACCACAAGTGGGACACAACCCCGGCTAGAATATCTTTGCTTTCCGTGGCCACAGGGTAGGCAATGAACCCGCGTTGGCTTTCCAACGTCTTGTAGAAGCTCATAATGGGGTATTGTGAAAGATCGTAGTCTCCCAAAATCAAGAACCTGCCTAGCCGACTCGAGACGTGGTCGCGAGGGATCCATATTTCGTGGCGCACATATATATTTATAGGGGGGGAAGGGAATGTGTGCCCATCAGGAAGGTTTCAACTACCCCTAGCCGGACACGTGCCAATTCTCGAGACTATACTAACATTGAGCGCTGTTTTAAACGTATAGCCACTGCGGAACTAAGCATCCGGCTGGTATCGCAGTAGAGCAACGCTGGGAATTCGTCGGCCGCGTCCTGAGTGTCGGTGTCACCCATGCCACAGTGGTACTTTTAACCGGCGGTAGACTGAAGCTGATGCTGAACCCAATGCTCGTGTTTGCCATGGGATGCATCGGTATTGTTTCCTCCTCGACGGGTCTGGTCGGGAATGTTCAAGAGCCCTGCTGGAAAAAGGACACGAACTCGGATGAGGATCTGGCAAAGAGCCCGCGATAGCGCAGGCTGTCATCGATAACCTGGTGATGACCTGGTCCTCGGGCTGCTTCCACGCGAAGATGGTGTAGTCGTGCGAATGTTTGCATATCTCTCCCTGCAGGCGTAGGAATGCCCTCTCTTGCTCCCCGTATAGGAGGGGCATGTTGATGTCGAAGATTCCTAGGGGGCAGTAGGCCATGTTTTCAACCCTTGTTGTTGTTCTAGACGAGGCCCAATGCATCCTCTCGCCGACGACAACACCGTGCTGGTCCAGCCGCTGCAAAAATTCTAGCCGTCTCATTCCCAGTGAAATGTTCGAGTCCTTATTCTTGATCTTGCCGTAATATGCATGTCGAATCTCTTTCTTTGAACAGTCGGGCACGTCGGCGAGGTACGCGTAGCAGCGCGCAGATTTCTTATACTATCGGAACATGGAGTTGATGGCCTCCGACAGCTCGGCGCTGCTGGCCTTGTCGCGTGTTAGCCCACGCATACGAGAAGCCGCCGGCCGCAGCGACCCACGCATACGAGAAGCCGTCGGCCGCAGCGGCCTTGACAAACTGGAAAGCCCTTTAGTATCCCGTCTTCCTCTTGACGGCTTCGGCATCGGGGTTGCTGGGCTTGACGGTCATGACCATCTCCTGAAACGAGATTTAGTCCCCCCCAAACGTGCGAGAGGATGGCATAGCGGCCGGGATAATCGCCCATGAATTCTTCAACGTCGAGGGTGGCGGTGTTGATGAGCCTCATCCGGATGGCGAATCTTTCGTTGATGTGTGCTTCTCAGAGCTTCAAGGTTGGCGATGTTCGAGAACCGCGTTATGGCTATTAGGATTGGAGATGGGGTCTCAGCTTGGCCCTCGTCGGTCGTGGCATTGGCGTTAGGTTCGTTGCGCGTTACCTGACCAGCAGCCAGCAGCCAGCCCAAATTCTTACTGCCAGGGCCCCAGGATTCATCATGAACCATTTGGCAAGGTGTCCGAAATACCGCATCCACTCATTCAATACAGCATCAACTAATACAGGCTATAGGGCTAAAAGAAAAAGCTTGCGCCAAGGCGGCTGTCTCGTCGTAACATAAAAAACGCAACTATGGCTTTATTAGGTGGCTGAGCGCCTTTCGGCAATCGGCTATGGCGTGTTTCAGCTATATTCAAGAGATCAGTTTCAATGTGTAGTTGCGTGGTGAAGGGCGTTAGCCATTTTACTTTTGTGATAAATCTAATTTAATATAGAAGTACCTCCCTACTTGGAGAAAGCCTCATTGAAGCAGACGAAATAATATATGTAAGAGATCAGACATACCTGGAAACAGAGGCCCTAGAATCGTTCAAAACTGTGCCTCGTGCTGATGGCAAACAACTCAAGTTATCTTCCGCTGGAAGCTGCCTCCCGGGCAGGAGTCGAGGTCTCTTGGGTGTGGTTTTTTGAGGTTAGATAAGCCTCCAAATAAGAAGCTGACAGCGTGCAGGGAAACTCACTGTGTGATTAGACTGAGTCAAGGCAAACCCGCCAACTCGGGTCCCAGGCTGCTTGTTGAGTATTAATAGCTCCGTTTTTCCTGAAGGAGAAGACCCTTACTGTTACGAACTCCCTGATGCGGACCGAGGCGTATGCACACCAATCGCCGGCCCAGTCGAGAGTGCGTCATCGGATGAAATGGGAAAATGTTAACTGTGCCGCTGTGTAGTGAGGCGGCGCGGTTCCTTGCACGACCCACTCCCAAGTCTTGGGTCAGCCAGCGATGCTTGGTGCTGAGCAAGCAATTCGAGACAGTGCCGTCGAGGGCGAATAAAGCTTAAAGCTGTGGCGAGAGTTCACATCTTGATGATCGGGACAACTCCACTCTCAACCTTCGGATCACTGGAGTGTGGTGAACAACAAATTCTGGACAAGGGAACAGGCTCTCAGTCACTGTAACCCCGCTGTATTTGTCACCGATACGCCTTTTACGCAATCTACACGTGTGGGTACCCGACTTGCAGCAATGCGTCTCGGCACCAGCCAAGCTTCGGGGCCCACGCAAGGATGACCACTGATCGAACCGTCTGTCACCCGAATGTGGTGAACTTGCCTCGGAAACGGAAATGCCCGATTACGACTGGTGTGTGCAGAGACGCAGAGCTGTTGCGGCGCGGGCTTATCGGATGGCGCTCGGAGAGTGGTCGATGCACCCTTGTCGGCGCAGAAGGCGCTAAGAATTAGCTGCGCCGTCGCCCGTCGTTTCAAATTTCCTTCGACAGACCCGTGCCTCCCGTTGGTCGTCCAAGGTGGACCCAAGACGGCCAGCCAGCCAGAACTTCCCCACACTGCAGTCTTTGGGACACGATGGCGCCGTTTGTTGCACAACCTCCCTGGCAGCCACTTTGCCGTGGAGGTTTGTGCGATCTGGAGCTGCAAATCAAAACTTGTGGCTGCCTACAGAGTCAGATTCTGAGAATTTGGGACAGCAGCTGAGCAGCCTCCAAACTCGAATTCTGCCCAGAGACTCGTTCCTGGCCCAGCCCCAAACCCTCGCCAGAAATTCCCCTAGCGTCACAGACCAGGTCGAGAAGCACGCCACTGATTCGTCATAAATGATGCCGCAGGCCCCATTGCCAATGGCAAACCACATCACACGCCCGTGTCGATTGTGGTCTAATTGCGGACCAGTGTCACCAAACCCTAACCCAATCACACCCCCGAGGCACTTGTCGACGGGAGGTCAGGCTTGGCCGGAGCACGACTGCCGAAATTGGCCGTCAATCTAGTGCACGCTTGCCATTTTGCTTGCTTGCCCAGACTTGGATGTACGAGAGGCTCCACCAGCTCCAGGCAGTCGATTTCTTGCGAAGAGCGAGAAGCGCACGTAACGGGATTCCGGCGGCGGGAAGGTGCGCAAAAACAAAAGACCACCAGGGTGTGTCAGGGGACCGGAGAGCGCGAGGGTGCGGAAGGGATGACATGTGGCACGTAAGCCTGAACGAGCTAAGCGGTGTGGAGGCTCCTTCCTGGAGCAATCGATTGTTTGCTAAAATTGAACGGGAAGGATCTCTCTCACCCTCCTGGTTGGCTCTTGCCGTCAGATGAGGCGCGGCAGCCACAAAACCCACCGGCAGCGGTGTGTGGTGGGGAAGGAAACAGGGAAGGCACGACGGGACAGGCAGCATGGCAGACTGATAAAACAAAGCTCGAGCTTCCAACCGACAAAACGAAAGTTCCTGTCACATCCTCGCCCTCCCCTTCATCTCGTCTGGTCGGCTCGCCTCGCTCCTCCAAAGCTTTTCCTCTTCGGAGACAGTTTGCGCAGACAGACCAGCTTGAACGCTGGTGTTCCGCCCAACAAGCAACGCTGCCCCTTTACAGCACCGAGTACCTAAACATTTGGTACTACGGATTCCGCGCCGCACTCTCTTGCACCACATCCCAGCACTCAGCACCTTCCACGCAGCACGCAGCACAAGTCACATCACACGTCAAACAGCACACAGCAGGCACAGCACACAGCAGGCACAGCGCCCAAGCGAAGGACCACGACCCACCTAGACGCAGCGCAGACTGACTGTTGCCCGGCGGCGCCGGATCGATCTGTGGATAGGATCGGGATCAAACGGTGCAGGCCCGGTGCAGCACCCCCGAGGGCGCAAAAAGCTCGGGACAGCCATGTCATGAGGCGGTGAGGGTAGTAATGCCAGTGGAGCCAAGATTGCGAGGTTGCAGTCATGACTGACGACCGAAACCACGTCGGATTCCGTCCCCATGCCCAGCATTCCACAGAGCACCCGGCCGCAGCCCTGTTCGGGGTGGGCGGAGGTGGAAGCGGCGCGGACAATAGTCGCCACAAGCTGAAGGCCAACCCCGCCCTGATATGGAAGCCGTTGCCAGGCCCTCCGCCGCAGCCCCTCCTTACCCAAAACCACCGCGAGCGAGATGTCGTCCAGCCTCTCGGCCATCGAACAAAATACATGCGCGCTCTCATGCAATACGCCGAGCAGGGCACCCTGCCGGCCGTCAACGATGACGTCGACGCCGACTCCGACTCCGATCTAAGTCACGACGGCGACCACGAGCTCGACCGTCAAAACCATGGCGGGGCACTTCGGCCGCATCGACCACAGCGCCCCGTCGCAGGACTGGGTCAGTCGGGAGTCAACAGCACCCCTAGACCGCTGCAGGCCGACATTTCGTGCCGCATCTCGCGGATCCCCTTCACGCAGCCTGGCGAGGTGCCCGAGTTAGTGCCTGATCATGAAGGCGTAGCCAGCGCTCTCGCGAGTCCCTCGACGCCCGGCCCAACGTCGCCGGGAATGGCCGTCGAGCCGGTGCTATCCATCGACGTCGCCGCCTCGTCCGACTCCGAGTTTACCGAAACGGACGCTCAGCGCAATCGCAAGGCTTCAATTCACACGGCCGATTCGGACTGGTCCGTATCCGAACTGGGCATCATCCAGGAGGAGGACGACAACATGAGCTATGCTCCTGTGTCTCCGATGAGCACAGCAGCAACTGCGAGGTATGATGATGTCGACGACCTTAGCCTCGACCACTCCCCGACGGGACACCACCGGCAGACGGCATCAGTATCGGCAATCCCTGGTGTCATGACGACCACCATCACCTCCAACGGTCGCAGCTCGGACGAATGGCGGGTTACCACCAAGTCGGCATCTCGGCGATCAGTCAACCTGTTTTCTCGCCTCCGTAGCGCTGGTCGACTGGGCAGTCGAGCGATCCCAGAAGAAGAGTTCATCGAGAAGCGGTCACTCACTCCTCATGAACTCGTCGCCCCACCCAGAGACAGGGGTTTTGACGAAGGCTTATTTTCGCGTCGACCGCCGCCGTCGTCCTCTTCATCATCTGGCCCTGGGGACATGGAAAGTATCAGGAGGACCGTGTCCTACCCGCCTATGAATGGCCAGAACGGTCAGGCAAAACCTGTCTTTGGCGTGGACTTGAACTCGAGCATTCGCGTGGCACCCATGAAGATCAGAATCTCGCACAGGGGACAGAGCACTTCGTACAGAACATTCCCGATCTGCATTTACAAATGCTGCGAATTCATCCGCAAGTCAAGTATGTTGTCGCAGGCTTCCCGCCCCTGTCCCCTTACCAACATGTGGTTTGCTAACACTCATTGCAGGCTGCACCATCCCCAACCTGTTCTCTGGCCCGGGCAATGCCTTCAATGTTGCCCAGCTCAAGGATATCTTCAGTTCGGCTCCTTCTTATGGGGAGTCATTCGACCTCTCTAGCACAGATTACACCGTCTACGACGCAGCTCGGCTGATATTGCTCTACCTTGAGGAGTTGCCGAAGCCGCTCATCCCTCCCTCGGTGGTCAGGTCGTGGGTGTTGCTCGCGAGACAAGCCGGTGCCATCGAGCCCCCGTGCCCTCGAGTAGAGACGGGGCTGGACTTTTGGGCCGAGGCCTTGAACCGTCTGCCCTTGGCAAGCCGCAACCTCGCCAAGCACCTCCTCACGCTTTTTGCTGAGGTGACGCCCCGCAGCCCAGAGAGGCCCAACGAAATCCCCGAAGCCGACGCAAGACAGCTGGCGTCGGTCGTGTCCAGGGCACTTTTCCACCACGAATCGGATGTAAAGATGAGTGCACAGACAGGTGGAAATGACGCTGGAGACGACAAGAAGAGCAGAAAGAGGAAGCCAAAGAAGAACAACAACAACAACAACAGTGTGCACCCAACGCTTGCACTCGCCTTCTTGATCAAGAAGCGAGGCGAGTACACAGTCTCGCTAGATCGTCTGGACGCGATCAACAGCAAGAAGAATGGTCCAAGCTTGTTCTTGCCCAGCACCAAGGAGATTATGGAGTGGAAGGGTCAGTGAAGGAGTGCGTGATGATGGGAGCTTTAACGAAACGTGAACGAGATGGGAGAGGAGCATATGCGTTGAGATACCCTTTTCTTTTTCTTGTCCTTCCTGGTTGGGTCTTTCGTCGACCTCTCTCATCCATTTGAATTGTTGGCTATTGTGACGGCCCAGTCTTCCAAGCCGCGTTAGGCTTGGGTACTTGGGTAGTGCTGAAGGCGTTTTTCAGGGAGTTTGCTGCTGGTTTCGCGTTTCAAAAAAGTCAATATGTAATGAGTTAGTAGACAAACAAGTCGGTCCGAGTAATAGTTAGAACCAAACAGCTTTATACAGCTCGTAATGTAGATTTACAGGTTATGCAAAGAATGTCTCGACTATGCGAACTGTGTGGTAATTCGTGATGGCGCGGAGCACATCTGGATACTCGCCCCGTTAAATCGTCAGGCATCGTTGGAGATTAACTAGAGGTTATGGTAGCGTACCGCGCATGGTTTTCCGCGCACGCTCCAAGGCTTTTATTTATTGTTTATTCGTAATCTCTATCGAGGAGCAAGTTCCGTAGTTCTCATCGACTCCTCCAGTCTATAGAGGGGTTTAATAATGCCATTTTCAGATATTCAGCCATGCACCCAAGCTTGCCAAAAGCCTAATCAATAGGCAACCAAGTCCACCAAGACTCAAATCCTATGTTCCCACGACCTTCTTGAGAATTTTCGCACTGATTGGCGAGCTATTACGGCCAATGCTGGCCCAAAGCCTCTTGGCCAGCTTCGCCTTGGCCACCTTCATCTTAGCGCGCTGTCTATCATCCAGGTAAGTCAGGTGACCAGCTTTTAGACCAACCCCCTTTTAGACCACAAGGTTCTAGAAGGATGACTAACCCTTGCCACCCAACTCTTCTATTTCGATCGCCCACAACTTCACGAATTTGATTCCAATCCGTTTCCTTTTTTTCCTTCTTCAGCTTTAGATTCTACGAATACAGCGACTACATTGCAGCCTTGCCTCATAACAGTTGACTGTGCGGTGACAGATGCGGCCAAAAACCACGGCATCCCCCACAACACTTTATATTATCGATCCAAAGGCAGCAATCCAGCCACCTACTCCCAAATAATCAATCAGAAGCTTTCTCCAGCACTAGAAGAACGTCTCGCAGAATGGGTTCTCTTCCAGGGGGTCATTGGCAACCCCCCAACCCACAGGCAAATCCGGAAATTGGGTGCCAGAATACTCGCCGCCTCTGGAGAGCCAACCCACCTTGGAAAGCACTGGTGCCGCCACTTTTTGAACCGAAATCCTTCCATTTCTACCAAGAGACCACGGAGAATCCACGCAAACCGTGCTGACCGAGCCTGCGAGGCCGTTATTCGGCCCTGGTTTGACTACCTGGAGTTTCTAGGGGTTAAGGCCATTCTGCCGGAGAACAGGTACAATATGGGCGAAACTGGCATAGCTAATAGCATTGGAGATAACGGTCTGGTTGTAGGCTCCAAATCTATAAAGCTTTTACAAAAGAGGAAGTCTTGAGACCGAATTTGGACGACCATTCTAGAGTGTGTTTCGGCCGACGGCCGGTTTTTGAACCCACTGGTTATTTTCAAGGGTGGGAGCCTCCAGCAACAGTGTTACCCGCGCGATTTGACCCCATTCGAAGTTTAGGCCTTCAAACCAACCAAAAACGGGTGGACTGACGATGACACTGCCGTCGAATGGCTCCGCGAAGTCTTTCTTCCGGCCACTCGGCCGGCCAACCCTAAGGAGAAACGCGTCCTTATTTTGGATGGCCACGGCAGTCACACCACTGAGGAATTTATGTGGCTGGCTTTTACCAACAACGTACAGTTATTATTTCTGCCAGCCCACACCTCTCACGTTCTCCAGCCCGTGGATGTAGCCGTTTTCGGCCCGCTGAAGGCTAAGTACAGGGCACAGCTGAATGACTTGCTTTCTGGCCTAACCAGCGACTCTGTAGCTGCAAAACGAGCCTTTTTAAAATGCTATAGGCGCGCCAGAATCTACGGAATGACCGAGTCAAATATCAAGGCTGGTTGGAAGGCCTTAGGGTTGTGGCTAGTCTCCCTAAGGAAGCCCCTAAGCAACAGCCTCGTTATTAAGAATTCCAATGGCTGCATTAGTACGGTAGCTCCCACACCTTCTGCAGGCCTTGAGTCGTTCAATAACCCCATTCTGGGCAAGAATTCGTAGGGCCGGCCTTTGTGGTTTACCCCTAAAAAGGCCAAGGATTTCTCGGCTCAGGGGGAGCGTTTTCTACGTGGTACTAAACGTACTGCCAGCGAACGGCTTTTTATGCGGAAAGCCTACAAAGAATTCGATAACATGGCCTTCCAATTGGCTACCATTCAACAACAATTGCAAGCGGCCTAGGAAGATCTCGAACGTGCGAGAGGCCGGAAGAGAAGGAGGGTGGAAATCGACCCTAATAAGGCCTTTGCTAGTATTGAGGAGATCCGCCGCGCATAAAGATTAGCTACTAGGGGGAATGTTATAGATTCTAAATTTTCAGAAGAAGAGGAATCTAACACTGCAAGCTGTATTAACGTAGCTATCTAATTGACGAAGCTGTGAGCAATTGAATTTTATGATGTGTGGGGTGACGATTTTAGTGCGTGGTCTAAAAGGGGGTTGGTCTAAAAGTTGGTCACCTGACTTAAAGGAGGGCACTTCTGGCCCATCAAGCTTTGAGAATTCTCCAACGGCGGCGGCCGTGATAGCCAGCAGCGCCGTTCCTTTCCCCCCATTTCCCTTTTTTCCTACTGCTTCCTTGTATAGCTTGTCTAGGGTAACGGCGCTGTCCGTTAGGTTCATGTCCGGCTTGAAGGCGTCTGGACTTTTGTTCATGGCTGCTAGCACCCGCAGATGCAAGACGATGACCGGCACGAGGTCCCTAACATCGCTCCTGAAATCCTTTTCGAGCTGCATCACGCCCTTGTGGCTGTGCCGCTTGAGTTTGGGGTGTTTTCTGGCCTAGGTCTGGGCATCGAGAACCTCGCAGCAAAACACCGGCGCCTCGGTTTGCACGAGCCATTCGTCTGTCCGCCTGAGCTTGCGCGCGCCCTTGGTTGAATTTGTAATTGTAGACCTCCGCGAGGTTGTTGGGGAGGTCCTTGCGGATCCATTTGCCGAAACCTTCTTGCATCCACGGGAACCAGCCAAGATTCTCGCTCGTTCCAGCAGCCTGGAGTTGTGCAATAGCCTGAGGGTATCCAGCAGCCTGCGGGCTTCCAGCGGCCTGGGGTGTCCAGCGGCCTGGGGTGTCCAGCGGCCTGGGGTGTCCAGCGGCCTGGGAGTTCGACATCCTGGAGAATACAGTTAGTCCACTCGGCGTCCCTGCATCTCTTGAAAGCCGAGTCCACGTAGGGCGTGTTGCCTGAATGTAGGGGCTGACAGCGCTGATGTTGGGTATTCTGTGGGTCGTGGAAAGCGCTACTCAAGTGGTTTTGGTTGCAGTCGCGTACTCCGTCAAGATTTAAACCCCGAAGATATTTTTAAAAGCCTACGTAAACTGTCAAAAGGCTTGCGCAGGCCTTATTGAACCCCCCAGAGGCCCAGAGGGTTTTACAATCCCTCATTCTCAAGGGGCGGCTGAGAGGCGCCTTTCACGAGAGCACCTGAACAGGTGCGAGGCGGTTCAAACAAGCAAACTTGGTCGTCATGGGTGTCGCGAGCACGGAGTTCCTGAAACGAAAAAAATCTGCGAACCCGGCTGGGCCAGCGGCGTGATATCGGGCTGCGCATTGCATCGCATTGTATCGCATCGCATCGCCATGATGTGTAACAGGATGCTGTTACACCACCAGAGAAAACAGGCGTCTGTTGCTTCGCAATCGATTAGATGGACGTAGACCCTCAGCACTGATTAGTACTCTACCTCCTTGAAAGCCTGAATACATTCTATTATGCTAATTACTAACTTAAAACAGCCGTTAGATAGTTTAAATTAGCAGATGAAAAGCTTGAGTAGGTATTTTTGAACCTTTTATGCTGTTGGATTCACCAGGGTACCGGTACTGGACTCAACAGGGCGTGGCTGCACGCCGAAAACTGGTGGTTCAAGTGATGGATTGTAGATGTCTGTTCTTCTCTCTAGCTTTCTGGCAATGCCAGAAAGCCCGTTCTTATACTACTATTGTGGTGGCGAAGTGGGTGGCGAAGTCTCTATCTAGAACCTTCGAGGCCCTTCTGCTTGACAAATTCCAACATATGCCTTTTAATACTATACGTAGGCTTCTGAAACCTTCAGAGTTTTAGTACAGCCCACGTATCTTTTTGATAGTTTACGTTGGCTTTTGGAAACGTCTTTGGGGCTTGGGTCTTGGTGTTCGCTTTTTTTGTACTTAAGTCTGGGTAATCATTCATGAAAAGGAGATAGAATGGGTAGGTAGCTGTCTTCAGTGGTTGGCTGTGGGGGAACCCTAGGAACCCTAACCCTGGGACCCAAATCCATGGAAATGCCCCCAAGCTTTGCCCCTTTCCTGCGTTTCCAGTTTCCACGCCGAGCTAATCAACCCTGGAAGTGCTTACTTGCCAACGCAGCATGCCTACCAAAGTCAGTGCGCGCCTGCCAAAGTCAGTGCGTGCCTGCCAAAGTCAGCGCGTGCCTGCCAAAGTCAGTGTGGGAAGCGGCCCAGTCGACACTTGCCGACGGAGAGTCCAAATGCAAATGGGATACGCGATTGCCGATTTCTAAAATAGGTGTACGCATGTGCCGTAGCCATGCACTAGCCGTCGGCGTTGGTTGTTGGCCCGAGCAAGCCCGAGCAAGCCCAAGCAAGGTTGCAGCAGAGGTGCTTCGAATTCGACGCATGCATGCAATGCACCGCCTCTCCGTCGGATATAACGTCGCGGGGTAGCCCAGCAGAACAACTGTCTCGACAACCATCCGTGCATCCTCTGTTTCTCCCGGCTTGCCCCTAATTCACTGCCCGGAGACAGGCTGACAACAAACCCTTCCGGTGCACCTCAGCTCGTCCTTCACCCCCCCTCGTCCCTCACCCCCCCGTCCCAAATGGCGGCTGCAAACGTGAAGCGCGAGCACAGCAGTGGGACGGTAAAAGATGCCGACGCCGACGCCGACGCCGCCTCGGCCATGAGCCTGTACCCCGCCGTCAACCAAGCCGAGCTCCTCCAGAAGACGTCGCGGTACCTGGCCAGATACGGCACGGCCTTCCACAGCGACATCATGACCGGCGCCAAGGGCATCTACGTGTACACGGCCGAGGGCCGGCGCGTGCTGGACTGGACGTCGGGCCAGATGTCGTGCCTGCTCGGACACGGCCACCCCGAGATCGTCGCCACCATCGCCGCCCACGCCGCCAAGCTCGACCACCTCTTCAGCGGCATGGTCTCGCCGCCCGTGCTCGACCTCGCCGAGCGCCTGTGCACACTCCTCCCGCCGGGCCTCGACAAGGTCTTCTTCCTCTCCACGGGCGGCGAGAGCAACGAGGCCGCCATCAAGATGGCCAAAGTCTACACGGGCCGCTTCGAGATCGTCGGCGTCGGCGGCTCGTGGCACGGCTGCACGGCGCAGGCCCTCGGCGCGCAGTACCACCACGGCCGCGCCGGCCAGGGCCCCACCATGCCCGGCATGTTCATGCTACCGGCGCCCAACGCGTACCGCAGCCCGTTCCGCAAGACGGACCCGGCGACGGGCCTCGACGCGTACGACTGGGAGGCCGAGCTCGACTACGGGTGGCAGCTCATCGACACGGCGTCCTGCGGCAGCCTGGCGGCGTGCATCGTCGAGTGCATCCAGTCGTCGGCCGGCATGCACGTGCTGCCGACGGGCTACCTGGCGGCGCTCAAGCGGCACTGCGCGCGCCGCGGCATGCTGCTGATCGTCGACGAGGCGCAGACGGGCATCGGCCGCTGCGGCGAGCTGGTTGCCGTCAACTCGCCCGACTTTGGCGGCGCCGTCCCCGACATCCTGACCCTCAGCAAGACCCTCGGCAACGGCCTGCCGCTCAGCGCCGTCGTCACCAGCGCGGAAATCGAAGCCGTCTGCACCCAGCGCGACTTCAACTTCTTCACCACGCACGTCAACGACCCGCTGCCGGCCGCCGTCGGCGCAAAGGTCCTCGAGATCGTCGTGCGCGACGGCCTCGTCGCACAGTCTCGCGCCAGCGGCAGACGATTGCAGGCCGGGCTGATGGCCCTCAAAGCGCGCTACGGCTGCGTCGGCGACGTGCGCGGCCGCGGCCTGATGGCGGGAATCGAGATCGTCGCCGACCGCACGACGAAGCAGCCGGCGCTCGAGCTGGCGTCGCGCATCGCCGACCGCGCGTACAAGTTGGGTGTGTGGGCGAATCTCAGCTCGCACCCGAGTTTTGGGGGCGCGTTCCGCATCGCGCCGCCGATCACGATCCAGCCGGCCGAGATCGACGAGGGGTTGAGGATTCTCGAGCAGGCGTTTGCGGAGACGGAAGGGTCGCTGCCGCTGTATTGACTTGGCTCAGACTGAAGTCATCGCCTGCAACAACACCAATGCATGCACTAATCTGATTGGAGCACGATGCTGTGTTCTGGGGGTTCGGGGTCCGAAGGCCCATTCCCTCGCCCGTACTTCTATTGGCCCTCTGGCCGGTGGGGGGTGGTTTTGCGGATGTTCGTGATGTGATTTGTTACTGTACGTGGGTTGTGTTGATTGGATAGGGGCTTGGGGTCTGTTGCAGCCTGCTTTTAGCTTCATGGCTTGCAAACCTGTCCCCTTTTTCGGCTATACCGGCTCGCTGCTGGCCTCGGCTAATGTGGTGGTGTGATTTGGCACCGGGCGTGGGTGGTGGCTGGTAGGCTTTGGGTTGATGGCAGAGGCTGGACCGCTGGAGTGATTGTGCGGTGCCGTAGCTAGCTTGCATTGTCGTTCATGCATTGTCGTTCATGTATCGTCGTGCAGCTTGATTTCAGGTTTTCTTGCAAAATCGCCTCTCTTTTCGGCTGGGCTGGCTCTCGGCGAATAATGGCGATTTAATATGCTACCGTGCGTGGGTGGTGGCTTGTGGTTGTTGGTGAAGGCTGGGCTGCTGGAGTGTCTTGGCATGCAGACTTGTCTCCTTTTTTTTCGGCTGGGCTGGCTCGCTGCTGGCCTTGGCGTTAGTTGGGCTGAGTGTTGGCTTGATATCCCATGAGTCTGGGCTGGAGCCCGCTGTTGAGCCTCCCGAGGCAGACTGCCGCTGTTAGCCGGCGCCGAGGTGGAATTCGTGCCTCCAGGTTGCTGAGCTGCCCGGGCCAGACTGGCCATGCGTTATCTCTCCAATACCTACCTGTGCATGTTTCCATTGTCTGCGTGAGCCAATATTTCGTCGCGCTGCAGGCAGAACTCTTCGTGACGCTTTGTCCTTCAACCCACTTTCCAAGTTCGAGCTGAATGATGAATCAATGATGTGAAACGTGGCGGCCGCGTCGTCGTGAATGTTTGCTCATGTTGGCTAGACAAGAGGCTACATTCACTACTTCTCATTGCTCCAAAGTAGGTAGGTGGTGGTTGCAGTTCGCTGATAAATCTGGGCTTGGCATTCCCCGAACAAGCAATGCGGTGTCAGGCCGGGTCGGTCCCGTCCAAGAGCTATTATTCTGGTGGAGGCTGTGCATGCTCTGGTGTGACACCCTACCTTGGCAGCTCCCCATGGTAGCCCGCAAGGCTGCGAGCCGACGAGTCTAGACCGCCTAGAGCTGGAACAGTGACTTCTGAAGGCCCAAGGGATTTAAAGAGAAAATGGCTCGGACAGCAAAAGCGGACGCAGTGAATACGGGGGAAATCCACTCCTGAGCCTTTGGATTCCTCGAACCACGCCCGAGACATTAACAAACGTCTCTTAGCTCGGTTTTATGACCTCGACCAAACATGGGCTCTCTGTATGTAGCATGAAGATGAAGCCACTCTAGATGCACTTTACTAGGCCCCGAACTCACTGACATGCCACAGTTCCGCCCCCCCCTTGCCCTCTGGCAGCGTCTTCAACCTCAGCGGCCTGGGCAGAGACCAGAGCGAGCTTCTTGACCTCCTCGACAAGGTCCAGTTTGCCCAAATTGGTGGCGACATTCTCCCGCAGATTATCGTCGTCGGCGACCAGTCCTCGGGCAAGAGTTCGGCCCTCACCTCGCTCACTGGCATTCATTTCGCTCGCCACCAAAAAGCATGCACCAGATACGCCACGGAAATCCGACTGCGGCGCAACAGCCCAGTTTCACGCGTCAGGGTGTGGATCGTCCCCGACGAAAGCCGGCGCCGGGGCGACAAGGAGAACCAGGAGCTACAACAGTTCGCGAGAGAGATCCAGGAGACGCCCGAAAGGATCAGAGAATGCATGGAGGCGGCATCCAAGCTCATCGTGAGCCAAAATCGCTCCACTTTTGCCTTCAAGGACAAGCTGGTGATTGAAAAGTCAGGGCCCGACTTGCCACTCCTGACTCTTGTCGATTTGCCTGGCCTTGTCTTGAACGCCAACGAACAGCAGACGAAAGAAGATATCCAGATGATCGAGGCTCTCTCCGAGCTCTACATGAAAAATCCAGCAACGGTCATCCTCGCCGTCGTCAGCGGGGCCTACCAGTTCGTCCAGGCTCAAATCCTGGACAAGGTTGTCGCACTGGGCGTGGGAAGCCGCACCATTGGCATATTGACGAAGCCTGACATGGCGGACCGTGAGGGCTTGACCGACGAATACATCGACCTCATTACCAAGCAGGACACCAACGCAAAGTACCACTTCAAGCTCGGCTGGCACGTCCTCCTCAACCCGGATTTCAAGAGCAACCCGACCATGGACGAGAGAATTCGCCACGAAGCCAGCTTCTGGGCGGGAAAGTGGGCGTCCGCCCTCCCAGCCAGCATGCGTGGCGCCGACACCCTGAGGGCGCGGCTCAGCCTGGAACTCCAGAGGGCCGTTGTCCGTGAGATCCCAGCCATTCAACGGAGCATCCAAGAAGCCGAAGATAAGAACGAAACTCAGCTCAAGGCCCTTGGCAAAGTCCTCACCAAGCCGAAAGAGAAACTTATCGAGCTCGCTCGGCTCTTCGGGCTATCCAACCAGCTTGTCCTCGAGGCTGCCAAGGGACATTACACAAACCCTCCGGACGAGCACTTCTTCAAGGATGAGCGAGACCCGAAAGGCATCCCGCCCAGGAACCTCCGTGCCAGGGTGGTGGCTGAGAGTAGTGAGTTCGAACGCCAATTCCGCCAGTTTGGCCTCCAACAGAGGTTCGTCACCGGAAAGGACGGCAAGCCTGATGCCAAGGCGAAACGCAAGTTTGCCAAGAAGGAGGTCGAACCCTTGCTGCCGCAGATCATAGGCACCCAGCTCCCAGGCGACTCCAATACACGAGCACCGTACATGGTGTTTCGGCAGCACTCGCGGGACTGGCCGGTCCGCGCTCAGGAGTACCAGTGGAAGGTCGCGGCCGCCTGCCAGGAGTTCCTGGGCGAGGTGACTGAGTATGCCTGGCCGCCGACTATGCGCTCGCCTCTCGAAGAGCAGTTTCTCAAGGAGAAGATGGCCGCTATTCTTAGCGCAGCGAAATTTGAGCTCCATCAGCTCAACAAGGAGCGATACGAGATCCAACCATTCGACCCCGAATATCTGGCCTGCCTCGAGGACGCAGTCAAAACGTACCAGGGCGAAGACGAGGCTGCACGGCCCATGACCGAAGCTGAAAGGGTCGTTGAGCAGATGCTTGCCTACTACAAGGTACCTACCTACGCAACCACTTCTTGCTGCCATGTTCACTTTACTGACAGTGACCCCAACGCGGCTTGCTAGATTGCCGAGAGCGTCTTTGTCCGAAATGTCATCTACCAAGTTGCAGAGAGACATCTCCTCCGTGGCATGCTCCGCATCTTTGACCCAACCGAGGTTGCCCAGATGGAGGAGAAGAAGATCGATGACATCACCGCCGTGAGTAAGGAGGCTCAAGAGGAAAGAAAAAGGCTCGAGCAAGAGAAGAAACGGATCGAGGATGCGAGAGACGTCTGCAACAAGATCTTGAGACGCAAAAAGGATCTGCAGGTGGTATGTGAATCCTCCGATCTAATTACACAAACACTGCTGCCATGCAAAGTAACAAGTCAACTGACGTGTTTGACTCAGGGATACGAGGTTGGGGTTAGCCGTGACGCTGACGCCGGTGCCGCATCCGGCGATGACGACTTCGAGCTGCCCAGCGGGCACAGAACTGTGAGTTCCCTACAGGGGTCACGAGGAGTGCACCAGTGACCGTTTGAAATAGGAGAACATTCCAGTGACCCTCTTCCCTAGCAGTAGTGAAGACTCGCAGCCCGCGCGAGCGACTGACGACGAAGTCGATTCGGAACTGCAGAGGCGCCAACAAAGACAAGGAGAGCGGCGGCAGCTTGCAGAGCGACGCCAGCGTGAAGAAGACGAGAGACTGGAACGGCTGCGGAAGCTTGAGGAGACCCAAAGTCGGGAGCAAGACCGTCGGCGTCAAGAGCAACGCCAAAGGCAAGAGAAGGAAGAAAGAGACCGAGTCGAAGCCGAGCGGCTACTGGATGAGGAGAATCGGCGTCGGCTCGAACACCAGCAGCGGATCCAAGAGCAGAAGAAGCTAGAAGAGCAGCGCCAACTCAAAGAGCAAGAGGAGCGAGAACGGGTTCGCGAGGCAGAGCAACGTTTGCGAGAGGAGAACCAGCGTAAGCTCGATCAACACCAGCGGGAAATGGACGAGGCAAGGAAGAAACTGGAAGCCCAGCGCGAACAAGAGAAACGAGATGGCGAGGAGAAAGAGAGGCAAGACGTGATACGCCAAGATTTGAAACGTCAACAAGAGGACCGACAACGGCAGGAGGATAAACAGCAGCAGCGCGAGGCCGAGACCCAACTCCGGGAAGAGAAGCAGCGCCAGCTCGAGCAGCACCAGCTCGAGCAGCAAGCGCTGGACAAGCAGCAACAACGCGAGAAGCAGCGCGAAGCGCAGAGACAGCACAGCCAACAGTGGCAACAGGAACAAGCAGAGCAGGAGATACGTGAGCGCATGAAAGAGCGCAACCGGCGAGAGCTGGCAAGACTGCAGGTCGAAGCTCTCGAGGAGCAGAAGCAGCGAGCCTTGCAGCAGCAGCAGCAGCAGCATCAGATTCAACGGGACCTAGACCAAGCCAGAAAGCGAAGCCGCGCCTCCCTCGGCTCGCAGGCGGAGCCACAGATCTCCCCGACACGCACAAGCACAGGCAGCCAACCTTTATCACCCCGTCACCGGCGCAGCAGCAGCAGCACCAACAACTTGAACATGCCGCTGACGCCAAAGGCCGTGCAGCAGACGATCCCCGAAGATCCCGTTCCTGATGATACCACCACTAGGAAATCCATGCAGCTGCAAGACCCGCCCGCCACGCCCGAGGACTGGGCGTACACGGCGCAGGACATCTACCTCCCGCGCGGCAGCGGCAGCGGCAGCGGCAGCAGCAGAGGCCAGGGGTTCAACATGCCGGGACAGTTTCCAGGGGACGAGGATGCAGCTGTCGACGGTCCGCAGTCGTTTGGGACTGTTTGGACAAGAACTGGCGGTGGGCGGCGGGAGTCGGGGTCTCAGCCTGTGTCTACCGGAGTACGTGAGGCTAGGGATGTGAATGGCCGGCCGTATTTTGCGCAGCAGCAGAACAGTGGCTCGAGGGCAGGGCCATCGGCGCAGTATGACCGGCCCACGTCCCTGGAGGTTGAGCGGCCCAAGAAGGAGTCCAAGGTGGGTCGGTTTTTCAAGCGGTCTTGAATTGATAAATCAGTTAGGTACACGTCCGGTAATGTTTGGTCGCGTCTTTTTCTCGTGTTTGGGTTTCAAGAAGCCGGATAGTAATGAGGTATATGCCTAGACGCCTATAATCACGAGGAGTTAATCGCTAAAGGCAACAAAAAAGGATTTTTCTAGCCAGCTCCCCCGCTAAAATAAACCACTTTCCTCTTCAACCTCGTAATACAACCAACTTCAGTCAATCGCACGTACGATTTATCGCTTTCTAGCCATGAACAAGCACGATTCCTTCGAGCGAAACGAGGGCAGCCCGCCGCAGGCGCCGCCGGAGGCAAAAAACAAGAAAAAAAGAGGCTCCGTTCAGCTGACCCCTTCCTGACTAGTCAGGTAACCTATTTTCACTTCTATATAAAAGGAGCTTCATTTTCATTACAATGTGACGCAAGATTACCAGCCCGTTATGCCTTCCCCCCTGCGCTCCGAAGCCGCAACATCGACTCGACCGTGTCCCCGACGCTCTTCTCAAGGCTGGTATACTGCAGCCCCAGCACGTCCCGCGAGCGCGAGTTGTCAAACGCCCAGTGGTCGCTCGGGAAATCATCCTGCGCGTCAGCCTCGGGCGGCGGCAGACAGGCGGCCGCGAGCTCGGGGTGCGCAGCGCGGATGATGCCGCAGATCCGCGGGTTCGAGAAGTAGCCGCCGACGACGTAGAAGCGCGAACCCGGGGCGGCGAGCGGGACGGTCATGGCGCGCACGTGGGCGAGAGCGACGTCGCGCACGTCGACAAAGGTGAAGACGGGGGCCGTGGGCGCGATGCCCGCGCGCATGCGGCCCTCGACTAGGTCGAGGATCCGCTGGTTGGACGTGTTGACGGCACCGAGGTGCGGCAGGCTGCGCGGCACCGGCCCGAACGTGTATGTGTTGTTGATGGTCGCTAGGTCGAAGCCCGGCTGCTCGCTGCCGACAAAGTCCCACGCGGCTTTCTCGGCAAATTTCTAAGCCGCCGGTCGCCCGCCGCCCAATGGTTAGCACGACCGTCCTGTTTGCAGAGCATATGGATGATTGCATACCTTGCCGACTCGGTACGTCTGCCGCGGGTCCTTGGCCTGCTCCATGGTCGAGTCGCTCCAGCACGTCTCGTCGTAGACGGGGCGATGGTTTGGCGGACTCAGGATGGCGGCCGAGGACGACGTGATGACGACGCGCTTGACGCTCGGCGCAAAGGCCTTGATCGACTTCAAAATGCCCGTGGTGCCCCTTATGGCCGGGTCTAGACATTCACGGACCGGGTCTTCCCAGCTCAGCTGGTACGGAGAGGCTGTGTGGACGACGTAGTCGAACGGCGGGTCTGCTTGGACAGCCTGTGGGCCATGTTAACCCGGAACTGCGAGTGGTTTGGCCGTTCCGGGAGAAGGTTACCTCGTCAAACGCGCCATCGTCGGAAATGTTTTCGACGACGACAAAAGAAACCCGCACGCCCAGCGCATTGTCGATTGATTTCTCGATTCGCCGCCCTTTCTCCTCGGACCGGACAGTCACTACAACATCGTAGCTGCCCGAGATCATCAGCACGACAGTCCAGCTGGCTTGTCGTCGTAGATAATTACCCGTGGTCGACCAAGGAGTCAAGGACATGCGAGGCAATGAAGCCGGTGCCACCTGATCGCCGGGTTCCTGGTGTCAGCTTCACAGTGCGACACATACCCCCAACCGCTACTCACCAGTTAGGAGCACCTTGCCCTTGCTCTTGGCAGCAGGGGTTTCGGGTCTTGTCATACTCGGCGTGTAACAGTGACGATGCGGGGACAGGTTTGTGGAACCGTCTTCACCTATGGAAGTGTGGGCGAAATCTCGGAGTAAGAGAGCACGGCCTTGTTGTAACGATTGGAAGGACAAGACAAACAAGTCGGGACTCAACCTGAGAGACCGGAACAAGATAGTCCTACCCAGTCAGCCACTGACGACAACAAGGTGCGTAGCACTATTACTTAGCAACGGCATAAAAGGCGAGTGGCGCGCCGGACAATTTCACCGTCGCACTCGCGTCGGGGGTCCGATAGGGGGAAACCCCACCCCAAGACCGGAAGAGCAAAAGTTGGCGGTTTTACCCGGGATCACTCAGCCTAGGTTGTACGTATTTCGTGCTCGCTGATCTCTCCCTCCTGCATTCTTGTTTCACAAGTGAGCCTAGTGGCGCCACGATAGAATTCGATCCGGACTGCTACCCAACGGGAGGCGTCGGGACCCGGTTTGGGACTGCACCACACCAAACTGCACCGCACCAAACTGCACCACGGCTTGAAGAGAAGAGAACCTTAAACTCCAATCTCCAAAACTCCAGCTGGACAGTGAGGTGGTTTAATTCAGTACATCATAACGAAGTCTACAAGAAAGAAAAGGTCCAAGAAATGCCCTCCGCAGTGCCCCCTTCCAGCGACGCCGCGCCAGCCGGCAGCAGCAGCAGCAGCAGCGGGCTGCACATCGCCATCGTGGGCGGTGGCATCACGGGCGTCAACCTAGCACTCGGCCTGCAAGAGCGCGGGGTGTCCTTCACCATCTACGAGCGATCGCGGGGGCTCCGGGAGATCGGGGCGGGGATCGGGTTCAGCCCGAACGCGGAGTGGGCGATGGGGGTGCTCAGCGGGGGGGTAGCGGCGGCGTACGACCGCGTGGCGAACCCCAACATGGAGGACTACTTCCAGTGGGTGGACGGGCACGGCAGCGACGCCGTCTTGTTCCGGCTGCACGTCGGCCGCGACGGCTTCCGCGGGTGCCGCCGCTCCGACATCCTCGAGGAGTGGGCCAAGCAGCTGCCGCCGGCGCGCGTCGAGTTCGGCAAGGAGATCGAGGCCATCTCTGACGGTGACGGCACGCCGCTCGAACTACAGTTCCGCGACGGCACGTCCGCGACGGCCGACGTGGTGGTCGGGTGCGACGGCATCCACTCGCAGATCCGGCAGCTGGTGCTACCCAAGACCTCTGCGGCGGCGCGCGCCAACTACACGCACAAGTTCTGTTTCCGCGCGCTGGTGCCTATGGAGCGGGCGGTGGCGGCTATCGGGAACTACCGGGCGGGGGCGCGATTCATGTACAACGGGCCGGGGGCGCACGTCGTCACGTACCCGGTGGGCAACAACACGGTGCTCAACGTGCTAGCCGTGCTGTCGGACGCGGAGGCGTGGTCGCCGCCGGCCGAGAGCGGCGGCGAGCAGGGCAAGCGGCACACGGCGAGCGGCAACAAGCAGGAGGCGGTGGCGGCGTTTGCGGGCTGGCACGGCACGGTGCGTAGGATTGTGGACCTGCTGCCCGACGAGATGGACAAGTGGGCCGTGTTCGACATGGCCGAGCACCCGGCGCCGACGTACGTGCGAGACTGCGTGTGCGTGGCGGGCGATGCGGCGCACGCCACGGGCCCGCATCTTGGCGCTGGAGGCGGGATGGGCATCGAGGACGCGCTTGTGCTATCCGAGCTTCTAGCTGCCGTCGACAGAAGATTGGCCATCGGTGGTGCCGGCACCGTTGCCGAGCCCAAGACCGTGCTTGTCAAGGCCGCGCTGGCGACATACAACGACGTGAGGTATGAGCGCACGCAGGATGTGGTGCAGTCGACACGCGCGGCATGCGACCTTTTCCAGTGGCAGAATCCGGCCGTAGGCAGCGACGGGGCCAAGTTTGGCCACGAGATCACCAAGAGATTCTATAAGGTCTGGAACTATGATGTCGAGGCAATGGTGCAGGATGCCCTTGTTCAGTTTGGCGTCCGGGTCGATCAGGACTGAACGTAGGGGGGACATCTGGAAAGGGCAGTCAAGACAGGCAAGGGCGAGACTAAGCACATCCGGGAGCGATCAGGCACGACCAGGACCCAACGTCCAAGTAGACTCTGACAAGCAATACACATTAATCTACGTGCAGGAAGGAGTGTTGGACCCTTCGAGCAATCCAGCCAATGTATCCCCCAAGATAGCCTTCGCTATCAATAAGCCAATAAAGCCGAAGCCAATGTACGATACGCGAATTAGATTAGTGCACCACCGAACTTAGACCCCCGGTGGGAGATTGAAAGATCCGTGTTGAAACAAAAATGCACATGCTAGAAATACACTTGCGTCTCTACCCTGAACGTCTAGCTCATAGCTCCAGCCTCGTCCGTCCGTCGGGCCTAAAACAGGTTCCCTAGCCCGAGGGAGAACGGGTCGTAGCCTGGCGACAGTCTCCTGCCCTGGTTGTTGTGGTTGAGGGGGCACGTGCCCCCGTTGGCGAGATAGGCGCCCAGGTCGGTCCGGAAAGAGTCGTCTGGCCACAGGTGCGGCTCTCCCATGTCCCAATGCTCAACCCAGACCAGCCCCAGCGCGAATTGTCTGGCCCCGTAGATATCTCCCCAGATAGAGGCTTCGTCAAGCTCTAGGAGCTCCGAGACGTTAGGGAGAAATGTAAGCCAAGAGGTCGACAACCGAATGTCGTGCAACTCGAGTCGCCGCAGCGTGTCCTGGTGCAGAGTCAACGTGTCGATGAGCTCTTGGGTTTTGACTTCGATGTCCCCGAGGCTGAGCGACCTGAGGCGAGGCCAGTGATGGCCGGCCTTAATGATGTCCTCCAGTCTCGCGGGGTAGTCAATGTCCATAGTATCGGCATTTAACACGAAGCTGATCGATAGAGACTCGAGGCAGGGCAGGCCGGCCAGGAAGTCGCGTAGGCCTCCACGCGCCATCAGGGCGCGGCATTCAGGAATGCCAGGATCGGGAACGTAGAAGTCGGAGTCCGGGTCTAATTCGTGCACCTCAAAGTCGAAGGCAATGTTGGTCAGGGAGGAGAATAGGTCGGGCGGGGGCAGTTGCTCGACGAACTTCCAGCTAAAGGTCCCGCCCTCAAACGAAGACAGCTTCGACTCACAGCCCTTGAGGCCGTCGACGACAGCAGCCATTGCGCGGTAGCCCGAGGGTTGTAGATAGGTGAATGGCCTTTGCATGGTGGCGTGAAAAGGATCGCTCGCCGGATTTGGGAGTCCCTCACGATGCCAGTTACCAACGGAGACCGTAATCTTTCTGAGATTCGTAAGCCTGGGCAGTACATCGGCGAGGCAAGCAAAGTCGAGGTGCTGCTGCCAGGGTGGGCGACGAATCAAAATATTCGCTTATTCGTCAACGGATAATTCCGATCCGGAATATCGCGGATATTGACGAATATTCGTAGCTGACTAAGCACAACCTGCCACCCAACAAGTGTTTGGCTGCCCAACGCAACCCAACCACCAAAACTTCACCAATTCATCAATTCCTTTAATCCACAAAGATGTCTTTCATTTCTGAGGGTTCTTCAATATCCAGAGATACAGGCCGAGGCTCAAGCTCTGTTATAGAGCATACTCGGCCACCACAAGACGACGAGCCAGCGCGAAAAGGCAAAAACCGCATGTATTATTGCAAATATTGCGAATCATGGGGTGCTCAAAACACAACCAACTTCCGGAACCACCTCAAATCCAAGCATGGAATCACAACTACCAACCAATCGAGGAACGTCGATGATCTCAGCAATACTGTATTGCAATCTCTATACGAGAAAGCAATGGTGACCAACCAGACCTCTGAGTTAGACGCTCAAATTATGAAACGAGTGTTAAATAAAGAGGTTATCACACAAGCGGTTGCTTCACTTATTGTTGTTGAGAGCCTTTCTTTCCGGATTGTTGAAAGTCCATACTTTCACACCGTTTGCAAAGCCCTCAATCCAGCTGTATCAAACGAAGTCATCGCATCACACTCGACAATCAGAGAGCATATCAAAAAATCTTGGATTTCGAATAAGGACATCGTTCGGAAGAAGCTTCAATCATCCCTTTCAACAATCCACCTCTCTCTTGATGTCTGGACTTCCCCAAATCAGAAACTGTTCCTTGCAGTTTGTGCTCATTTCGTTGATCTTGAATCGGAAACCCTTCAGAAAGCACTTATCGGCCTCCCATCTATTTTGTCACACCATGCAATAACACAACACGAAGCTCTTCTCTGCGTTTTGAAGGATTATAATATCTTTTCAAAAATCGGGGCAATCATCGGCGACAATGCTTTTACCAACGATAAGCTTTGTAAAGCCCTCGAAACAACTCTCAGCGAAATGGCAATCCCTTGGTCATCATCAGATAATCGAATCCGATGTAATGGCCATATCATCAACCTTGCTGTTCAAGCATTTCTGTTTCAAGATATTGATGAAGAGAATGAAGAGATGAATGTGAAGGAGGTGAAGATCTCCTTTGATCTGAGTCCCCTGATCAAACTTCATAATATCGTCAAACATATCCGAGGATCCCCTACTCGAATTAGCCAGTTTATTCAGCTTGCTGGCCGAATGATCCCTTTGGATAATTCTACCAGGTGGAACAGTTGGTATTTAATGATTCAAGTTGCCCTTGAAAAAGAAGCTGCACTTGATTCGTATATCAAACTCTGGTATGAATCTCTCCAAAAGGATTACCTTTCTCCAGATGATTGGGAGAATCTTCGATTAATATCAACTTTCCTACATCCATTCTTTCGAGCAACAAAAGCAACAGAAGGAGATCATGCAACAATCGACCGAGTTTTATTCACTATGGATATCCTGATTCAGCATTTCAAAAAAAGCCTTTCAGTATATCAGTCAAATCCTTTCCTATCTTCTCGGATTGAGAAAAGCTGGGCAATATTCGACAAATATTATCTAAAGACGGAGGAGTCTTCATTTTACGCAGCAGCAGTGATTTTTCACCCATCACGACGAACCTTATATCTCAAGCAAAACTGGGATAAAAAATGGATACGGCCAGCAATCAACTCTGTCAGAGAACTCTGGGAGAAGCATAAGGATCAATTAGCAAATACTTCTCCAACGTTACCATCAATGCAAATTGATGATCTTGATGAATTCGACATTCTTGCTCAAAATCTTGATGTTATTCCACGGCAACACGTCAAGGATGAGTTTGAAGAGTATATCTCAGAAGCAGTAATTTCGATCGAAACATCAGCATTATCCTGGTGGTTGAATGGACAACAACGACGACGCTGGCCAAGATTATCTCAATTGGCGATCAATGTTTTATCAATTCCTGCAATGAGTGCTGAGCCAGAGCGAGTGTTTTCTGGGGGTCGTCGTACAATATCTTGGGAAAGGATGCAACTGGGTGAAGATACTATTGAGTTTCTTGAGTGTTTGAAGCATTGGATAAGGTCAGGCCTTGTAAATAGTAGCTTGGAGGTGGAGGAGGAGGATCTGGATGACTAAGCAGATTGTGGTGGTTCGGACCCACACTGACGAATATTCGTTGATCTGTCAGCAAATAATTGACGAATATTGAAAATTGATTTGTCAGCCAACGAATCGATTGTCGCCCACCCTGGCTGCTGCAGGATCTCGGTCTGTTGTCGGAGAGCATATTCGTAGGCGGCGTAGTATTCGCGCAGCTGGCGGCGGTTGAAGGGGCGGGTGCTGTGACCGCCATAGCGGCTGGCCGTGTTGGTGAACATGTTTATCTTCTCTCGGTGGTGGTATTTTCGGACAAATTGGTCGAAGGTGAGCTTGGGGTCCGGGAGCGTATGGGGGATGAAGATGAGCGACCGGACGTATTTGGACTTGACGGGGTGGTCAGCGACGACGCAGAGATTCTTGAAGTCGCTCTGGTGGAGGTAGAGGACGATCTCGGGGAGGGCAAAGGGCTGGCCGAGGTGGGCAAAGTCCTGGCACGTCTGGCGAAAGCTGGGCACGTCGGCCGTGTCGAGGTATGAGCAAACCATGTGCCAGATCTCGGGCGGCAGCTTGGGCAGCCGCACCCCCGCGACCGCCTCGGGCATAGACTTACGCGCCATTCTAGTTATACCCGATACTGGTAATGGCAGATAAGGGTGAATACGTGATGCGGGACAAGGGTGAATACGTGATGCGGGATAAGGGTGAATACGTGATGCGGGATAAGGGTGAATACGTAATGCGGGCTTCGCGAGTTGGAGTTCGGTGTCGAAACGATGGCAGAGTTCTAAATAGCGGGAGTTGGAGTTCGGTGTCGAAATGATGGCGGAGTTCTAAATGGCGGGAAAAGGCGAATGGAATGGTGCTGAATCGGCCAGGACTTGCCCCAACCGATCGGGCGGAGGGGAACTCAAGGTTTGGGGGTTGGATTTGGGGAAGCCGCGCCCGAGCCATAACTCCCGCCCCGCGGACCACACTCGTCATCGACGCTTAGCGGTCACAGGTTATCTCAGCAAGCTCAGACCTCTTTTTCAGGCGTGGAAGGAGCCCCGGGGCCTGCGGCCCCCCCATAAAAGAAGGCACCCTAGACCGCATTCGTATCCTGTGACCCGCAAATTTTTGCTGTGGCTCAGATAGACCCACTTGGACACACATTGCACAGAACGCCTGAAAAAGAGGTCTGAGAGAGTAATGTTGCGGTAGTCGTCAAGGGCGTGTCAACCGCCATACAAATGGAAAAAATGTAGATTTGTTTTCCTTCAATTGTATAACAACCACATATCATAAAACTACATAAACATATGTCTGAGGATACTGAGACGCTCAGAAATCTAATGGTGTAGTTTTTATTATGCACGTTTGTCTAGAAGTGACATTTGTAGCGTCAAACGAAAAAAGATCAAGACCTCTCCGTCTTTTTACCGACAGCTTCATCCCAACTATGCAGCCACAAGAGGGCCAAAAAAATTGAAAATTCGGATATAGAATACGCTCGCGCGGGGCATCCTCAGCATATGATTTTTTCTTCTATAACCTACTGATGGGGAAATGATGGTTTTACCAAAGTAATGTATTAAAATATAAGTGTGTAGAAGGTTGATGTTACGAATCCCTGCGGAAATGCGTGAAGGTGGGGCACTCCCTGTTTAGTGTGGACCAATCAGAGGTGTCCCAGGGTCCCGAGCACTTGGGCTCGGGGACACGGGACAGCCCCGGAGGACCGCCGTCCCGGACGCGGGACCACGGGACAGTGGGACCATTGTTATTGGTCCAGTAGATAGATATATACAACAACCGTGCCCACGGTTCTAGATAGCTCTTGCTTGATCTCGCAAGCAAGCAATACACATTCACTGTGTAAGAGAAGGCAGGTACGCCAGATCAAGGTGGTCACAATGCAGGTAAGAAGGTGGGCGAGCAACGAGTAGTATTGGTGTGAGACTTCAACCTGGCCCTCGCAAAGGAAGGTGGGCGAGGGCCACGTTTATATACATGCTCAGGGGCTCAGGCCCGGGGCGCCATGGCGTGGCGTAATGGCTTGTGCCAACTGGCAGTGTTCTGGCCAGTTGGTAACAGGTGGTGAGCGCGCACCCTGTGCGCGCGGCTGGTGTTTGGGGTGTCCTTTCCTTACACACTGCACTCATACAATTTGAGTGGCATTCCAATTTGACTGTATTACCCATGCGATAGGAGCTTGCCCTTTGTTCTATCTTCATAATTACTAACCCCAGCATCCTGTGGAGCCCGTGCTCCCTTACAGACAGACGACCCTAACAGCCGAGTGGTTTGTAATAGCCCTCTCTCGAAGACATCAGGGGCATCGAATACTTCGGGGCGCTCCTCCTTATTATTCCGCTTAGTAATACTATCGTTATACAGCTTACATACGTACGAAATAATGTCTGTAGTAGGGTCGCAGCCTTGTGAGTTCCCTTCTATTTACTCTCAAAGAGAGTCTCGACCGACTTGCAAATAGTTATAAGGAAATTACCGTTCAGGGCGAAGCGCGAGAAGGTAGCATATACGTCATGCGTGGAATTCTTATTATATTTAATATCAAGGGCATATAAGGCATTAATATGCTCAAGCATTAGATCTATGGCTTTGTAACCACTTCCAGCTATTGTATAGCGAATAAGGCCGCCTTCTGTCACGGCACGGCGGTAGGCGCTAAGGCCCTACGGGTGCGTGACCATACTATAACCCACTATAGAATTGCAGCCTGACGGCTTGTAATTCTGGCATCCTTTTGGAAGGTGTGGTGTAGCGGTAGTGGGTGTTGCTAAACGCCGTCACACCTTCCAGAATGGCCTGCATTGTATGATCTTCGCTAATACGAGGGTGTAGAAGCCAGGCAAAATAGAACATCTCAGGGCCGTAATTTGACTACTTTCCTCCCCAGAGTAACAAAGGCAAATTCGTTACAATGTCCCTGAGAGTTCCCCAGTCGCCGCAGCGAATAGCTTCATGTATGATGAAGAGAATCTCGGTATATTGAAGAAGGCGGCACTGGCTTCGGAACTCCTTGTCAACGAAGTTGCCCTCTATAAGGGCTGAATAACGCCTAATCCAGGCATTATATGTGAATAGTTTCTCCCAAACAGAGTTGACGGCATCGTCAAGAATATCGGGGTCTAGGCCCTTCTATTTCTCGAGGACATTTTCGACATTGAGGCTGTTGGTATTAATATATTCTTTCTCCACCAATTCACTAAGAACAAATGCCAGAATTCGTACACTATAGCCGTGCATTAATAGAGGCATAACCTGGTGATATTTGATATTGTTTTTCGTAATATTCTTGCCCCGGTGGAAGAATTGCATATCAGAAGAAACAATAGCGTTTGTGACGTTATTTTTATCGTCACCAGAGTCCCAGAAAACCCGGAAAAGAAACTCAATATAATTAAGTTCAATATGAAAGAAAGCAGGCACAGGGACAAGCCACTTCTTCTGCTCCCACTTCCCGCTAGCCTCTAACTGCGAGAGCTTAATGCGGCGAATAAAGAAGGTTGTTTTCATGTCGCCATAAACAAGGGTGAGGCGTTCAGCGATGTTAGACTATTGGTCTAGTCCAAGCCTGCGTTTGAAGAGCTCTTCGTGTAGTTTGTACAGGCCGTCGATAGTTCCTTCATCCTCAAATATAGCCCCGAGCTGTAGGTATGGGGAGTTGTCGTATACAACTCTCTTGACAACAGGCATGCCGGGAATGTTGTCCTTTGTGAATATCTTTATGAGGGCCTGTTCGACTAGCCATTTCGCTACACACACTTGGGCCTACCATTTTCACCACCTAGATTGGGTAGGTATGTATTAGTTGAGAGGCCAAAAATGGCCAAACAAGTTCACATGTCATAAAAAGCCGCCCTTGAATTCATGCGGTTTTTGCAATATTCGCTTGACTGCCGAAAGAGTCAGTTCGACAAGTTCCCATCACGCATAATCAATATGGAGACACGTACCCTCCTTCCAGGTGAGCTTCTCGCGCGTGTCCACCGAGTGCAGATGCCACAGCCAGAGACACCACAGCGCGACGAGGCCGTCGAGAGTGCGGCGGGGCAGCGGCACGGCCACGAGCAGCTTGTGCTGGCCGCCGTCGCTCTTGCTGTCCTGGGTGGCGACGACGTTGCCATCGACATCAATCCAATCGATCAGGCCGTGGCGCTTTTCCTTGATGGCGAACAGGTGGGCCGGCGCTGCACTGCTGCTGCCGCTGCTGCCGCTGCCGCCGCCGCCGCCGTTCCTGTCTGAGACGATGGGCACGGCGCGGTGGCCCGTGTGCGGGAACGAGCTCTTCCGGATGCCGACCTCGCCCAGGCCCTTGCGCGTCGTCGGCTGCACCTTGCCCAGGAAGTCCAGCGCCAGCCACGGCTGCAGGTGCGTCAGATTGTACAGCTGTTTGCTACGTTTCGTGATGGTGCTGGGCGTGCCGTCGGCTGACGTGCGCACGCGGTACGAGAGCCGCTCAAACTCGATGGTGGTCGTCGCGGCCCCCTGGGCGTGGATCTGCCGCGACAGCTCGTATAATGGCGTTGAGTCGGCCGTCTCGGCGTGCACGAACCGGTCATTCAGAATGAAGATTGTGGGTTGCAGAATCTCGTCGGGAGCGTCGTGCTGGTCGCTGTACAGTGGTGGGCCGCCCTCGGATGGCGGGCGGGCGGGTGTCTCGGGGTCTTGTGGTGTGGCCATTCACAATGACGCCGTGTTTCAAGTTTGATGGTGGGGTGGTGGAAGGGGTAGTTTGGGATATGGAACTTGTAACGTGTTGTTGTGGAATGGTGGTAGGCACTAGAAGACTATTGCCTTCTGCTCCCCATGGTGCGCCGCAGTGCACTCGCTCCAATGCTCGTAGGGCAATTCTTGGGCCGATTTACCGGGCATGATGGGTCGCCGCTTGTGATCGGGTGGATGGAGCCGCCGTGACGCCAATTACCCCCGCAATTGTTGCTAGTTCAGAGCAAGTCTGCCAGGCTTGGCGCGTTACCAATCCCAGCAATGCTGCCCGGTATCCACCATCGTATCATTATTTGGAGAAACCTCGGAATAGGTATTTATCCTCCGCATTAAGTCTTGGATTGATTTTTAGACTTGATCTTCGACTTCCTCTAGAAAACACGTAGCCGAGTCGGTTATAGTTGCGCAAGTCGAGAAATCAACATGAGTAGTTGGAGAAATCCTCCGCGAAGCCACCAACGGGCGAGGAATCTGCCCCCGAGTATGAATAACCCCCAAAAATCCCCGAAACATAATAATGTTGTGTCGGCCGCAAGACTCTCACGTTGGATGTCACCGTAGGCCTCACCATCTCTGTGCCTCTCAATCTCGCCGATGATACCACCGTTCCTCCCGCCGCTAACGATGCTTAAAAGAAAGAGACAAAGAAGATTCTCGCGGCCGTCTTGGCACGCAAGCTGAAGAGATCCGATATCTAGTCCTCAGTCAAAGGTCTCGGGCTCGACAAGATTTTCGAGCTCGTCAGGGACACGGCGACGGAGAAATCCGCCGAGCTACTTGAACTCGACCGCATATGCCAGACCCCATGCACCATGAATGAAGCCAGAGTCGCCATTAGACGGTTCACGAATTCCAGCACCCGTGATGGACAGCGATTTCTCGGGCTCTTCCGCTTTCTGGCCCTGGGCCTCGCGGTCAAGCAAGTTCAGCTAAAGAACGAGGGCGACGCCTCCAAGGCCGATAACCCCGAGGAACTCGTGGACGAGTTGACCCACGAGCTTGACGCCGCGAGACTCTCCGATAACTAGAGTGAGATAGCGGAGTTGGTGTCTGAGATGCAGACGCTGCAGCTGCCGTTCTATTCCTTCGGCCATCTCAAGCGGGACCCAAACCATTCATATCGGCGGGGCGTCCCAGAAAGTGCAGGGATAGAACTCGCCAGAGTTGTTGCCGATCCGGAGTGGCTGGAATACAACGTCCGAGAGGCGGAGATGGAACAAAGAGGACGGCAACAATACAAGGCAGATGAGTTGGGGGTTGCAGAGAGCGAACAGCAGACGGAGGTTGGATGTCGGGGAGCGGGAGATGTCGGGGAGCGGGAGACGTGCAAGGACAGCAAGCCGAGCATACTGGTAAGGATAGCCAGGAAGACCACAAAGAGGAGGGAGATAAGGCAGCAGATGGAGAGCAATCCGAGCATAAGCCGGCCGAGTAAAGGAAGGAGAGCAAGTCTAAAGCTTGCACGAGCATCAAGACGAGTGTGATAACCTTGACCGTGGGGTTTCGGACTTTTAGCTCCATAGATTTTTTATTTTCCATTCCGATATGGGCTTCTTCATATATCGGGTCGAGGTTACCTGAACTAGACGAGGGCTGAATTTGCATTCTCGGAGCTCTAATTAACTCAGCTCTTTAGAGTTTGCTCCGCCTATCATGTCAAACCCCACGTCTACTCTCCACAAGGCTTTGTTAGCTATCCACTTTAAACTCAGTTCAATCCCATTCCTCTTTGTTGTACACTTAGTAGCTTCAAGAGGTCCTAAATGATTGGGGCAAGTTCTTCGTGGCCCAACGATGAACAAGTTATAAAATGGCCAAAATTTCTAACGCTACTGATTCCTTTGAAGTACAGCAATATTAAAGGAAGTTGGTCTAATAAGCGTCAAGGTTCTTTCTTGGAGAACGTTGAACCAAATATCGCCACTATTAAAGTTCGTTCTTTATCCCCCCAGAGTATGCAAAATTACATGCGCCAAGCCCCTTTTAGCCTCAACAATTGTTACATAATGAAAGGCTTTATGCTTCTCTCTACGTAGGAGCCTGTTTTTTGACAACTGTCGCGCTTGGTTTGGCTACGATAGTGAGGAAATCTGGCAAACCTCGTATTTAAAGGACGACTCGTTTTAGTTTAATTAGACGTATTCTGCATCGCTCAAGAGTTTCCAAACCATTAGGGGACAGTTCACTCTTTTCATTCCCAGATAGAGGTCTTGTTATTCAATATGTCAGGATCTGCGGCTCAGGCCGTCCCGGCTATTGCCAACTTGGACACGGACAATGTTCGTGACATCATCTGCTACATGAACTCGCGCCGGAACGTCGACACGACTCCTCAAAATGAGGTCGTGCAGTTCGTTGCCATGTTCTTCTTCATCATCCTGTCTACTCTGTCCTTCGCCTTCCCCATCATCCCCCCGGCCAAGTTGCCTTTCAAGGTCCCTGGCCATGTTTATGACTTCTTCCGCTTCTTTGGCGGCGGTGTTCTGATTGCCACGGCTTTCGTTCACCTGCTCGACTCGGCTTACGAGTCGATTGGTCCGAATACCTGTGTCGGCATGTCCTATGGCTGGGCTGAGTTCTCTTGGCCTCCGGCTATTGCCATGACTTCGGCTCTGCTCTTCTTCATGTTCGAGGTTTCTACTGAGCTCTGGGCTAAGGCTGTTACTCTAACCGATGCTGAGAAGGCTCAGTACACTATTCCATCGACTGCTCGGGCTTTGTGGGCTCAGTTCACATCGTTCTTAGTCTTTGAGATTACTATTATCATGCACGCGGTCGTTATTGGACTAAACATGAGCACTGTTTCGGAGAAGTCGATGATGTACTTTGCATTCGTCTTCTTCACCATCTTCGAGGGGCTTAGTCTCGGGGCTCGGCTTAATGCCGTCCAGCTCCCCAAGAGCATGGCTTGGGCTTGGATCCCTTGCGTTCTTTGCCTTTTCTACAGCTTTGCTACCCCCATCGCCATGACTGTTGGCATCGCTCAGGGTTACGACCGCCATGCTTTTCACCCCTCGGTGGCCTCGGGTGTGCTCGACTCCATCTCTGCGGGCATCATGCTCTATGTGAGCTTTGTTGATGTTCTTGCTAGAGACTTCATGTTCAACACTGATCGCCCTCGCAGCACTCTTGGTCTTGGCCTCATGCTTGGGGATCTGTTCATGGGTGTTATTCTCATGGCTATCATGGGTAAGTGGAAGTAGGTCAACCTCTTCTGCCTCCCTTCGCCAAACTCCCCTTCCAGTCCTTACCGAGCTGCTATTTAATGTTTCGATATTGGCTTTCCCGATCGCGTAAACATAGACGAGGCCCCTGAGAATGTTGGAATGAAAGATAAGAAAAATTTACAAAAAAATAGATAAAAACATAATTCCTAGGTAATCGTGCGTTATTGGTCGAAGTGATTGTGAAAGCCTCCAATGATGTGATTGGCGGTGAGTTTCCACGAGTTCCTCTGAAGCGAATGTGGCTGAGTTTCGGCTCTGAAGGATGATGTCGCCGGCGCTTGGCATTTTGGCGTTTCCCCAACAGCCAACCGTCAAGCTCAAACAATGGATCCCCTGTCCATCTCAACAGCCTGTCTCGCGCTGCTGGGTGGAATCGGCAAGACGGCATTCATAGTGATCGATTTTGTCCGCGGCTATCGGACAGCGCGCTCCGACTTGACCGCCCTGACCGGCGAGCTGACCCAGCTCCAGCCGGTGCTCGAGCTCATCAAGGACGACACCGCCGTGAGTGACGATAAGATCATCCCCCCATTGCTTTAGTCACAGGTCCTCGACATCACCAAAAACTGCTTTTCTGTCATGGAGAAGGTCGACACGGTCCTCGAAAACCACAAGGGCACGTTAGGCTCGGCAAAATTGGTCGTGTTGGATTCAGTCAGTTGCACGGTTGGATAGGTTCGATTGTGTGTAGTCTTGTGTGTTCTTTCAATTCCTGGCTCTCGCCCGTTCTTCTAGAAGTCTCTGTTGTGGCGCACTAGCCCTCCCCCTGCGGTGGATCGGCGCCACGACCGGGGTCAACCACGTGACTTGGCATGTGGCTAATCTGACAGGTCGTCTCAATCCTCGAGCTCATGGACAAGGTCATGAGACTACGGGCCATCATCGGTGACAAAGATATCCCCTCTGCCTCCCGCGGCTAGAACTTCATCCTCTAGCGGCACCTTAACAGCCCAACCTCGTATGTGGAAACGGTTTGCAACGATATCGAGCGGGATCCACCAGACGAAAGTCCTTCTGACCGGCCAGGAACATCGAACCGTAAAGATCTGATTTCTTTCTCCGAGCTAGGTGTTGCGGGACTGACCCAAGGAGATTCGATCTATTTTCAAGGGCGATCTAGCCCATCTGCAGCGAGCGGCAAATAGACTAGCTCGAGAGAGTCTCCTACCCCATCTTTGCAAGCTGCCGCACATTCAATCGGGCTGCAGATCAGAAGCTCCTCGGCAGAAAGCCGGCTCGGGTCAAGATTGGCGAGCTTAATGGCAGCACACGGCCCGAGAATGGAATATCTTGGCCGGACTTTGTGGACCCGCAGGCATGGGTAGTTGGGCTTGTTCTCCTAGCAACCGGTGGCGTCCAACATAACCCTGCCCTTGCCGTGTCGGCGGATATTGTCACCCTCGTCGTCGATGTAGAACGCCTTACCCACATACTGTTGGTGCTGGATGTGAGGGCCTGGTCCTCCAGGCCTCCCAGGCGCTCTGACTAATCAGACGCCAGCCGGGTGGATCCACCCAACTGACTAATGGAAGCTCGGCCAGAGCCCCACCTTGAGACGCCCTGGAAGAATCTCGCGAGGGGAGGCTTTTGAGCTTCTTTTCCCTTTTCCCCTTAGTTTAGAATCTTCGTCTATAGCGCCCAATAGAGGAGTTCCGCCCTCATTCCAAGCCGGCCGTGACAGAGCCCGTGCTTATTACAAACCACTCGACTGTTAGGGTCGTCTGTCTGTAAGGGAGCACGGGCTCCACAGAATGCTGGGGTTGGTAATTATGAAGATAGAACAAAGGGCAAGCTCCTATCGCACGGGTAATACAGTCAAATCGGAATGCCACTCAAAGTGTATGAGCGCAGTGAATGTGTATTGCTTGCTTGAAGAACCAAGCAAGAACTATCTAAGACCGTGGCTACGGTCGTCGTATATATCTATCTAGGGTGGACCAATCAGGGCGTTGGTCCTGGATGATCAGTGCGATCAGTTCCCACTGATCGCCCTGATCATACTGATCGCGCTGACCGCCTTGCTATTGGCTGCACTCGTGTGAAGCGGGGAACTGTGACGGCGCCAGCCTGCAGCACTCACTACCACTGCGCTAGAACCCCCAAAAGGATGCCAGAATTGCAAGTTGACAACTTGCAACCTGTAGTAAGCTATATAGTACTGCTACGGCCATTGCGCGCCGTGACAGGAACTACCCCGCTTCCTTGCGCCAGCTAATAGCGGGAGGCTCCGTGCAGCCTCCTGCGCGCTTGAGCCAGGATCGTAACAATAAATATATAGACAACAGACCGTCAATCCGGTTAATGAAGCTTTGGAGAGGTTAAGAACCTAAGGCGTAATAGTAGCTAACCAACCTCATTTATAAGACAGTCGCCCAGTATATCTGGACCTTGTAGGGATATTTGATACTCCCATTCTACAGATTATGAAGTGTCCTAGCGTATGGAGTGCATAACTATTAGGATACGATCTAACTAGTGATGATGTGGCATATCAAGACTTCCATAATGACAGCTATGTACCTCAGTGTCACGGCAGGGCCAAAACCCGCTGGTTGGGCGCATCGGTTTTAGGCTTTGTGGCTCGTGCACTCTTGCAGGAGCTCCACTCTCTAGCGCCCACAACTATTTCCCCACGGCCGACCAGCCGCCCGGCCGCTCTCGATTCCTTCTTTCTTTCTTTCCTTAGCTTTAGATTCTACGAATATAGCCTGGTAAATGCAGCCTTGTCTCATTCGATCGACTGTGCGGTGATACTCAGCTTCCTGGAGGAGCCTCAAATGTAAAACTCAGCCCGATTTTTCTGCTCTCCCTCTCCACCTTAGAGACTTTTCCTACCAAGGCTTCTGAAAAAGGAAGGACTATTGCAGCCCAGTTGACGACCACCTCGTCCACCGCAAATAGAAGCGTGATTGCATATCCTTGCTTGATTTCGAAGCCAAGCCGCGCGTCAAGAATCGCTCTACAAAGTTCAGAACACGACACCGCGGCAGAGAGCTGTAACTTACAAGCCACCAACCGGGAACTTTTGTGCTCAGGCTTAGAGCCGACACGATTCAGCTCAGAAAACGGTATTTCGTGCAAAGACCGTCTGCCCCTCGAGGTGGCCATGTCATGAAGGTGCGAACCGACCTAGTACGCTACTTGCAATCCTTTGACCCACAGATGAACCGTCAGAACGCGGCGACCGGCTTTTCGACTGCCCCTCCTTAAGCACTCAACATGTCCAGGGAATTCCTCATATCTTAGCCAATAATCAAGGAAGGCTACATTTTTCGAAAGAGCCTTTGAGTATGGACCAGATGCGCTGAAACTTGTTAGGTAGCTAGCTACCATCAGATGCAATGGCTCGTTTCCTTACCTCATCAAAAGCGAGCTGTTTGCAGAAATCTAGGCCGGACAGTTTCAACTGCCAGGCCGCAACTCAGGCCACCAAGCGTAGACCGGGTCGGGCCGTTGGTTACGGCCCGTCGGGTCGGCACAGGGCTAACGTCAGCTGACAGGGCCTTTAATACGGGCAACAACTATCGACCGGACTGCTGAACAAGGCCGAGTTACAGCTGATGGACATTCTCGAGTCTGCAGGATATTTCAGAAGCTAATGGGCATTTTCGAAGATTCGAAGAAAACGACTGCCAAGAATAATACAGATGAAATTACAGCTTCCCCTCAACAACTCACTCCTGCGACCGCAGCGGCGCTCTCTTGGCGTCGATGGCGGCCTCCCTCTTCTTGGCGGCAGAGAACGGGATGGACACCTTGACCTTGTGCTTGAAGCCCTGCTGCACGCCGTCCCACTTGAGATAGTTGTTATAGCCCGTCATGAGCTGCAGCGAGTAGTCGCCAGTGGCCTTGCACCGGGTGAACGACTGCTTGGGCGCGAGCAGGTTGCGGAACCACAGCTCGGCTTCGCACGTGTCGGGCGGGATCATGCTCACGCTGCCGTCGGGGTAGTTCTCGGCGGTTGAGTGGCATGATGTGCACGCGGACTTGAAGTTGTCGACTGCAGGTTGTCAGCTGTGGTTCCACTCAGCCGAGGGTGGGAAGTTTCGCTATCTTACCAGGGCCGTTCAGCCTCCCAGACACGCCCCAAGGGCTCGACGCTCGTGTCCCGCCCAGCCTCTTCTTGAGATCGTCCGCCACGGGATTGATCCAAGACTCGACGGGACGCTTTCCGTCTGCGTAATCTTGCTTGGTGAGGTTAGGGTCATTTCCCCACATGATGCCGACCGGGATGATGCGGTCCCACGTCTGCAAACTTTTGTTAGAGGATCGAGTTCGAGATCAACATCCAAATCTGCCAAGGGGCAACTCACGTTCTTGTGCTGGGTCAGACTCCCATCGTACATAAACGTGCCAAATACCCACCCGATTGGCGACCGGTCGTCACGGACAGCGAAATCAACCTGCAGGAGTCGCAAATCGGTTGGTGTCGTCTTGCGCTCACTCGCGTTGTTTTTCTTCACAGAGTCGGGGGTCGCAATGAACTAGACCGGTCAGCGGCAGCCATCTCCAGTCTCCGAGGCGGGGAGAACATACGGCTTGCATCGTCGGGGCGTCCTTGAGATTGAAGAGTTGCGTTTCGTTGGCTTCCGTCATGAGAATCTGCGTCTTCTGTGTCAGCCCTTTGTTACCATGCGTCGGATGCCGCCCTAATCACTGCCTACCTTGAAGACACATGTTCCGGGACGGAACGAGACTCCCGTCTCCCAGTTCGGCTTGGCCGGGTCTTCCCAGATTTCGCCAAACGTTGCGGCGCCTGTTTGGTGTCCGGTCAGCTCACCGAGACATTGTAAAAACGCAAAGGAAGCACCACGTACCGATCCAGTTGTAGAAACCAACGGCCCACGCCTGCACGACCGTCTCCTGCTTGTCCGAAAGCTCTCCCGCCTTGGTGGGTCGCTCGAAAGTCAGACCGTGGACTGGCTCCCGGCCATTGTCGTTCCAGTGCATCCACGGGGCATGGTACCAGGGGCGGATGGGGTTCTTGTGCACGTCAAATTCGCTGTTGACATTGCCCTCCCAGCAGTACAGCTTGACCCGCGCGCAGTACTCGAGCGGGTCTTCCTTGTAGTCGATATCGAGCCACGGCGCTTCCTTGAGGGGATCAAGGCCCGGGATGGGCAGGTCTGGGCCGGGCAGTGTGGGCAGCTGGCCCTTGGCGGCCACGTTCTTGGCGGCCAGCGTCTTGGCGGCCACGATGTCAAAGGTGCCGGGCAGCTTGGGGTAGTCGTTTCTGATGCGGAAGACCTTGCCCGTCCAGTTGTCGGGCAGCTTGACCACATTCAGGTACCCCCATGATGTCTCGAACTGGGCCTTGGCTTCCGCGGCGGTGTGGGCCAGACTTGGGCCTGACAGCTGGTTGACTGCAACACCAGTTCCGCCGACTGCGGCTCCACCGGCAATGATGCGCTTGGTGACGGTTCGTGAGAAGAAGCTGGCCGCCATTGCGTGCTCGGTGTGGTGTTTACAAATAATCGCAACTGCGGGGAAGGGGGGAGCCGAAGGAGGCAGCGCGCATGCGCAACGGCACTGAACAGGAAAAGGGACGAAAAAGGAAAATGGCAGAGCAAGAGAGCGGAATTGGGGAGTGTCACCCTTCTTTATTTCCTCGGCTGTTTCAATGTTCGGCAGGCTTCCAGTGCAAGAAGTAATGCTTTCGGGACTGGGCCAGTCTTCAGTGTTCAGCGTATGCCTATTTTGGGCCAGCACGCACCGCTGGGCATTCCTCCCCCAGGCCTAGACCGCACGCGTCTCACCCTTGCTCGGATATTTGACCACCTGCAAGCACAAACTGCAAGCAGCAAAAAATGCCCCGTGAAATGCAAGAATGTCCATGTGCCATTGGAAGCCTTGCACCGAACCGAGCGCCTGGCTGTCGGGTTTCGGACGTAGGCTTATTGGCGTTCTGTAACAGGTAGGCCATCGTTGGTGGGCTGGTGCAAGACGCGAGCTGAGGTTGACGTATCGATTGTCAGCCAAGCTTCCTATCCAAATGTGGCTTGCGGGCAATCAGTGCCGGCCTGTGACTGGCTGGCCATCAGTGCCGGCTTGCCATTTATCGGTTCTGGGCCTCGCTAGCGCTGTTTGAGGAATAGAGGGTGGTATTTCAGCTCTGTCTAGGCCTCAATAGCGCGCCCAGTCGCGCCGCATCTCATCCTAAAATGACAATGTCCAACCGATAGTGTCGCCGCACCCCGCACCATCCAATGTTCATTCGAATTTCAAGAGATCAACACCACCTTGACCTCTCTGCGCTGAACTGTGAAATTCCATACTGTATTACAACCAAGTCTCTTTATTTCACTCGCCGGAATTGTACTCCCAGACCCGGACCTCCTTATCATGGTTTGTGTGAAATGTTACGTTTCAGGACATTTCCGTCACCAAAAGACAGTCAATACTTCACCCCCAATACTGACACCGGTGGGTCATGGCAACCGCGAACGGCGCAAATCGCTAACCGATGTGAAAGTCAGCCGGAGGTGAAAGTCAGCCAGAGGTGAAAGTCAGCCAGAGGTGAAAGTTAGCCAGGGTGGTAATTCGCCTGTAGTTGTCATCAATTGAAATGGGATATATCACTCGAAGACGACGTCGCTGGCGCTTGCAAGGTACCCAACCTCTACATATCCCCGCCCTACCCGCCCGCCCTGCCCGCCCGCCCTGCCCGTCTGGCAGAACCGGCCCTCCAAGCCCCCTCAGTCACCTCTCACAGTCGTCAGGGCCCAAAAGTCAAAATGGGTCTTCTGGAGAGCTGCAAGGCGCTCGCCCTCTATCTCACAGCTTTGCTCCCATCATCGCTCCTGGAGTATGGTTCGTCTTTACACCAGGTCACTTTCGGGTCGCCGTTCACGGGCGATGTCCACCGCCCCGGGGGCCACTTCCCCCAGTTTCCCGCACCCAACGGACCCGACGACCCCAGTGAGGAGTTTGTGTGCAAGTATCCGAGTCTAGGCAAACAGTGGTCCAGCTGCTCCACCGCGGACGACCGAACGTGCTGGCTGAAGAACTCAGACGGCTCCAAACAGTTTGACATCAACACAGACTACGAGAACCAATGGCCCGAGGGCATCCCGCGCGATTACTACCTGGTCGTCAACAACCAGACCTTCAACGCCGACGGCATCGCGAACCCCGACGGCAAGGTGTTCAACGACTCATACCCCGGCCCTTGGATCAAGGCGTGCTGGGGGGACCTGATCCGGGTGACCGTGTTCAACAACCTGACGTTCAACGGCACGACGGTGCACTGGCATGGGTTCCGGCAGCTCAACAGCACCGAGATGGACGGTGTCAACGGGGTGACGCAGTGCCCCATCGCGCCGCAGCACAGCTACACGTACGAATTCCGAGCCACGCAGTACGGCACCTCGTGGTACCACAGCCACTACTCGCTGCAGTACGCCGACGGCCTGCATGGCCCCATCACCGTCTTTGGCCCGTCGTCGGCCAGCTACGACGAGGGCCGGAACCCCCTCATCATCACCGACTGGAACCACCGCAGCGCCTTCAAGGACTGGCAGCGCGAGCTCGTCCCCAAGCCGAGCTTCCCCACCATGAACAGCGTGCTCATCAATGGGCATGGTAGGTTTCCTTTGTCCGTGAGTCTGACAGCAGGGGCTGATCTCAACTTTGTAGGAAACTTTGCCGGTGCTTTTCCAAGGGACAAGTTCAATATGACGGTGACAAAGGTCAGCAATCATCACACACTTTTTTTATCACCATCCACGCATACTCACACAGAGCTCACAGGGCAAGAAATACCTCCTCCGCATCATCAACACGTCCGTCGACACGACTTACATCTTCAGCATCGACAACCACGAGTTCACAGTCATGTCCTCCGACTTCGTTCCCGTGCAGCCATACAACGTCAGCCACATCGCCGTAGGCATCGGGCAGCGGTACCACGTGGTTCTCAACGCCGTGCCCCTCGACAACGGCGCGCTGTCGGCGACGGGCGATTACTGGATCCGCGCGATCCCGGCCGACGGCTGCAAGGGCTTCGAGACGGGCAACGAGCCCGACGAGCGCCAGGGCATCCTGCGGTACGATGACGAGAGCAGGGGCGTGCCGACGAGTTTCCGCGATGGGTTTTCCACCGCGTGTCGCGATGAGAATTATACCCATCTCGTGCCCGTGCTGCCGTGGAAGATCCCGCCGGCGTCAATTTCCTGTGCGTCTGCTTTCTTTTCCCTGTTTTCTTTCATGTTATTAGGATGACTCTTTTATGTGTGTGCCTCGACTCGACTAACAATCCCCTCATCAGCACTGACCCCAGAATTCGACATCGGCAAGGTCAACCGGCCGGCGCGGCCCGAGCGAGCAGACAACTTCTCGTGGTGGGCCATGGGCGACCACCCGCTGTGGCTGGACTTTGGGCGGCCGACGCTGCTCGACCTGCACAACACGACGTGGAATAACGACTCGGTGGTCATCACGCAGGACGGCGACGACGACACGTGGGTGTACCTGGTCATCACGGGGCCGGGCAACAACGGCGCCTCGACGAACCACACGCGGTCCTTTTTCCCCGTGGCGCACCCTGTGAGTCTTGCGTGTCTCCCTCTGTTGCCAGTCCTAATTCGATCGGTAAATAGATGCACCTGCACGGCCACGACTTTGCGCTGCTCGCACAGGGCAACGACTCGAGCAAGCTGCCCGATGTAAAACTCAAGTTCGACAACCCGCCGCGGCGCGACGTGGTGCTGCTGCCGTCGAACGGGTACGTGGTGGTGGCCTTCAAGGCCGACAACCCAGGGTCGTGGCTGTTCCACTGCCACATCCCGTGGCACGCGTCGAGCGGGCTAGCGTTGCAGATCCTCGAGCGCCAGGCGGATCTGCAGAAAATGTTGACCGACGCGCGCCTGGCCGAGACGCGCAGGGTCTGCCGCGAGTGGGACGCGTGGTACGCCGACCCGTCGAACCACTGGAATGCATCCGCGCCGTTCCAGGACGACTCGGGGATCTGATGGGTTGGGTTTGACCTGTGTCTGGATAATACCCGAGTTGTTGGCATAATTATGTGTGTAAAGTGAATTAGAAACTGTGTGTAAGTGACCGGGAAAGCGTCTGTAGGAAATACACTCCAATCCCTGAATGTTTGTGCTGGCGTGGTACTCGGGCCGAATAATATCATCTGGACACTAAAAACATTGAAGAGTGCCGATCCCTAATAAAGTGGAAGACCACGGTAAGTGGCCTGAACGGTTGATGATGGCTGCAGGGTTGTCGACAGGGACTGTAACGGCGTGAATGATCCTACCGGTGAAGCCATGCGGGAGGAGGGTGATACGTGTTGGATTGGCTATTGTCAGATGGACAAGGGTTGCATGTGGAATAGAGCTCATCCCAGCTGAGCTCTGGTGTGGTCATCCGAGGTGAAAAGAGGCTCAGGGGAGCTGAAATGAAGTGGCCAGTTCAGCTGGTGTGGCTGCTTTTGCCACCACCATTGCCACCATTTACAACTATAATAGAGGCCCTCTGGCAGGACCAAAAAGAACAAGGAGGACGGATCAATAAAGAAAGTTGAAGTGCTGAATCCAACAATTAACAGTCTGATCACGCAAAACGATATCAAGCCATTGCGATTAAGAAAATCGGGCGCAGCACTTCGCTACCTACCTTTTACAAAATCACCAATATCATTTCAAAAATCCCTGCCTTACAGATTACCTCTGATTATCATTTTCCTCATCTTCCTAAAATAAAAACCACCAAACGCAACGAAAATCATCACCACGGCCATGACAGCACAGCCAGACTTCGAAAATGCCAAGTTCACCAAGCCCAGTGACTGGGATAGGTGGTCAGAGGCATATAAGAAGAAGGCAGAACATGCAGGAATATACGACTTCGTCAATCCGAATCATCGACTACGACAACCCTGGCCTACTGAACCAAAAGTACCTCAGTTCGACGGCTTCCAGAAGAAGAAGCAAGCCCAGCGTAGAGGCAACATAAACAACAATACCAACCGCGATGACCATAACGCACCGGTAATGAGCAGAGCTAGTGGATCTAACGCTCACTCAGTCAACCGCAGTGCAGCCCAGACGCGCGCTGCCTCTGCCGCTGCTGCCGCAGCCACTCGAAGATCACAGATTGAGGAGAGCAATCACAACCCAGACGACGGCGATCATAATTATGATGATTCTACATTAGAAGAAGAGGAGGATGAAGAGGAGGAAGACAATATCCACAACAGGGCTACGCAGTTCTCTGACCTTTCAACTATGGGTCAAACAAATTGGAAGATTGCATTCGAGCTTTACAAGGCCAACCTCAGCGTATACAACGCAAAGACCGGCGCCAGATCAGCATTTTCGAATTGGGTTCTGAAGAGTATCGGCCCAAACTATCAACACATCACCAAGCGGCGCGATCTCCCAGAAATTTACCAGGCAATCAAAGACCAATGGCTACCCTTCAGAAAGAACATCACGAAAGGCATTAGAGACGACTATACCAAGCACCTCGCACAGATCAAAGGCAAAGACCGGAAGCTTAGTGAGTGGATTACCAGATGGCAAAAGCTGGTAAACGATGGTGTTGAGCACGAAATTCTACAAATCGCAACACCAAGCTCGTGGTATGAAGACCTTGTGGAAGCATTGAAGAATATCCCGGACGGAAAGACATGGGCACTTGGAGAGCTTGCAACCTTAGAGGAGGATATCCTCGAAGGAATCTATTCTCACGACCAGCTAGCAGCTCGTATGCAGTCAGTCCTCGGTGGAGTAATCAACAATAAGCGAGTCCGATTCGACGCAGGATTTCCAACGCTCCACGGCAAGGATGCTGACGACAATAACACTGGGGATTCAGCAAAAGCCCAGAAGGGGAAAAGCCACCGTAGAAAGCGTGGAGAACGGCAAGATCAAGGGGGACGCCAGCAGAGCGATTCAGAAGATACCCCTCCAAAGCGACCATATAAAAAGGCTCGATCGGATGGAAAACGCTGCGAAAAACCCCCGACTGGTTCGAAGACACCAAAAGTGAGGCATTGGAACAACGAATCGCGAAGGTTCTCGACTATGACAAACAACTTGCCGAGAAGGTCAAGAAGGCGAGGGAGAGGCGCAAGAAGTTGTGACTATTGGCAATATTCAGATCCGAAGCTGCCCTCTCAGCAGCACTCACCAAGCCAATCCGATATAAGCAATCAAGAAAGCGGTTCTTACTCGTAAAAGCCGCCTTGAGTGCAAGCACTTACCCTCTTCGAAATTGCGCAATCCTAGATTCGGGAACAACACTCCACATCTTCCACAATAGGAAACGATTCAGGAATTTCAGGACAGCGCCTTACGGAGACTTCGTCTACGCAGGTGACACAGAAGTTCCGATCCTTGGCTACGGAGAGGTGATGATCAAGCTCACCACCACTACCGGAACTCGCCGACTATTACTCAAAGATGTAGCATACTGCGAAGGCTTTGCCTGCAACTTGATCTCACTTCGACAACTTCACAAGAAAGGTTTCCATTGGGACAACGAGGCTCCGAATAACTGCCTTCGAAGGAAAGATAAATCAGTCATCTGCGAGATCTCCGACCAATACGGGCAGTATATAATCGAAGATAGGCCGCTGAACGCAGCACTCCACACTCAACGAAGCACCTCATGGACTGGCCGACGATTAAGTGAAGGCACAGGCAAGCTATGGCACGGCCGGCTTGGCCATCCAGGATCTGAAGCAATCGCACACCTTCAAGTCTCATCATTAGGCGGCAAGCTACGCGGACCAGCAAGCTACGAATGCCCAGCATGTGGGATATCGAAAGCCAAGCGCAAGATTCGACGCGAGCCACGAGAAACGCCTCGGAATATTGGCGATCGCTTTGCTATCGATTTTCTGGACTTGGTCCCAAACCCCAAAGGCTTCAGCTCAGTAATGCTATTTACAGAGCGAAAAACAGGCTACGTATTTGATCTCTATCTCACTGAACGCAAGGCACCAATACTTATCACCGCTGTCAACATATTCTTAAGGATTATGGAACGACAGTATGGTCTTCGAGTTAAGGTGATCGAGTGTGACGATGAATTGATGAGATCCAAAGCTCTCAAGACCTTCTGGGAAAATAACGGAATCCGTATCGAACGTTGCGCACCACACTCGCAAGATCAGAATGGTGGCGCAGAACGCTCGGGGGGTGTGATCAAAATAAAGGCGAGAACAATGAGAGCAGCTGCCCGATTTCCACCAGAAATCTTATGGGTAGAAATCTACAAAGCAGCAGTCTACCTCTATAACAGAACGCCAAAGAAGCGTCAAAGTTGGCTATCACCATACGAAGTCTTTCACACCTTTCTAGCAAAAAGAGACAATATACCTCATCCAGAAAGAAAGCCTCAGCTAGCACACCTACGAAATTACGGCTGCCGCGCGTACGCAATGACGAACGATGCTCTCAAGAAAGAAAAACGCCTCCTCAAGCTAAACCCCAACGCGTGGATTGGATATCTCGTGGGCTACGAGTCAACAAATATTTACCGTATCTGGAACCCTAAGACAAATGAGGTCATCCGAGCACGTAACGTGGCTTTTAACGAGGATGATTTATTTTCCGGTGACCTTCAGCAGTTGAAGGATGACTTGCTGAGCATTACTAACGAGGAGATGGAGGTACTCCTTAAGAACTGCTCCCTTCCGCAACCCAGTGCCGATAGTCGCATGGCAAGCGATAACCTAACCACTTACGAAGAAGACGAAGAAATCCTTGACCATATCTTCGTAGGGGGTGAAGGAAACCAAGACTTTGAAGATTCAGAAGACGAAGTCTCTGAAAATTCAGAGCATCAAGGAAAAGACTCTGAAGATTCGGAGCACGAAGAATTGGGCGATGAGGACGAAGAGATGCAAGATGCCGATCCGGAACCACAAGAGTATGAGAAGGAGGCTGATCACCTCTATTCCACGATTCTTGATCCGCTTTTGACACCAGCAGCCTCTCCTCCACCGCCAACGGCGCTCCTTGCAGCTGCCTTCTCCTCACTTACTCTTGAAGAGCTCCAAGGTAGTGGGACGCCTCACAGCCCTAGGATGGGGCTTGCTGAGAAGAATCCTAACGCAGGATTTCCTCACAGCCTTAAGATGGGGCTTGCTGAGAAGAATCCTAACGCAGGATTTCCTCACAGCCTTAAGATGGGGCTTGCTGAGAAGAATCCTAACGCAGGATTTCCTCACAGCCTTAAGATGGGGCTTGCTGAGAAGAATCCTAACGCAGGATTTCCTCACAGCCTTAAGATGGGGCTTGCTGAGAAGAATCCTAACGCAGGATTTCCTCACAGCCTTAAGATGGGGCTTGTTGAGAAGAATCCTAAAGCAGGATTTGGCTGCCTTCCAGAGCCAATTAACAAACCCAGCAAAAATTATTGCACTAACGCGAAGAATATTGCGTGGCAAGCTGCCTTCAACTCTGGACGATACGCCGCAAACGTAGCGAGTCTCGACGGCAAGGCTGTGAATAAACACACCCTGCACAAGGAGCTTACCTACCATCGGCTGTCGCTAAGAAGACATCGTCAAATGGCCCGCAACAAGGCTGCAATGACTGCTACTCCAGCTGAGCAACAAACCTTTCCTATAATCGAACTATCCGCTAATGGTAGATACCATAGGAAAGATCTCCCTCTACCACCACGCAGTTACAAAGAGCTCAAGAAACACCTGCTGGATAAATGGTTTGTAGAAGCTATGGAAGTCCATATGCGAAGCCACCGCGAGATGAAATCCTTCGAAAAATGCCACCGAAGCGTCGCTAAGAAAGCCCATATCCTCGACTGTATGTGGGTATTCACATACAAATTCGACAAACACGGCTACCTTATCAAAGCAAAAGCAAGACTGGTAGTGAGAGGAGATCAACAAGCTAGGACGACGATTGAAAATACCTACGCTTCGACACTCGCCGGCAAATCTTTCCGCACGCTAATGGCAATCGCAGCTCGCTTCGACCTCGAGCTCATCCAGTGGGATGTTGTGAATGCCTTTGTACACGCCGACCTTCCATACGACGTATTCATGAAACTACCGCCTGGATACAGCGAGGAAAACACGATTCTGAAGCTTAAGAAGGCCTTATATGGCCTCAGAGAATCACCTTTGCTATGGCAGAGGAAATTCACGGCAACCCTGCGAGAACTAGGGCTTGTGCCGGTACCCCACGAACCATGCTGTTGGACTAAGGATGGCGTGATCATCTTCTTCTACGTTGACGATATTGTGGTGGCCTACAGGAAGGAAAACGAAGCTATCGCACAATCGGTAACAGCCGCCCTACGCGCACGATATTCCCTACAAGCAGGAGGTCCTTTGCAGTGGTTTCTGGGAGTATCAGTACTTCGCGATAGAGCCAGCCGGACGATATGGCTATCCCAAGCGGATTATATCGACAAGATGAGCCGTTTCGTTGGATCACAACGCCCACGCCGACCAAAAAGAACACCAATGGGCACTACCGAGTTACTACCATACAACGGAAAGGCACCATTCGCTCAGATCTCGGAATACCAACGCAAAACCGGAACAATTTTGTATGCCGCTGTGATCACAAGACCAGACGTTGCTTTTGCTATTTCCCGACTTGCAAGATTCAACCTGAACCCCAGTCCACAACACCAAGAAGCCGCGGATCGTGTGATCGAGTACCTCCTCAGCACAGCCAATTACGCTCTTAAGCTCGGGGGTGAGGATGAAATGGCTACCTGGAGCGATGCCTCTTTTGCCGACAATTCCATCGACCGACGGAGCTCCCAAGGATATGTCATGAAGCTATTCGGAGGAACGATCGGATGGCGCGCCAACAAGCAAGACACGGTAACAACGTCAACTACCGAGGCTGAACTATTAGCTCTCGCTCAGGCAACAAAAGAAGCTATGTTTGCAAATCGACTCGTGAAGGAAATTGGTATAACCCTCGACGATGACGCAATACAGCTCTGGTGCGATAATACCCAGACGATTGGGCTTGTTACGAAGGAAATCGCCACTCTACAAACCAAACTACGGCATGTGGACATTCACAACCATTGGCTTCGTGAAGCAGTCGAAACCGGGCAGATCCGCGTGAACTATACACCTACAAAGCAGATGGTAGCAGACGGACTCACCAAAGCTCTTCCGGAGGCGGATTTTCTACGATTTAGAAACCAGATTGGTGTGGTGGATGCGACTGAAGTGTTGATCACAAGAAGTAAAAGCCTGAGGATTTTGAAGGACGAAGATTTAGAGGCACTAGAAGATGAGTTTCAAGGAGGTGAGGTTGAGGTTGTTTGAATAACCTCTCGTTTGCCTGTTTAAGGAAGTCTTTTCAGCCAATCGCTAGCATGGCCATTGACTGAGGGGGTGTGTTGGATTGGCTATTGTCAGATGGACAAGGGTTGCATGTGGAATAGAGCTCATCCCAGCTGAGCTCTGGTGTGGTCATCCGAGGTGAAAAGAGGCTCAGGGGAGCTGAAATGAAGTGGCCAGTTCAGCTGGTGTGGCTGCTTTTGCCACCACCATTGCCACCATTTACAACTATAATAGAGGCCCTCTGGCAGGACCAAAAAGAACAAGGAGGACGGATCAATAAAGAAAGTTGAAGTGCTGAATCCAACAATACGCAGGCACCAAGGCAGTATAGTTTTGCAGGAGAGGGACGTCCGAGCGCCGCCTCCACGATGTCGCGCTGCGCGCTGGTGGACAGCAAGGCACGCGTGATGAGGAAAGTGTTAACGGAGAGCAGCGCGCGCAGGGCGTTGAGGCGCGTACCGAAGCTGGCGGGCGGGACTGCAGCGGCGTGGATGACACGCAGGTTAGTGGTGACTGTGATATTAGGGGTGCGGGTGTTGCTCTTTGTCCTGGTGGCGCCGGGAACGAAGGCCGTGGATTTGTTGGGCGTGGCGCCCGTGCCGGTGGCCGTAGAATCGGCAAGTGTTTGCTGCAGGAGCATGAGGGATTCTGGAGTCTCCGTGCTGCCGTCGCTGCTTCTGGCGGCCTCAGCTTCAACGGCAAGCGGCTCCAGCGTCGTCTTGATCGCCGTGACCAGTGCATTAAAGCTGACGAGTTGGTCGGGCTGCGGCGCAAACGTGTCGTCGTAGCGGGTGTTGATGAAAGCTGCAGCGTTACCGCGGAGCTTGAAGGTCGCCAGCGAATTGACGAGGCGACGCGCTTCGCTGTCGGTCAGCATGGATGCGAGGAAGTGGCGATTGTCGGCGATGGGCACTCGAGCGGCTACCGCCGACACGCCCATGACGGCGGAGGGCTCGGGCTGGGGGACAATGACATGGCTGCGCTTCAGCCGCGGGGCGGTCTCATGGCGTCCTTGGCGAAGACAAAGTTGCTGCTGCTGAGCGGATCGGCCTTGGGTTTGTTCACGCTCAGGGGTGCAAGCGCAACAGACTGCGACCGACATGGGTCCAATGGGGGAGTAGCTCTGTTTTCAGCCGGCTGAGCCGATGAGCTGAGGGTCGTTGGGGCGGGCGAGAGACGCGTTTGTTTCGAGTTGCCATCTCCCTGCGGCGTCGGCGTGCCGTTGTCGTCGCGGGGTCGCTTTGCTGCAGCCATAATGAGTTCAGGCTGGGCGAGTAATAAGTGAAACGAAGGGGCAGCTGAGATGCGAATCTTGAGTGTTGAATCTGAATCTCGAGTGACGAGATGGCAGTGGTTGACCAGTCGAAAGTGTCGAGATGGAAATGGTAAAAGAAATGGTGCCTGGCGTACGCACTGGGTGCGGTAAAAAGGTAATCGAACGTGCAATGGCTGTTGCGCTACGGCAGGAGGGTTCGCGTCCGGGTCTACATCACATGCAGTGAATAGATTTTCACCACAGCTGCCATTCTTAGCTGAACTTTGTTTCTCTCGTCTAACAACCCGAGTTCCTTTTGTACCGACGAACCCCCAATTCCGGCGTTAAATTCGTTGGCTGCTTTTAGGAAGTCGTATATGAGTTGGGCGTCGTTCACCATTGCTTTGGCAGCCGGGGCATCATCTTGAAACGGTGCGTATTCATCATCTGTGGATCGGGGGGCCCGGGGCTGGCTAGTGTTTGACATCGTCTGTTGGAAACCAGAGTTGTCAGCTGGTGGCCTTGTGAAAGTGCCAATCATCGCGTCACTAGTTCGAGAATACTATGGGTAGGGGATATCTTTTGGTAGGTAATGTATCTGTAGAAGTTGTAGATTATTTCAAGAGGTTTTGGTGGGTTCGAGGGTGTCCCCGAGTTTGTGGTAAGTTGTATATCCGGTATTGGCAGTATAGAATTGCTTGGTTATGAAGTTGTGAGCTCGCGCTATCATGACCAGGTAAGTCGAGGCTATGCGGCTACTTATGGAAAGTTGCGGGCGGCACATCCTACTGACCCAAGCCGGTCACTCCTGCCGATGTCAAGTACATCGCCTGGTAGGTGGAATGCAAGCTGTGAAGGTTACCTGCCGAGTCATATGCCAATCCTCGAAGATGCGCCCAACACTTCCCACGTTCTACGCGATTGCCTATCGTCCATACCGTCAAATTGGGTGTGAAACATGCAAGACAGCCGACAACCCGGCTGTGCGGGTTGATGATGGAACCACGAGGAACCAGAAGAGCGACTCTCAAACAGTCGGTTAAACGTGGAAACATGAATGCGGTTCTAGGGGCCAAATTCGACGAGGATACGAAGAAGTTGATCAAGGTGTAGATGCGCTTTTGGGGGCGAAGGCTGCTGAGAGGAACGGCACACTCTGGTTCTGGTCCGGAGGCTACTCGTTGAGCAACCCAACATTCCCATAATCATTCAGAAGTTGGAAGCTAGAGTCCCTTTAGAGAAAAAAAAGCGGGAAAGAGGTGGTCATGAACCTGAAAACCGCCCTAAAGCATTTTAAACATCTGCACAATTATTTGAACCGAAGAGGCCCGGCTACCGAGAACCAGCAGAATTTTCCATCAAACACATTATATCCTTCTCGCCTGATGACAAGGCTTCTACTTCGGTTAAGCTGTGCTAGGCGTCGAACAAGGAGTTCTAGGGCCGTGGTTACAAAGGAGGGCGGATGGTGTTACTCAAGGATACACTATGGTATCAAAGAAGGGATTCCAATCTACAGTTCTGCTCCCAGTCAAGTACAGTAATTATTCTCGCATTGCCCTGGTACGTTGTATATTGGAAAGCCAGTTTGATCTTCTTCAAGGCAGATTTGTGCAATCTCGGGGTTCCTAAATGTGAGGCTTTGCACAGAACTCACGGCGAAGAATAAATAGCAAACGTTAGTTATCTAAACCGCGTACAGTCTTATCGGAATAAGAATGTAACGACATGACTCGGCAATCTGATTCCAACCCAAACATCGCAAACATGACTAGGATTATGTTGCTAGAGATTATGAAACGGCTCTTAACTGCTTATCCTTAATTAGCAGCCAGGACGTTGCACCCGAATCTGACCTTGACTATCTTGGGCACTCTTATCATTCCCTAGGCGCCCAAAAACGAGAAAAAATAGAGCAGGGAAATGTAAAAGAGAGAGAGGGCAACGTTGACACCATGTGGTTTAGAGCCAGTGTCAATAGTTCTCAGCCCTTGCTAATACTAAGGTATCGCACACAGCCCTTCCCGACGCCCTAGACGGTAGGGATAACACGCCTACTTGGCACGGCTGTGTGGAGGTGGAGGTAGAAAATCAATAACCCATTCAGCCAAAGCCCAAAACCTAGATCGTTTTGCACAAGTTAGCCACATTTGTCGAGCTTGGGAGCTGTGTATTGGATATGCCACTTATTTCGGTTTGCTCTCTCCACCTCCCTGCGATACTCCTCATCGAGCTCGGCGGCATCCTTTTGTAGCTTCTTGAGGTTGGCGTTCATCTGAGCTCGTCTGAATGCGTTGACCATGAACATAAGGTCTTGAAACCGCAGTCTCTGGATCCGATCGTAAAACATGGCGTGGAAGGCTTCGTCGCTGGCACCGGGGTTCGCTGCGGCCCACGCATCAAGCCTGAGGAAAACGCGGCAGGCGTTTGGCCCATGTTTCTCGAGCCGACTTCTCGCGTTTTCGTACATTCGCAATTCCGCAATTCTGTTCTCGACCAACTGGTCGAACATCTGCAGAAATCGCGGAGGCGTGTTCGGTTCAGACATCCTACCCTTTGGTGTTAGTTCTTGTAGAGTTTTAAGAAACATAGCCACTGGTTGAGAATCTGTCCGGGAGGGCATGTCACTGTACTTGACGGATAGCAGACACTGTACTTGACGGATAGCAGAATTGAGGTGGCATGTATGTGCGGGCGCGCACATGTGTTAATTGCGACTGGTGTCGGAAACTCTTGGACAACGGCCAAATTGGCTAATAGCCCGGTGCAGAATGGGGACCCTTTGTGGTCCTAGGAAAAGTGGTGTCGATGGGACATAATTGCATAGGCTCTCCTGGGTCGACGTCGCTGGTTATTTATATTTCCTAATACCCCGGTGGGTAGGATCACATGGAGTAATACCGGGGAATCTGAAGGTGGTGGATCATGTCTCGACTTCGAGCAAACCTAGCGTGACGGCCAAGGCGTGACCGAACCTGGTTGACAATTTGTGAAACTGCCAACTCAGCTCAACCACCGCCTCTCTACTTATTAGCCACAAGAGAAAACATGAGACGGAAAATCTTGCCCATTGGCGCATTACGAGTAGTTCTAGCGCTGTTTGATTGCACCGCTTTACGGAGCAGGTATGATCTGAAGTGGCTAGTGTTGTAAAAGGAAAGAAAGGTACGTAATCTTCAGGTCGCGTATGTAATCTTCGGGTCGCATGATTAATTTAGCTGCCAACATTCGACGTTGAACCCTTCCATGGCCCGCTGTTCTTGTTTGTGATCCCAATTACTTCCAGGCTGTTACCATGACTCCCCAACTCTCACCTTCACCCAACAGCCCCCAGTTGCAAGTATGCGCGTGACTCGCGCCTAGAATACATATCCGAAGCTAAGCAGACGGGATTATGTCCGCACTAATGAATATAAGAGACCGTGGACAGCTTCGGGATGACTTCAGTGGCCGTGCAGACACTTTGCAAAACTATGACTTACTATCGGGAGATCCAAGAACCAGGGACATTGGCTAGGCACGGCAGCACCTTCTCAAGGTCTGCGATGGCTTACTTATACCTTTTCAAGTCATATGGGGACAGCCACAAACTGTGAACGACTCCCATTGCCAGTCAAAGAACTCTCTGACAATGCTCTGTACTCTTTTGTCGAGGACACCTCCATAAACGGGAGCTCAGACGCCCAACGCAGCGCCAGGATATCTTCCCGGAGATTCGACAAGTCGGAGTGTCAATGTGGCGAGTTGCTACAACAAACACTACTGAAGGAGACAGAACTAATAAAAAAATGAAACTGGATAGCTTCACAGGAAAACGATTAGAAAGGAGCGGAATCCTACTCATATGCCGGTAGAGCGAGAGTGTCAGATGGGGGAAGGGGGGAGGCCTGTCAGACCTCGGAAGGGGGCACTCAGAGCCCACGGGCCTCTAAAATCCTGGATATTTCTAGCTCTGGCCTAACCTAGTGAGGAGCAACGATCTCGAATGGTTTCTAACTGTTCCTGCAAAGCCCCAACCCAGACCAGGAGACAAGGAATGCTTTATTGCGGAGCTAATTCGTGTCAAAAATTTGGGTTCAATTTCATCGTGGCCCAGACCAATCGGTATTGACTTTTCCGGCCGCGGGTTCAACTGGTTCACGATTAGATAGACCGCTGTTTTGTTATTCCTCCAAAATAAATATATCCGTCACCCCATTTTCCTGCCGCTCGAGCAGTGCGTGGCAAACACGCAACTGATCTGCCCAATTAACGTGCAGATGTCAATCGCCCCCAAAAGCGGTGCTGACTGTGTTACCGCATTTCCAAGCTAATTATTCGACCTCGCGACCCCAAATACGACGATCACCAAGAAGTGCAGCAGGAGTGATGCTCAATGACGAGACTGCACAGCTGAACCCGAGCAAAAGCGATTGGCTAATGTACGGGACATGTACGTATAACTTGCCTTGTTCATGTTCGAGGAAAATTCCTCGCCCCCCCTCTCCCCCCCGGCGCAAGCAATTAGAATCTGCTTCTCTCAACATGTAAAATCCACTCCTCTCAAGATGCAGTTACTCGGCGACTCTCATTACTTGACAACCTTCATCCTGGTGGGCACCGCCCTTTTAGCACCCAGAGCTAGCACCGCATTCGACTTCCTCCAGACACACGACGGCTACCGCGTCGATTCCATCACCGAAGACCAATTCCTCGCGGCCCCCTTCTCCCAACTCTGCCACTCGAGAAGCTGCTTCAAAGATTGCCTCGACCACGCGCGCCTCTTCCAAGCCGTGCCCGACTACGTCAATGCCACGGTCCAAGACTATGGACAGCCCGAGAACGGGACGGGCGGCAACGTCAGCGTGACGCTCTTCGGGGTCTGCACCAATTTCCTCAGCGCGCACAGGCTGGTAGACGCGGGAGGCGCGGAGCTGGACCCGATCCGGCCCTTCTTCACAATTGAGAAACACGTCCTTGGGGTGACCGACCCTTTCAGACAGGTTGCGTTGGGCGTCGCGGCTTGCGTCTCGGACACATGTGGCCAGACTCGCAACCCATCCCAGTGCAGGGCGGCGTGCGGGCTGAGGAGCCTGCTGAAGAACGACGTCCGAGCCATTGAATGGGAGGGGGCCATGTTGGATTGCACGAGAAGGCTGTGCAAATCCGCTCAGGTCCTGCCGTATGCGAATCAGGATGTTCTCGGCATCGGCGTGAGTGCCTTCCACCGTCGGCAATTTCCTAATCACCTAACATAAGAATGAGAAATACATTAACAGGATTCCTCTGCAGGTTCTAATATCCTACTATATCCAAGGAATCCTGCTTCTGGTTGCTGCCGCCGGAGTGCTTGTTTCATTGGCATGCCGGCTTTGGCTTGGCCAGGGCGGCATCAACTCCGCGGTGGTGCAGAAGCTCAAGAGCCCCATGGCCACCTTCCTAACGGCGGAGACATATTTTAGCAGTAAGCCGATCCAATCTACCCGTGAGAGAAGTGCAACCATGCCATGACGCCTACGAATCGCTGACATACATGGCCCGACCACACACAGTTTCTACCGCAATCGCCGCCTTCATCCTGAGTCCGCGAGCAATCGATCCCCTCAACGGCTACGCGCTCATGGTAGTCGCCATTGTGGGGTGCCTGTGCCCCGTGTTCACGCTGCTGCTCCTTCACTGCCTCAACGCCGCACGAGTGACTAGGTTCGGCACTGCCTTGACGCTCACCAGCTGGCTCTCGAACACGGTCGTCTTCTTCATGTTGCTGCCGAACCTCTCGACGTTTGGCGATAACGTTGCCGAAGACGCACTGAAGCAGCTATTCTCCGTCCCGACCTGCGGCGATTCCTCCGCCATGTCCCTGTGTCAGCAGCTGACCGGAGATAACCCCCTGCAGAGTCTCACCGGGTTCTTCGAGAGGAGTTCGTGGACGAACATCCGCACCATCCCGGTAGTTTGGGCCCTCACGACAGTCATCCTACTAGCGATGGTAGCTGATGGAGCGCGGCACGTTGACGTCGACCGTCTTCTGCATGGGAAGCAAAAACCCAGGCCGAAGGAGGAACAGACGAACTACAGCAGGCTTGACGAGACTCGACAACAAGAGAGCGACAGCAGCAGCCAAGAAGAACACAGTCCTCGAACCGGGAGACTCATTGTTGCTGTTGTCTTCATCATGCTCTGCTCGGTTGGTCTCGGCTACAGTTTCCACATGGTGACGAGATTCCGTGACGTCAACGCTATCGACACGCACGGCTGGTCCTTTGGCCAGGTGGTTGCTGCCGTGTTCTGGGTTCCCGTATTCTTGGACGTGGCACATTCCATGATCAGTGGCTGAAGTCTCTCGCATATCCCGCCGGCATGACTCTATTAGGGATGAGGCGGGCAGGGCCGCTCGATGAAGCTTACCTTGTGTTGGTGGGATAAGAACTAGGAGCGTATGTGACAGTGTAGAGAGACAAAGGGGGTATGTTCTTACAGGAGGAAATAAAGCGTAATGAGTTAGGGATTCCTTGCATCCTGCATCCAGCCAACATAGTGGAGGACGGTAAGACTGCTCAACATGGCTCAGCCCGGCTCAACTGAAGGCTGCAACAGCTAAGTCCGGAAAACGAAAAGGTAAATTTGCAGTGTCGATTTCAGGGTTGTTTGTGAATTTAGTGTTTCAACATCTACGTTTGCTGTTTGGGAGCGCTTTTCTACCTACCCAGAATCTCCTTGAGTCATTAACTATAACCATAGATGCTAGGCAAGCATAAAAACGCTGGGGTCCTCCGTCTAGGCTATGGCGCTGGGTGAGAAAAATCTTCAGTTACACCCCGGCGCGTTCGAATACCGAGAGAACGCACCCAGACACCAACAGGAGTCGTATAACATCTACTTTCAGATCTTAGCGTCTCCAAAACAGTCTTTGATTAGTTTTGGCTTCAGAAACACACGCGTTCAAACAGCAGGTAACCTCCGGTCGGACTTTCGGCTGGATGATCTTGCGTCATGTCAAGGACGAGTATCGGCACATCTTCACCGGCGACATCAAGACCCGGACAGGGCAGGCCATCCGGGAGATTCTTAAATTGGATGAATGGGCGGCTAACTACCGCTATCCCGTCGAGTTCCTTGAAACCCGCGACGAGCTCGAGGAATTCTTCGAGGAGCTCAAAGATGAGTTCGATGAAGCCGTTCATGACATGGCAAACGTGCTCAACGCATTCCTGCAAACCGAAAAAATTGCCCGGCAGATAGGCCACGAGCGTTTGTCGTACGTCGTCCTAGACGACATTATCGCGTATTTGAGGCCGGCGGACGCGGTGAGGGCTAGCCAGGCAACGGCCCTGCAGCACAGTCCTACGACAATCGACGTGAATGAGGCCGACAAGGCGCTCAAAGCCGCCATACTACTTCGCAACTCTCTCGTGAAGGCCACCCTGGGAATAACCACTAACTAGTTTGAGCTTCCTCGTAGACTTCTGAGCCGAGGTAAGTGCGTCGCCAGAACAGGTGCGCTTTGGCGGTGGTTATTTGTTCATTCTAGCCTTACTCCTATTGAGTTTTGAAGTAAAAATGAATGTTAATTGAAGGAACTTTGTTGCCCCCATTGCCGTGTGAAAACACTTGCTAATTAGAACATAAGTGATCCGTTTAACCAGCCTCTCTCGCATCTTTGTGTCAACTCTGCCTATTTGTAAGACCCATGTAAGGCCGACCAGTTGCTTGTCATCGCATTAGCAGGTCACCGCCTCCCCAAGTGAGAAGTTATGGTTAGGTGGTCAAGGGTGTTTGCTGCGGCGACTCAAGCGTGCAACTGTTTCTGCACTGTTTCAACCTGTCGCGAGTGCCTCTCTGGGCCCCTCATATGTGTTAAATAAGTACTACAAAGGGTTTGATGGGCTCCAGGTTTCTTTTTCTTCACCTAGGCAGCCCCTTCGAGGTGTCAATCGACGGTTGACCATACACAAAAAGAGACAGGCACACGGTCTCAAGACAGTGCTCGACGACTTTGTCCGAGGCTACCAGGTCGCCGGCGCCCTCGGATACCCCGCGCTCAATGTCGAAGTCTCTTCGAGTTTTGGGTCGTTCTTGGACGGGTGTGATGAGGATGATATGGAATACGGGGGTGAGGTGGTGCTCAAAATTGGTTTGGTCTAGGCAGTGCGACACCTCAAAGAGTGCGTCGCTAACACAGGATCGGCAACTCAGAGCTAGTCATATTTTGCCAACTGTTTGCTCTCTGACTGGGGGGAGACTAGTATGGAGACTAGTATCTGATACAAGGTCGACTCTGTGTCTAAATCACGCGATACCCATCTTTTTGCGGTTGGGGAGCGGAGAGCTACCAATTGGTATTATTGACAGGACAACCATGTGATGAAGATATGCTGATATGGGCCATTCTAATTACCATTCTGCCATACGGCCCTTGAACATGGTGGTTGAGAGAGAAAGAGAGAAAGAAAGATGATCAGATAATGCGCCAACAAGTGACCCTAACCCTGGCAATTCGTCGTTGCAGACTTTTGACGACGAGCATTTGCCAAAGTTCCCCGTCTCAGTGTTTCACACCGGTGTAAACGGCGTCACCGCTAACTCCCTTTGCTTGCGGACGACCAGGCGCCTGTGCAGGTTATTGGATCCCCTTTCCCGGCTGGAGATTGGTCGTGAATTAGTAATTCCGAGGATTTGACTCGAACTGCACGCACAAGATCTGTACCCCATTGGTGTAATATGTCGTGACAGCTAACAGGAGAGACATATCGGAATCACCAAACAATGGTGGGGGCGACGAAAAGGTGGGGCCAATGGGAGAGAGTCAGAGATCTGTGGCGATCTAGGCGCGGCAGATCTTAGATCGCCCCTGCCCCCGGCCCCCGGCTCCACTTGACTAGACCTGAAGTACGCTGATCTCCGCGACGTCATAGGGGCCGTTTAGTCTTTTGCGGAGCGACGCAAAAGAATGGAAATGTTGAACCCCAAAAGTTGCTCCAGTGCCTGGGCTCGGGTCGGCTTTGGACCTCTTGAGCAGTGGGCCGCGGCTGCTAATTAACTCATAACTGATCCAACGTCGCCCAGCTCGGGACGCGTCCCTCGTCTCGTCCCGCAAAGCTGGATCCAGGAAAATGCCCAGGAAAATGCCCAAGCTGTCGCTTGCCGTGTCGCGCCGGGCACCCGGGGAGGGGGAGCGCAGGCTGGTGCGCAAGATTGATTTTTTCATCCTCACCTTTTGCTGTCTGAGTTACTTTCTTAATTATGTAAGCACCTGTGGTTCCCCCTTTCGTTCCTGACGGGGTCAGAAACGGGCTGTTACTTTGCTGAAACTAGTTCCCAGCTCGACCGCTCCAACGTGTCCAATGCCTACGTGTCGGGGATGAAGGAGGACGTCGGCTTTGAGGGCGACCAGCTGAACCAGATCAACACGTGTCTCACCGTGGGGTGAGTCGAGCTGCCATCCGAGATACTGGCGAAACATGCGGTACGGTATAATGAAATCTAATCGAGGAACAAAGCTATGTCATCGGGCAGATCCCGTCCAACCTCGTCCTCAACTATGTCAAGCCGCGGTTCTTCTTCCCGGCCATGATGGCGGTGTGGGCGTGCCTGACCATGCTTACGGCGTCGGCACGCTCCCCCCAAGCCGTCATGGCCATCCGCTTCTTCCAGGGCATCGCCGAGTCGAGCACGTTCGTCGGTACCCACTACATCCTGGGGTCGTGGTACACGGAGCGCGAGCTGGGCAAGCGCAGCGGCATCTTCACGGCCTCATCACCCTGCCCGTCGCCCTCTACGGCCTACTGCTGTTCCCCGACACCCCCGCCACCACCGCCGCCTACTACCTGGCCCCCGCCGAGCGCGCCCTCGCCGTCTCGCGCCTGCCGCCCGCCGACCAAGCCTCGGCCAAGGCCGCCGTCTTCTCGTGGGCCTTTGTCCGCTCCGTCCTGTCCTCCTGGGAATGGTGGGGCTTCGTCGTGCTGTGGATCATCGCCGGCGAGACCGAGTCCTTCTCGTCTAACTCCCTACTAGCGCTCTACATGAAAAACTCACCCACCACCACGTACTCGATCGCGCAGCTCAACAACTACCCCACCGGCGTGCCAGCTGTCGGCATCGTCTCGACCCTGTTCTGGGCCACGCTGACCGACGCCGCCCGCGGCAAGCGCTACCTGGTCGGGTACTTCATCGCCGCCACGGGCGTGGCCACCAGCGCCATGGTGCTCGCCGCCGAGTCACGCAACCCCGGCACCGCCCGGTCGGAGGCTGTCGTGTTCGCCGCCTACTACTGGGCCGGCGCCGTCTACGCGTGCCAGGCCACCTTCTTCGCCTGGGCCAACGACGCCATGCGCGCCCGCGAGCCCGTGTTTCGCGCCGTTGTGCTAGCTGGCATGAATCTGGGGAGTAACTCCGTCAATGCCTGGTGGAGCATCGTCTTCTACGGCGCGTCCATGGCACCGTGGTTTACGGTGAGTGTGCACGGTACTCCTCGTTTCGAGATTTTCGCGCCAGCTAACGTGAAGCGTCCTGCAGCGCGGCATGTACGCCATGATCGCCGTGTCGGTGGCGCTCGGAGTGTGGACCGCCGGGCTGGTGTGGGTGTCGGGCGGGGCCGAGGCGAAATCCGCTGCTGCCAGTGGCGACGGCCGGCACGAGAGGGAGAGCGATGCCGACGTGCCGTTCCGCGAGGCGCGGGGCCACAAGCGAGAGCAGTCATCTGTCTAATTGGTATCATTGGGCATTGCAGGTGATAATTGAGCATGGATTTCGACTATTATATTTTATTTAGAGACTGTGTGCGCGGTCATCCATCGCTGCTGATTCCCCTCTGCTAGGCATCGAACCAAGTGATGATTTTGCATCTTCTGCAAAGTAGACGTGCCATGGTGAACAAGCATTGAAGGTGACGTAAAGACAAGCGAGAAGAAAGCCAGTGGACCCTGTCTCCCCTGTGTGGAAATGAAAGCCCCGGTAAGCAGCAAACAGTGAGACAGAAGCAATACCTTGCTCAGCATGGTTCAGTCAAAGGAAGAAACCCGTGCTCTTCACCTCTTCAGTGGTCAGCTGATGGCAGAAGCCGACTATCTAGGTACTCTGTCGAGGCGATCTGGCCGCGCCCCAAAAGGCCCACGGATCGAGGGCCGAATCTTCTTTCTATGGGCAGCGGTACATGGTCAGCGTGGTGTGAGATGAGGTGAGGGCAAGTTGATGCGGATCAGATTGGAGTTAATACCTCTAGTTCGGGGACCGGTTCAGGCAGTGCCTTCTTGTCCTTGGATTTCTTGGTTTTGAAAGTGCCCCAGAAGTCATTCACTGTCTTCTTAACATCTGGCTCGGGTTCCGCAAGAATTGTCTCCCCCAACGGTTCGGGGTTTGACGCCTCATCCTGCAAGCTCTCAGTCGGTTTCTTTTTTTTGCCCTTCTTGGACTTCTTGGTGAAGGGGGCCCAGAGGTCATCATCCTTCTCCACGGCTAGCGCAGGCTCGGGCTCGGACTCTTCTGCAGGTTCGAAGTCGGGCAGAGTGTTATTCATCTTGCCTTCCTTTAACGCTCCGAAGTCCAAGCCATCTTCCATCTTCTCTTCCACCATCTCATGTGAAATTGACGGCTTTTCATACTCCTTTTTTTTGTCCTTCTTGGACTTCTTGGTGGGGGCGGCCCAGAAGTCATCATTCTTCTCCAGGGCTAGCGCAGGCTCAGGCTCGGGCTCAGGCTCTTTTTCAGGTTCGAAGTCGGGCAGAATCTTATTCATCTTGCCTTTCTTTAACGCTTCGAAGTCCCAGCCATCTTCCTTCTCCTCAGGCACTAGCTCGACTACTAGCTCAGTCGCAGGTGGTAGCTCAGAAGCGGGCTCGAGGTCAGCCCACGAAATACTGGCAGGCTTCTTCTTCTTCTTCTTGTCCTTTTTCGGCTTTTTGGTGGGGATTGACAATGGATCGTCTTCTTTGAGATCTCCGCTGTCGGGCACAGGCTCCGGCAATGGCTCAGCTGCTGGCTCTTCGGCAGGTTCCGGCTCACACGACAGCGAAACAGCAGGCATGAGCACAGGCTCGGGGATTGGTGCCACCGTTGACTCGTGCACGAGTTCTGCGTCTGGCACGACCACAGGGTCAGCAGGCTTTGGCTCCCAGACGTCAAAAAGGTCCTGGGTGTCTTGTGAATCCACCGGCGTGAGCTGGGGTTCATCGCATGGAGTCTCTGGATCGACTTGGTCTGAGACGGGTGCCCGTGCCAGTTCCGGCGCCATGGTGAGCGCCGATCCGACCCGATCGAAGCGTTCCCCAGTAAGTTCGGGCTGGAATTGATCGCTGGCACTTGCGCCAGCAGGAGACGCCAAGTCGGTCGACTTTTCCATCGGATGAAGAGCGTCGACAATGTACGGGCGCTGGTCGACCGCGGCTGTCGGAGCTGTTGTGGACTGGGCCGTTTCATCGAACGACGCCCTCTTCCGAACCGTCCGTGTGGGCGAACCTTGGAGAGCTCCCTCGGTCTGCACAGGCTGGGTTTCGTCCACAGTGGCCGTTTGGGTGGCTGGGAGGGGGTCGATCATGTCGCAGTAGACCTCGAGGACGCCCTTGAGAAGGAGTTTGGCGACGGACGTGCTGTCGCCAAAGTCGACGGGAAACTTTGAGGCGAGCAGCGCCCTGGGGTTCTGGAAGGCGGCCTTGATGCACGACTTGACGTAGCCGGGAAGCCACGATCCGTCGGCAACCGGGGTGGGATACATTTCCTTGACGACGTCGATGATGGTGAACAGGTCGAGGCCAGCACCTAGCAGGTCAATCCGCTCCTTTGCCAAGCCCTCGAGGCCGACAAGCTCGTACTCGTGCGCGGCATTGTAGACCTCGAAAGCCGTCTTGTATTGGGAGATGCGGACGACGGGGCTATCCCAGCTCTGGTCCCACTCCAGGGCCTGGTACTTGTTGGTGTAGAGATACTGCACGAGGACGTGGCCGGCGCCGGTCGAGATGTGCCCCAGATCGATGTACCTGGTCGGAGGGTCGCAGAGCAGGGCGAGCTTGGAGCTGCCGAAGACAAGTGCCCGGTGTGCGGTGAGGGGGGACGAGCGGAATTGCAAGGTGATAACGGGCGAGCAGAAGGGGCTTTTGAGGAAAGCAAATATTAGTTATTGCCCTGTGCCTTGAGATTTCTGGTGGAGCTAGGGGCGCTTACGAAGCAGTGGAGGTGTTGCTGTTGGGCTCTGGTGCGCCGGGCTGGGAGGCGAGGGAAGCAATGCCCTGTGCCATGGTGGGGTTGCCGGTGTTTGCTAGTCTGTACCAGGTGTTTGCTGGTCTGTACCCGGTGTTTGCTAGTCTGTACTCGAGTTCTCGTGTGTCTGTGGGGGCTGCAGTGGGATATCTGATGCGCATCGCGTCTCGGATGTAGGACTAAGGACTGAGGAAAAGGGATGGAAGCAAAGGGAAGCAGAATAAAATGTCCAGACGCTTGGGTGGTGGGATGCTGGGAAATCTGTCGAGTTGGGCTGGGAGCTAAATGACGAAGGTCGGGTATTCCGTTTGCTCTTGACGGCGTGAATGTGCTGCACGTCTGCCTGATGTCGGCCTCCGCATTGTGTGACCAAACGGGAGCTCGTCGGGATCGTGTCCATTCAGCTGCGGCCAATATTTGCGCATCCGAGAAATACCATGCACCAGTTCCCTGCGGCACCCGGCTCGCTGCAGGCAGCTGGCCTAATCTAATCAACGCCCAGAAACACTGCCTCTTCATAAAAGATTTTCGGCTCTCTTCAGCGTTCTTAAAGCCATGCCCACTCCACATGATTCAGACACGCCTCCCCATTCATCATCGGCTATTCTAGAACTCTGTGCCTTTTCTCGTCCATGAACTTCGCGACAGTGCTAAACAAGTGGTCAAGTACGGTGGCTTCATTTAATATATCTCATTACAACTCCACTGTCAAATCAAGACTTAGGCGAACAACTTCAGTCCGCTCCCGTGTTTGCCTACCTCGCAGACACCACAGACCGCACATACTGTGCCCTTGAACTTGCTCCAAAGTGAGGCGGTCGAACAGAAACGCGACAGTGGCAAGCAGAGCCAACCATCTGTAAATCTTCGGCTAAATGGACCCCTCAGTCCGTCCATGCACCAGTCCAGCTCGTCTGCAGTTCTCAACTTCAGCTAGAGACTCATCGGAAACCACTTCGACTCCAAGGATGTTGCAGTGGGCTCGGTAATGCAACGTTTGCTACGGCGGCTGTACCATTATGCACTTGAATAGGCACCCATGTAACCGCTCTCGATGCGATTTAGGTGACTGAATACAGGCCATGACTACCTAAATAATGTCAAACATCTGGCCACTCTGGCTCTCGATCAACTCCCTACGCCTCCTATTCTCAGGCTCTTGCGGCATGAACTCGGCCGGTACGGGTTCGCATCCAAAGATTACCCGGTTCTGCTGTGCAAAGTCGGCCGGAGCGGGAAAGACGGGGTATAACTCACACCAGTCGCCGTCCAAACACAGAGTCCACCAAAACGTGTCCTTGCTACTCTTATTCGGGGCGGACTGGGAGGGAAGATGGTGATAGAAATCTCGCGGCGCCTCGAAACCTTTTTTCTGGCCCATGGAGGTGTAGGTAACCGCAGCATTTTGGGCTATCCAGTCGAACTGGCTTCTTGCCACTCGTAGGGGGCCAATGACCTTTCTTATCTCCCCGGCGAGAATGCCGCGGCATGATAAACAATCGAGCGTGGTTGTTGTTGTCGCATCAAGTGATGAATCTACGACCAACTACGACCCTTGTAAAGCCGGCCGCTTGAAAACAACCATTGTCCATAGCTGGTGTTAGCCCACGGTCAATGCGAAACTCCGGGTCCTTATTATAAAGCAAGCCGGGTGCCCGGGATGGCAGCCAGAAGGCGCCTCACTATACCGATTGCCCAGCAGCACGCGGAGAGAGTTGCTTTTCCGGATGTAAGCCCATACAAATGGCCTGACCAGCCGCTCGTGGCCGATTGTATAGCTCGCTCTGAGCAAGTCCCCGTCCGTCGCCAGCCCAAGCAGCGAATACAGCTTATCCCGCGGGTCGGTTGCCTCGAACATCGAAGTGGCGCGCAATGTGAATTCCAGGTCCCTGCGTGCTGGCCCGGTGCAACTAGTTAGTACTTGGGCCGTGGCGGCCCGGCGCAACTAGTTAGTACTTGGGCCATGGCGGGGGCTGGCAGGTGCCCGGTTCCACGGGGTAGAGACCTGAAGGGTTCGTCCGTCTCGTGTGTGTTGCCGCCAGTGTGGACCGTCCTTCCGGACATCATGAATACCAGCAGTATGCAGACGTGGTTCTACTGGTACCTCTCAGCCTGGCTGGTGCCGCAGAGGATCAGGCCGGAGGACGACGCTGTCGGGTCATCACTCAACAGGGGGCCGCTCGCCGCAAGCTCCTGGATAATCCACACCCTCGTCCAGTAGGAACGCTCGAAAAGGCGCCAAAGGGCCGGCCAGTTCTAGGAATGCAACGGGAAGCCAAGCCATTCGATGGCGTCGATGGCCGTCTGGATTGACCCGTCATCCGGCAGCTCGTCGTTGTCGTCGGTGGCCGTCTGGATTGACCCGTCATCCGGCAGCTCGTCGTTGTCGTCGTTGTCGTCGTCGTCGTCGTCGTCGCCCCAAATGGCATCAGCATGCTCCCGCACCCAGTCTCTCAGCGTCCGTATAAGTTCCATAGCGGCATCGCTCTCGTCGGCAGCCTCCCCCAGCCAGGATACGGTTCTAGTCGCCCGTACATAGACCTCGTTCATCATCTGCACCTGGGCGCCCTGCTCCAAGGCTTCGTATGAAACCTCGGCGTTGTTCAAGAGATCGACTGTCTTGGGTTTGCACTCGATTGTCGGGTCTGGGTCCGGCGACGGCGACGGCGACGGATGTAACGTCAAGATGCGACTCTGCTTCTTTTCCTCGGCGAGAGGACAGTAACAGAAAGGTGCAACATCACAAATACGTAATTATAGGTGGGTTCGGTTTTGCGTTGAAACTATTATCCTCGCCCTAGGACTTCCCACGGAGAGCTATGATTGGGAGAAGAGAACGCCGCGCTCTAGACGCGAAGTTTAGAAGAGATTGGTAGGATGACTGCGATTAATCAGCACCTTGGGAGTGCCTGGTACTTAAGTACAGTACGAATAGCCCACGCAATCGTTCCTGCACGTGCAGCCTACCTAGGTACCTAAGTAAGTACCTAAGTAAAATACCCACATACCTGCCTACATCCATGATTTCACGTGATTTCCTCAAGCGTTCCACCACCTTTAAGAGCAGGATTTGGAGTTGACTGTACCACTACACCTATAAAGGAAGAAATAGACTGCAAATCACAACTATCAACACTGCAATCGTGCATGTATTTACATGTTCTCATCCACGATCCTCCCTTATCAATCTGCAGAGTAATTCTGGGGCGGCTATTTCGTGCAAATATCGCAAAAAACGCTAAAACCCTGCCGCAAACTCAGTCAGTACACTCTCCCCTGTTACCGTGGTAGGGTGGCAGTAGCTAAGAGACATCACTTACCAAGTCCTTGCCCGGCGATCCCGTGCAGTTGCTGGCCAGCGGGAAGTGGCGCTCGATGGCCCAGAGCCCGGTACTTGGCGAGTAGTCGAACAGAAGCTGCGCTCGCGGGACGCGCTCGCGGTACAGCTCGATGATGTCTGATGGGTGTGTAGAGAGCTGTCAGTTCCGTCCTTGCTTGAAGGGTAATTGCACCGCAGGCCCTCACTCTCGAGCCGCACGGTGAGCTCGGGCGTATGCCCGCCCCTGACGCCGAAGCCAACTCCCGTACCAGCCCAGCTCACGCCCTGTGCCTGCTCGGCGAGGACGGACATGTTCTGCTCTGGGCCCATCAAGACAACTGCCGTGATATTGCCACCCGGATTGTTAGCTAGGAATGGCTGAAACAGAGGGGTGTAACTCGCCTCGAAGGTTGTAGCCAGCCTTGACAATGTTGGCGACGTCTTCCCTGAGAGCGGCATCGACAACCGCGGGGTCGAAGCCCTGGCTCGTAACCAGCGGGTGGTAGGCAGGCAGGCCGCTGTGGGTTATTAAGCTGTGTGAGTGTTTCTCGACGAATTTGAGGCTGTAATTAATGGATCCACGTACGTGAAGAGGATGTCGACCTTTCCACACTGTGTCCAGGGAGAACTGGCCTCGGCAATGCTGCCAATGACCCCGAGGAACATGATGCTCTTGGCCAGAAACATTGTGATGAAATGATGTCGAGAGAATATCACTCGGGAAAGAATATCACGTATTTAGAGAGTGCATATAGTTGCAAAATGTTGAAGCGGACCTACCATTATTGAGCGAATTCTTCTTTCCTAAATAGAAATCGAGGCGCACAGCCACTTCTCACCGAGCGGTCGCGGGCCCGGTAGAGGAAGCCTCCAAGGAACGGCGACGCGAAACTCTCGGGGTGACCAACACGCAGGAGTCACCCCCATGAAGCTTACAAATGGCAAGTCGGCGCATGTCTACATTTCGGACGGTGTTTTCACAAGGGATTGCGTCAACGGGTTCGTGTCCTGGCAGTTGGTCCTAAGTTGAAACCGGGCTCGGGCACCAACAAGCAAATATACTATGGTATAGGAGACAACCCGGTCGTTCTTGCGCCTGTTGGCGGTAAATACCTATTTTCGGTAACGGGTGGTGCTGAGGCTCGGGCCCGACGGTTCGGGATTGCCAGGCCCGGAGAGCTCGGCGAGTCGGGTATCTGGCGGGCGAATGATGACCAACCACTGCAGTTTGCACGGTTGCACGACCCGGCTCATCTCAATGCGTGTTGCAGGGCAGTAATTCCTGCTGGATGCAATATTAATTAATCCACGCCTCTGTGGTGTTTGTGGCAGTGAGAAGATGACAGGAGCCCAGCCCTGCTAGACAAAATGCCACTGTGATGCGTGGGCGGAACCCTAAGTCTACACTTGGGCCAACCAACGCCCATTTGCATTATCCTGCGCAATCAAGGCTTGCTGTCCGATTGCTGATCCCCTAGCGCAGCAACATCCGACGCCAGCAGCGCCCCTTCGGCTACCAGAGTCACGTCAACATCATAGACTTTGCACTAGCTGCCCTAGCGCAATGAACTCAAAACACGCTCAAGGCGTCAGCGACAGCGGCAGCCAACGTGTCCAGAGCCAACATGCTGTCCGGAGCCAACATGCGCCCGCTGGAGATCTCGGCCCCTAGCCTCTCTTGCCCCCCAGTCTCTCTTGCCCCCCAGTCTCTCTTGCCCCCCAGCCTCTCTTGCCCCCCAACACAGTCGAAACCCTAGACACGAGATGGATCTGGCAGATTTCCAGATAATGCGCCACTCGGCGACCAAGCTACGGGCCATCGACGATGCCAACGAGATGCAGGCGGCGGTGGCGCGCGAATGCGGCGAGGCCAGGGTGGCGCCGCCGCCGTACCGGCTAACGGAGCTGATCGGCAAGGGCAGCTTCGGGCGCGTGTACAAGGCGCGCGGGCGGCACGGCAGCCAGGCGGTGGCGGTCAAGATCATGAGCATCGAGGAGGGCGACTGGGCGGCGCCGGGCGAGTGCGACACGTTTGCCGAGGTGCTCAAGGAGGTCAATACGCTGCGCCTGCTCCACGACAGCGGCGCCCGCAACATCAACCCCATCGTCGACGCGCTGCTGATCGGCCAGTCCATATGGGTCGTGACCGAGTACTGCGCTGGGGGCAGCGTGGCCACGCTGATGCGGCCGATGGGCCGGCTGCGCGAGGCGTGGATCGTGCCCATCCTGCGCGAGGTGGCCGACGCCGTCTACTGGGTGCATAGCCAGGGCGTCATGCACCGCGACCTCAAGTGCGCCAACGTGCTCGTGGCCGAGGACGGCAGGGTGCAGCTGTGCGACTTTGGTGTGGCTGGCGTGGTCAAGTCGCGCTTCGATAAGCGCAGCACCGTCACGGGCACGCTGCAGTGGATGGCGCCCGAGCTGTTCGACAGCAAAGTGTCGTATGGCAGCGAGGTCGACATCTGGGCCTTTGGATCCATGGCCTACGAGGCCGCCACCGGCCTACCGCCCAACGCCGCCTCCATATTCGACGTCACGCTCGAGAAATTCGGCGACTACCTGAGGACCTGCTGCCCCCGCCTCGAGGGCGACCAGTACTCGGCCGAGCTCAAGGACCTGATCGAGTTCTGCATGGTGCCGAGTCCCGCCAGCCGCCCGCGCATCGAGCAGGTCCAGAAGCACCCCTACATCTTCGGCAGCGCCCAGCAGCACCCGACGCACGGCCTGAGGCAACTCGTGCAGGAATACAGGGACTGGGAGCGCGAGGGTGGAGACCGGCGCTCGCTCTTCTCGGCCGGCGGCGCTCAGCGGCCGCGCAGCACTCGCTCCTGTTCTTTGGACGCAGCGTGGGACTACGGGTCCATGGACGAGGCCGACCAGCTGTCCTTCCCCGACGCGAGCGCCGTGGCGAGCTCCGATTCGGAGCACCAGCCGCTGCCCAAGCAGCGACGCCGGCACCGTCGGCCGCAGAACACGAACGTGCCGGCGCGTGCGGTGACGGTACCGCTGGAAAAGACGTTCGACCCGGATACCCTCAGCAACTACAAAGACATTGCAAGGCAGTTCTACGGCAGTAGCAGCAGCCCAACCGCCGCTGCGCCACTTCTGAGCTTACAGATAGTCGACAGTTCGTCCGACGAAGGCACCATCCGGGAATCGCCCGTCCGCGCCAATCCCGCGCCCCCGCCCCTGCCCCTGCCCCTGCCACTGCCCCAGAGCATCCAGTCGGACCTTACCGACGCCGAGACGATCAAGCCGCCCTGCCGGACATCGGTATCGGCCACAGACATGACCACAGACGTGGTACGCTTCGACACGACGCGCACGCAGGACTGGACCTTTCCGGCACCGAGCCCCAGAGTCCAGGAGACGGTCATCTCAGCTGTGCCACCGTCGCCGCACGACAACGCCCTGGCCATCGACATGGACCCGGCCGACCCGTGGCTGGAAGCCCCAGACCACGACCAGCGCGAACTGCCGACTGGCTGCCGCGCCGTGTCCAGCCGCATGTCGGTGTTGAGCCTGATCGACCTCGACGCCGGGCTGCCCCTGAGCGCCACCACGGTCCCGACCGCCAGCGAGGCGAACCATCTCCCGCTGATATCGCCCATATCGCTGGATCCTGCAGTAGTCAACATGGACCCGCTGGCCGCCGCCGCCGCCGCCGCAGGAGCCACCGCCGTCATGGACTTTGTGTCGGTGGCCTCGGTAGCCGGCGGCGGCAACCGGCTGTCAGTGGCCGGCACGCAACACAACCGACAGCCGTCGCTGTACATCCCAGTGCGCACCGCCAGCAACAGCAGTAGGAACCACCACATCCGCGAGCCGTCGCTGTACATCCCGATCGAAATCAACTTACTACCATCGCTGCCTAACACGCCTACGTCGCCCGTCGGTCCGATGGGGCTGCTGCTAGGGTCGCGGTCAGATTCGGGCGGCTACCATTACTACGCCACGGGCACATCGTCCTCGCTGCCGTCACCGTCACCGTCGCCGCCAGGGTCAGGGTCAGGGTCAAAGTCATGGTCAGGGTCAGGGTCAGGGTCAGGGTCAGGGTCAGGGTCAGGGTCAGAGCCAGGACCAGCGCCGCCGCGCATCATCTACCCGCCGACGCCGCCGCCGCCGCCGCCGCCGCACCTCCAGCGCACTCCCAGCTTCGTGCGCGCATGCGCATCCGCCCACCCAGCGGCAGAGGACATCCTGCGCGCCGCCGCCGGCAGACAATTACCACGCCACACCACGCCCACACCAAGACCCAGGCTCAGGCCGAGCAGCACCGCCAGCAGCCGCATCCCACGCATCGTAGTTGGTCCCACGGCCACCGGCTCGCATAACAGGCACAGAACCGACAGCAGCACCGACAGCGCCTCGCCGAGTAATAACAACAGCAACAGAATACAAATGCCTGCACTACCGCCGCCGCCCGCCGCGGACGTGCTCCTCGCGTCGGCGTCGCGCGACGTCGTCAGCCACGAGATCACGCGCCTCCTCTGGGCATTGCGCGAGCACCTCTCGTGCGCCGGCGACGCGGCCGCTGGCCTGCCGGTTAGGCGGGCGACTGCTAAAAGTACCGATGACTGATTAGGTTTCTTGCCGCGGGATTGGGTACTATTTATATGTACTTGCTGCTGGCAGCCAGTCGATTCCATTCGATTTTTTGTTAATAATTAATTAAAATAATTAATTAATTGGTTAATCATCTCCTGGCTTGCTGGCTGGGTCTGTTAGCTAGAACGGTGGGTCGATCGGCCAGCCAGCAGTTAGCTCGTCAGTTTACTGGTGGCTTGAGTTCGAGCGATGGCGTTCGCATCGGATCATTGTGGACTGGTACAGCACAACAGACAGGTGCTGTAGGCCACGGGATATTCGATGGGGATGCACATGGGGTGGAAATGTACATACCATGGTATGCAGAGTCTGGGCTGGGGTGGCAGATATTCAGGGGTGGCAGATATTCAGGGGTTATGCTGTCAGGGGGGGCTGATGGCCCTCCTCTTCGAGGTTCATCGGCCACGATGTTCCACGCTACATCATCAAAGTCCGCAATACAGTTTCGGCTACTCCGATACCGGAGTCTGTTTCATTTCAGCAATTCGTTCATGTCAACGTCTAATATCGCCCCTTTGGTTTCTGCGTTGCTCTTCCTATATCTGTAGGCAAGTGGGAAGGCTACGAAAGAGGGTGGTTCAAATAATACTACATGATAGGTGATTAATGGCTATAATCATAATTAACTGACTTGAAGATACAGAGAAAGAGGTTCGAAGAGTGTCTGAGGAGTGTTCTGCCTCTGTACCTTGACTCGGTGATTCGCATTAGCGAAGACGCACAGTGCTCGGCGCAAACCGGGAGGCTTGTGCCCGCCGACTCAATCTTGGTTGTCCAGGCCAGGGGCGACTCTCTAGCACTTCCCGGCAGCGAACAAACAGTAAACATTTGTCTATTGGCTCCCATTTGACAACTTCACCATATAGAGCCTCTCGGGCATACAGTCAGCCTCCAAGATGTGGCGATGTCGCCGTCGAATACATCCCCGACGCCCGTCTCTTCCACGAACCACCCTGCCCTTTTGATTTCAGGCCCAGCACCCTCGGTCCCAGGCCATGTCGACCTCAGCAGACTCAAAGCGCGAAGAAAACCTATCTCGAGGCACCGCCCTCCACGGCCAATCTGGCCAAGTCTATTTAGTTGAAGGAATACTTTAGGATCGGAGGGCATCTTCCACTCAGATCATGGCTGTGTACCGTGCTAGGCAAGCGGCATGCAAACGGGACGTTGACTTTTCGCGGCGATTGACAAGGTTAGAAGTCCGCGACGGTGTCAGACTGCTAATCCATCTGCCGCAATTTCCCGGTGCACCTAGCGCTGCGGCAGCCAGTGCGTAGCCAAGAAAATTATCCCCCACAGCAACTTCGACTACCAAAAGAAACTCCAAGAATCTGCCGCTTCGTCGCCGCATGTCAGGACGGCCATCGACACCGCCCCTGAACATCGCCTCCTTGTGTTCCCATACCTGACCGATAACCTCCTCCAGTTCGACAACAAAACGCTCTCCCTGGCCCAAAAGAACAGCATCCCGAAGAGAGTTCTGCTGAGCCTCGCGGACCTGCACAACAACTGCATCCTCCACACCGGTAACTCGCTTGCGCGCCACTCTTTCAGGTGAACTTTGCTGACGGGTCTCCCAGATGTCAAGCCCAACAACATCATGGTGAACTGCGAGGCGGGCCCCTCGAGAGACGTTGTGGTAAAGGATGTCCAGGTAACCGACCTGGAAGGCTCTGTCGTCATCCGGCCGGGGAAGGACCTCAAGGGCTGCGTTTCTGCCAACGAAATCTGGAGGAGCCCCGAGCCGTGGCGGACGATTCTGCGACGTCATGTGTCGTGCTTTGGCGGCTTCCCAGGCTTGAGGTCTTTTTAATCACATCGGCAATGAGGAAAATCCATACTATGCTCCGTTGTTAGAAATGATCCCGTCTTTCAATGCCGACAACCCTCTCAAGCCATTTTCACTTTGGCGGGACGGCACTCTAGACCCCGTGTTCAAGAATCTTGTGGGAAAGATGACGGGTTTGTACCCGCAAAAGAGAATCACCGCACGCGAAGCCCTTAAACATCAGTGGTTTGATGGCGTAGGTGACGGGTAATCAAGGGGGTGGGTGGTAGTAGCGAGAAGACACGCGCGCCAGCTACACGACCAAGTGCGTGGCCATGGAGCGGACGGCGCGGATAGCGAGACCTGGGATGCTTCATGGCAGACGTGTACTATCAGACAAAAGAGCAATTCTAACTCATGTAATAATTGATAAATGATCAATGGACCCTTCAAGTCCCACGAAACAACGCCCATAACCGCTCCTGATTACTGGTCATGACATAATTATCACGCTGCTGGGGCGAACTCCAAGCTAAGGCCAGCAAAAGGTTGCCAGAGGCAGGCGTGGTTTTCATACCTGATATTTATTCACTTTTAGATTTTAATTTCCCCATTTCCCCATTTTCCCACCCTGAATCACCCATGAAGCCTTTTTCCTATGCCTAGAGATTAACTACGGCACCATGCTAAGTCCCTTCCATCCCCCAGTTCCCAACTCCACGCATGAACACAAACAACCCCGAACAACACAAGCAACCCCGAACAACCACAACCCCATACAGCCAACTCCCATCACACAAATACAAATAATCACTTGCAGAATCACACCAACTGCCTACCGATACAACCGCCCCGGAACAGGCTCGCTCACCGGCTCGGCACTAAACGAAAGATGCCCGACGCCACCCTCCGAGCCAACAACGCCCCACCTGATCAACCGCCGCGCCGCCTCCGCCCCGCTCTCGCCGGCGGCAACATGGCACGCGGCACTGATCGCCGCCGAACACGGGCTAGCTAGCGGCATGCCGACACGCAAGCGGCGCCAGCCGAGCAGCAGCGCGAGCAGCAGGGCCACGGCCAGCGCGATGAACAAGATCACCATGGCAATGGGCGAGAAGCCGACCGTCAGGATCGCGCGCTGCGGGTCCGGGTCGCCATCGGGGCCGAACACGTCGACCGCGACGAGGAAAAACGCCTGCGAGAGCAAAAAGTGCGCGCCGCCGCTGGTGAGCAGCAGCGGGGCCACGTAGCGGTACGGCAGCGTGAGGAAGCTGGTTGAGCGCTGCGCGTTATCGTTGCCCTCGGCCTTAGGCAGCGGGTTCGTGACGCGCAGCCCGCGCCGCGTGGCAAAGTAGCGCGCGTACTCGTCGGCGAACGCCATGCACGTGTACGCGGCGTTGTAGGCGAGGTAGAGGGCTGACAGCAGCAGCTGGGGCACGTTGGCGAGGAGCACGTTGCGCAGCAGCCCCGCGTTGCCGGTCGCGGTTTGGTTTGCTGGCCAGCGGACTAGGGAGGACGCCGTGACGGCGCCGAAGCCGAGGCCCCACCATGTGGCTAGGTCAGGGTTGGTCGTGGTGGTGTTGATGGCTTCGTAGAGGAGTGCGGCGAAGATGCAGAGGGTGGCGAAGGCACTTTTGGGGTGTGGGGTTAGTGGTTGGCTTTTGGTGAAAAAGGGGTGGAGGCCTCCGTAAGGGGTAAACGGGTGAAGGGTAAAGGGCAACGACAACAAGCACTACTCACAAGCCATTGGTCGCAGCCCAGCGCCAGAGCCCGACGGCCTCCCAGCGAAAGTGGCGCTTGTACTCCCAGCGCTGGGGCAGGGGGTCGTCGCGCCAACGGCCAGCCCTGAAGTCGGCAATCGAAGCAGTGCCCATGCCGCGGGTGGTAGGGTCAGGCCGCTCGAGGAAGCTGGCGATGGCATCACCCAGGGTCAGCAGCGGCGACTGCTTGCGCAGCAGCGTGGCGAGGATGGCGACGAGCTTGACGGCGTTGCACGCAATCACCACAAACATGATGGGCAGCGAGAACTGCAGCCGGCAACGGTCGACGACGCGCTCGCTGAGGCAGTGGTCCAGCTGCCAGTCGCCAAACGTGATGGGCAGGTCGCTCAGCGCCTCGCCGACGTCGCAGTCGAAGTCGTTGATGTCCTCGGGCACCAGCACCCCGCTGCCGTCGACCGACGTCCCGCACACCCACGAGTTCTGCACCGCGTCGTACGTCCAGTCCAGGTACCCCACCAGCGGCCCCGTGTCGGTGCTGTTGCTTGGGCTGTCGCCGCCACCGTCACCGGCATCACCGTCACCGTCGTCTCGTTTCTCGTTGGCGCCTTCGTCGCCGCTTCCGGCGTCATGGGGCATCAAAACAACAGCCAGAACGTGCCGGCGGTCCGACAGGAAGTCGACGCCATATGCTTGAATGCATGCGATGGGGTCCAAGCGCTCGTAGGTGGACAGGTTCTGCTGCATGGACCACAGAAGATCCATTGCCACGGGGTCGGCAATAGGCAAAGTAAAGTTGGCGCCGTCGACAAAATCTTGGGTGGCCACGGCAACCGTGTATTCATTGGCTCTGTTGGGTCAAGGGGTTGGTTAGTCAGTGGGTTTCCCCTGCACCCGACTCACTCGAGTCACATCCAAAATATTCAACTTGAGAGGGGGCCAGAGACGCACGTCAAGCTCACAAAGACGGCCGAGTTGAACCTGCCGCCCAGAAATCAGCAAAGCCCAAGACAGCGTCACAGCCACCAGACTCACATCAGGTGGATTGGAAAGGAACTCAGGGCCAGCATGGCCCACAGCCACACGCGCGCGCGGTCGATGGCGCGCAGATTCCGCAGACTGAGAATGCCAATCTCAAGCCACTGCCTGCGGGCGTGCTCGGCGTCGACCTCGGCACGCGTGGGCGAGGTTAGGCACTGCATGCAGAAGTTGCTGGCCCCGAGCAGGAAGGTGGCGAGGAAGTTGATGAGGATGTGCAGGCCGAGGCCGGCGCGCTTGACGTCGGCGCAGGGCCCGACGTACAGCATGCCGGCGCCGTCGCGCACGTGCAGCGTCACGCTCGCCCACATGGTCACGGCCGCGTTGGCCACCAGGATGGCCGCCACCACGAACAGGCCCGTCTGCACCCCGGCCGGCCACGTGAAGACGGCGTCGTCGCCCTCGCGGTCGCCGTGGATGAGGTTGTCGGCCGACGACCGGCCCGTGGCCGGCGGCGGGATCCACGTGAAGTTGCTGCTGTCGGCCTCTTGTATGAGCTTGCTGCTGTCGGTCTCTTGTATGAGCTTGCTGCTGTCGGTCTCTCGTATAAGCTTGGTGTCGCTGCTGCTGGGTAGCTGCGGGGAGGGCCGCGGCGACAGAAAGGACGAGTCGGACTCGCCGGGGGTCCGCGGCAGATGGTTGTCGCGCAGTGGCCATGCCGTCGGTTCCCTGCTTGTCACTGAGCCTCCGGGTTCGATTGGGCCAGAATTGCTTGAGACGCACCCGAGTTCAATATGCTCAAAGGCCTGGTCAAAATCGTTGCCGGCGTTGCTGGCGCGGGAGCGGGAGCGGGAGCGGAACGAGGCTTGCTTGGCGGAGTCTTGATAACCGCCCGATGCCCACTCATTCTGGCGTTGAAAGCCAGACATTAAATCATGAGCACCGCGAACAGAGCTCGGTGTCGCTGGGGTTGCAAGCGGCCGCAGTCGAGTGGACGGTGCATGAAGACGACTTTGCTGTTGGCCTTGGTTTACCTGTTCGATATCGGCTCGTCGCATCGAGTCAAACCGTCAAGATGAGCCTTGAGGATTGAGGTGCAGGAACACAAAAGGGCTGCCGCCCGATGCCAAGACACAACATGCGGAACATTTAACGTCTTCAACCCCTCGGGGCAGCCCGGGCCCCTCGCAGGGAGAGAAAGTTCGGAACTTGCCATCTGTCTCTGCCCTTTTGCAGTCCAATGGCAGAGACAGTCACTCCAAGCCACGCTGCGGCAATCTCTCCAATCAGACCCGAGGACGGCGAGAGTGCCGGATTCTGGTTAAATACTGGCTGGTCGCAACGCCAAGCTGCATCGAGTGTGGCTGATGGCGCGGCCTGTGGTTCACCGACTCAGCATCCCATTTCCATGTCTCCGAGACTTGGGGTGGACATGGCTGGCAGCGGCGGACCAGTCTTGCGAATGGGCATGGCTTCGTTCCCGCTGGGCTGGGCCACGCCTGCAGGGTGCACACCCCCATTGCGAGTCTGGGATGTGGGAGTGATCTTGGCGTGGACCAATGACTCGCTTGTGGCTGTCGCTGATGGTTGGGCTGACTGCGCTTCGGGGTGAAGCGTGCACGGCAGTTGGCCCTCTCAGTCTGCGTGTGTCTGCACGGCTTCGGAAAACCAATGAGCTCCCCTCAGCCCGACCGCCCCCAAAAGGGGCATAATTTTCGGCCTGCTCTTGTCGTTCCGCTTGATAACAAGGGTTAGGGTTCGGTGTCCCCTTCGTCGATGTTAAAAATGCAGTGCGTCCTGAAAAACCGTATTCTCCTGTGCCGGGGTGATATTATTATTTCGCTACATGCCAAGACCCAAATGTCTCTCTCTCGCCGAGACTAAAAATGCAATCAAGGTGGATGCGCTCACTGGTAATTAAGTCCGTCTGCCAACATTAAAGCTAGACCGCGATCAAAACGTCTAACGTTCATGATATGCGAGTTAGCCATGATAAGCGAGTTGGCCACCTTAACGAGATTTGGTGGGGCACAAGCAATAAGATGTTAGTAAATTGTTAGTGATCTTATCAATTTCTTATCGCATTTGGCTGCGCACGCTACCCGGTCTCGTTAAGGTGGCTAACTTGCTTATCATGGCTAACTCGCTTATCAAATACGTTAGTTGAATATTATCTCTCAATATTTAGTTGTCTCGATTATTCTAATTACATTTGTCACCCCGTACTAGTTTTTCATTTTCTCTCATCATCACGGCCAAGTAACAAGGTTAGCTCCTCCGGATCCAACAACTATCCATGGAGGCTAAAAATGCAGGGCAGCCGAGCCCCTCATTCACTCACAGCCCAGCGTCATACACTCACAGCCAGCAGATGTATCGGTCGCAAAGACTCGCACGCAAATGTCTAGAATACATGTGCCGAGGTCGGGACTACCGTTTTCTAATTCCTCAGCGTTCCGTACTGGATCCACCGAGGCTAGCCAATTAGATTCCGCGCTCCGGCCACTATCTTGTACCTCGACTAACTAGCCTAAGTACCGGCTATTAACACAGCTTGATAAATACACCGTATCCTCCCCTACTTGCTTGTTTTCAACTTCCTCCTATCGCACGGTTAATACATTCGAACTAGATTGCTACTTGTTAGCCTACGTGCTTGATAGGCCTGTAAGAGGGCACCTACCCAGGGTGCTACAGTGGGCTCGGCACTGTAGCTGGCGGAGCGGATGCGGTAGCGAAGACGGGAGCCAAGTGCAGGGTAGATCGGCAAGTGCCGAGTAGGTCGACCAAGTGCAGAGTAGATCGGTAAGTGCCGGGTAGGTCGACCAAGTGCAGGGTAGATCGGTAAGTGCCGGGTATGTCGACCAAGTGCAGGGTAGGTCAGCCGGTCCTGCAGGGTAGACTGTAAGGAACTGTGCCCTACGGTCCAGTACAACAGTGCTTCTATGTAGGGCACTGAGGGAAGCAAGCTGACTTCCACAGGCCCGCCACGGAGACCGTGAGGACTCTGCTCAGCAGTCTACCTCGTAGGCTGCAGGGGACTCTGCCCTGCAGTCAGGGTCTTCGGGAGGCAATGGAAGGTGCTGAAGAAGACTAAGAGGAGTTGTATTATAGAGGCATTATAGTATACAGAGTAGTGAGTGCAGGTACATGGCCGTCATGCCTTGGTGCCATGGGCCTGTACATGTCCATTCGCGATATGCCTGGCACCCCCGCCCACAAGCCTAACAACGGCCCAGGGAGAAGTGGATTGGCCGTGGCGGCTGAGCGGGATGGGGTCAGGGCGGTGCAGTCTGGCTGGGCTGCTGGATTCCGAGGAAGAGATATGACTAAAAGCTTCCTCTCGGCCGTACGTCAGATTCGGTTGGTTGGTGTTGGCGTTGGGTACCTGGTTAGGTATGGTGGCAAAGAAATTGGATACCTGTAGTTGACTTTGGAGTAATGGTTTGTAGTATTAGTTTCCGTCTCATGGATGTGATGTTTCTTAGTACGGACAAACGTCTCCTTGAACCGTAGTATTCGATGCTGGGCTCTTGTGTCAGTTGTCATAGCTGCGCCAAGCATGATTCGAGGTTCTGCGTGTCACATGGCTGCCGTGGTATGGAGTTTTCGTAATAAGTTAATCTAACGTACTAGCGTGTTTGAGCCACAGCCTGGACAAATAATGGGCAACATATTTTCAGAGGTGAACTGAATCACAAAACCCCCCTTCCATGATTGTGTACGAACAAGGTTACTGCCGTGGTGATTGTTATCTCAACCACCAACACAAACCCCTTTACCCTCTTTTTAGGCGGCCACGCCACATATAGCACGAATAATACCCGGATGCTCGCTTGCATGGGACCTTTGACCTGGGGCTTTTGATCTGTGGTGGAATGCAACCACAGTTTTCCAGCGTACGCCGCAGGCATCTGTTCTGTCTTCTGATGCCGCGGCGGCCTATTCCGTGATATACAAGGAACATACCTGCTTTCAACGGCACAGCCGCCCTAGTCACCATCCAACACCCCGACTAGGAGCTCTGACCAGGGCAGCCCTCTCGGACCCACATGCAGCTTTACGCCTTGGACTGAAAGGCCCGTAGGACGGCTAGGCTGACGACGGGGTACGCCATGATGCGGTCGTGCAGACCATATCTGAGAATGATCTCTCGCATGTGGCCGCGAGGCGCGCGCCAGTCGACGACGCGGCCGGCGTGGCCTAGCAGCTGGCCAGCGTCGGCGCGGTGGCGGTCGAGCTCAGCACGCGTGGTGCCGACGGGCGACGTCGCGTTGACGGCGTGCCAGAACAGGTTCTCCGAGTGCGACCACGGGATGTCGTAGTCGTCCTCGGCGTGGATGACGGTGACGTGGTAACGCGCGGCGTCGCGGCCGCCGGGTGGGAGGTGTTCGACGTGGCGCACGAGAGCTGCGAGCCGGTCCGTGCTCGGCCACTTGTCACGGACGAAGGTGTTGAAGAAGGCCATCAGCCGCGGGAACCGCGCGAGCGGGCTCAGGAGCGGTATCGTCCCGGCCACGCGGTAGCTGGCCGTTAGCAGCTCGACGTTACCGAACGGCGCGACGAGGACCAGGCCGGCGAAGAGGATCGTGTCGGGCTGTGTGGCGAAGTGGTGCGCGAGCGAGATGGCGACGGCGGTCCCGAGCGACTGTGCGAAGAGGACGATGCGCGACGGGGGGATGCCGGCTTCTCGTAGAGCGAAGTTGGCTAGCGCGAGGGCGTCGGTTAGGAGCCCGGCTTCCGAGGGACGGCCGCTGCTCGACCCGAAGCCGCGATAGTCGATAGCGATAGTGTGGATCCTGCCGGGCGACGCAGCCGACATGGCGCGGTACGACGGCGGCCGCCAGCCCGAGCCCAGCGTCCCGGCGGCGCCGTGAAAATACAGCACTAGAAGCGAGTCTGGGTCGTCTTTCAGGAGCTTGAAGCACGTCCGCTGGCTGATATCATGGGCCAGGCCGGCTGGTTCCCTCGTAAGCCGGCCCTCGTGTTGCTGATACAGGCCCAGCGGCAGGACGTGCCAGGCGTGGAGCTGCTCGCCGTCAGGGGTTGGCAGGACGAAGGGCGTGACTTGGTTTCGCAGGAAGCCCCATTGCTCGGGAATATTGACGTCGCGGAACCATGTGAGAGTGACGCTGTTGAGGTAAATTACTTGATTCTGGCAGAAAGGAATCGAGAGGAGCGCAAGAAAAATGGCATAGGACGTGACCGCCACCCCGACGACGCCAATCGACCACCACGCGGCGGTCACAACACCGAGCATCATCCTGCTGCTGAGGGGTGCGGCCTATGAACTTGATGCAAGCCAAAAAAGGGGCGAAGAATCTGAACGAGGAGGTGAAACGCGACGGTGTGGGTGCGCAAGCCACGCGCTTTGCATCGGTAATGTTAGGATCAAAAAATATCGCAATCAGATTCATGGGCGGCCATCGGCTTTTAATAGGCCACAGCGCCTCGAAGCTGCTCACTCTAACTGATTGGCCGCAAAACCGACGCTCGACCTCATCAGCCACAAAGGATCCCCCCCTGCATACCTAATTATCGTCAACCACCAAACTTTGGCCTCACTGCATAAACGAGACGCTATAGAGATGTCTAAGAATGCACCCGGTTTCGTTCTAGCGGCCCGGGCAGATACCTCAGTCCTTGTCAGGACGGGACCTTTCAGTATGCGAAAGGCCTTGGTGCCCTGCAGCGTCCTGCAGCGTGGCCTGCAAGTTTTCTGGAGGGAGGCAGTGGAGTGAGGCAGTGGAAAGTCAAGCCCCTGAAATAGGAGTCTGCAAAAGGTCTTACTGGACGGTTATGGCCCTACAATTCTAATCTTTGCGAGCAATAAGGAAGGCAATAATAATGAACGAGGACTGGGCTGTATGACTCTGGCGTAGAAGGCTAGGATCCCGTACTTGATGAGAAAGATCGTAGCCGCCCAACAAGCAGAGGCTGAAACTATGGCGCACTGCGGGGCGTTTCTGCTGGTGGTGGTCCTATCTTTAGAGATGGCTGCGGATCTTTCCGGCAGCTGAGTAGGCTCCCATGGCTGAGGTATTAATTAGTCAAGGCCGAAGAGCTCGCCATGAGCACTGGTAGAGCAACTAGATGGGCGTCTGTCTTCCTTCGAGCCTGACGCCGTCCGCCAAGACCGCTTATTATAAATATAAAATAATATGACGCCCTTCACCATCCTTGTTCTCCTGCTGGGTCAGGCCCACAACATGGCTACACTTCCGAAACAAGACGCTCTCGTTAGCCGAGCAACCGAAGATGGTTCTCACTCCGGCGGACGAGTACAGGGATGGGTCGACAGCCCTGGCCTTCGAGGCACATGGGACATCCTGTGGCTCTGCATCTCCACGACGTTCATTTGCACCTTTACCATGTTGTGCCTCAACATCCCCGCGCCGACCGACAGCGGCTGGGTCCTCTTCCGCCGCCGCGTCTTGTGGATGCTCCTCGCCATCTTCGGCCCCGAGATCGTCCTCACATACGCCGCTGGCCAGTGGAGCAGAGCCAGCCACTCGGTGGCCGCGTTCCGCAAGCTGGGCTACGACCAGTGGACGATGCGCATGGCCTTCTTTGCCGACATGGGGGGCTTCGTGCTGCATGCGCCACAGAGCGAGGTAGACGACACCGCCCTACCCGAGACTCCGTTCCCGCTCAACGCCAAGTAGCTGCACTGGCTGATCGCCAACAGACACGTCGACTACCCGGCGCTGCGGCCAGACGAGGTCTGGGACAAGTCGAAGCAGGACCAGCTGGCCAAGACCATCGCCGCCTTCCAGATCGCGTACCTGGTCGTGCAGTGCTGCGGGCGCGCCGCGCAGGGCCTCGCCATAACGACGCTGGAACTCAACACGCTCGCCATCGTCGTGTGCTCGCTCATCACGGCGTGGTTCTGGCTGCACAAGCCCTCGGGCACGCGCACGTCGGTGCCGCTACGCCCGTGCGGCGCCGCGACCACCATGCGCGACATGACGGGCGGCCGGCCGTGGCGGACGACGCCGCTTGACTTTGTCGACGAGAACGGGCCCGGCTGGTCCGCCAACGTGCAGCCCTTCATAAGGGTGCCCGTGATCCCAGCGGCGCGGCCGATCCAGCGCATCCCCAACGACCGCTTCCCCATGGACCCGTACGGCTCCCAGGAGTACTGCGCGTGCGCGGCGACGCTGTTGTTTGCCGGGGTGCACGTCGCCGGCTGGAACTTTGCCTTCCCCACGGCGCTCGAGCAGGTGCTGTGGCGCGTCGCGAGCCTGCTTCTATTTGGCGTCACGGCCGCCTTCTGGGCCCTCGAGACGATGGCCTCGTGGGTGCGGCTGGGACGCTGGCGCTGGCTGTTTCTACGCGTCCTGCAGCCCAAACGGCTGCCAGAGTTTGAGAGGGCCCGCGCCGTGAAGCTGGGCCGGCTGGCCGAGGCCCGCACGCCAACGCAGCTGCCTCTTCCCTGGGAGTTCTGGTCCATCATGCCCGTTGCCGTGCTGTATGGGGTCGCGAGACTGTATCTCGTTGTCGAGGCCTTTACCGGGCTGAGGTCAGTGGAAAGTTCGGCGTTTGTTAATGTTAGCTGGTCCAAGTATCTCCCGCATTTCTAGTTCCAAGGGTAAATGTTGCCTAATGGGCTTTAAACCTCAACTAGCACTACTAACTATCATCCATGGTGTCTGCTTGCTAGAGCTATTTAACCCGTCGTGGCTGGAGTCCAATATAACAAAGAAAAAAGAGAAACGATGCTAGATTAAATTATCTGACCGTGTAAATAGACCCATGGTGCCCTGTGCCCCTGAACCCCCGATCATTGGGTTGCGGAAGGAGTGCGTTCGTTACTGCCAATTTGGGCTTTCAGTCACCGAGTTCGGGAATTTAAAATCTAATACTCATATAATCCAATTTCTGAATGTTCGTTCGCGTGGTACTTGAGTAGAATATATATAATATCCTAGCAAATATACCGGCTAGGAAAAGCGTTTAATATGTAGGTATTGGAGAATAGATAGGCCTCTGGGATTCTAAAAGAGAGATTCAAATGGTTTTTTTTTACTTCGGGGCGGCTACCGCGAGTTCCCAGATCTCCTACCGAACGTCGGCGAAGAGCCGCGAGAACACGGTCTGTATCCCACAGACCACGGTCTCTGTTCTATCCTTCGAGAAGAAATCGAGCAGAAATGCCGAACTTTGATAATTATGTGTTCTGCTGATGGTCAGAGCTTCATGCCATGTGAATCTCCTCGTCGCGTGTTTTCGTAACTTGCAGTTGCTTGCAAATGAACCTAGCAATCGCTTTAAAACTCTTACGATCAATAGTCTTGGATCGGAAGTCCTGGGAGTAATAGTCTGATCAACTCTCAGTCACCCATGGAGAATAAATGTCCCGAGTAACTGGCCATGAGAAACGAAGGTTCTCTGTTTCCGGGTTAGCTTAGCTCCGGAGACAACTCTGTATGTCAGCAATACGTGGCTGGAATTGATGTTACACAATTTATTAACGGACCGCAGTCCGTAATCAGTAAGCGGGCGGCCGATGGTTTAATTACCGACTTCAAAGGCTGAGTAATTGTGCAAGAAAACGCTCGCCCCACAAATCCCAGATGAGCCCGTCGCTTACTTGAACGCCAAGTCATCGTCACCTTCAAAACACCAAGAGCGTCGCGGACGGGCTCTGCTCAGAATTTTAACGTCTTTAAAATTCTCCTCATCAGGCTGGCCAAACAAACATCGTCGCCGTTGAATTGCATGGCATAGGCTGGGCTGTCCGAGTGTGCAAAGTCTATCTGCCAAGATAACATAATGTGGGTGATTACCTCAGACCAGAAGCAAGAGCGCGTAGTCTGGGCTGGCTGGGGATTCTGCAAACTGGCACAGCTTTCCTCGATGACGTTGGCAAACGCGCAGTGCAAAAGCGCAGTATTCCAGGAAATCACCAGAATAAAGGCATTCACTGTGTGTGGAATGTGAATTAATTGAAGAAACGAAGGGGCCAAAAAAGGCGCTGGAACACTATTAATACAGGGAGGTTCGGAACTCTTTTCAGAGTTGACCCCTGTTCGATCCCGTCCATCCTACCCCACAGTCGATCCTGTCTGACCTCTGGGACGGGACAGAGCGAGGTACTGTACCCGCCGAGTCGTGAAACAGTAGCGTGAAAATCCCCGAGAACTCCAAAAGACGCAATATTGCCCCACTAATTTCATTGGCAACTCTTCCTCGACAGATGTTCTCACTATGAGAACGATGACATGCAGCCATGGCTTTGGCAAGCACTCAGCAATTATCAAAAACACGATTCAAGACATTAATGTAGTCGACTCCACCCCAGACCGCTATCAGAAGTCCCATGTCATCCGAAATCCCATGTCATCCAAAGATTTCAGTGAAGCTTCGGACTTTACTGCTCCAATCCCTAAAAGTTCGTTAGTCTAATTTTCTAGCTTTGGCAGGAATCTAACCAAGACTGGCTTCGCTCTTGCACCAAAATTGTGTTGATTACACCGCCGCCAGGATTTGAACTTGGTGCGGTGACTCTGGCAGGGGATTTTAACAGGGGATATACGGCGAAGATACAGGGGGTTCGAAATCACTTTTCTAGCAGATTCTCACCAAAAAGTCACGTGGTGGCTTGATAAAGGAAGTGCGGCCGCCGTCGTCAGATCCGACCGCTGATCCCTGTGTCTTCGTCTCCACCACATCGGAAAACTTCCAGGGGGGAGCTGACGTGGTGTGTGGAGCCAACGGACCCAACATACGACACCCGCCGTCCATGCGCGTATGGGAAAATGGGGTCCCAATCGGCAGGATCCATCAGATCTCTCCTCCTCTCCCCCTTTGGCCTTTCTAGGCTCTGGGCGGATTTCTCGCGCTTCATCCCAACGACCCCCCCTCCTTCCTGTCCGCTCACCGCCAAAAATGCAGCAGCGCGCGGGGGATTTCCTAAGGACGCTTCCCCAGCGGAAGCTGGTGACCATATGCTACTCGTTCGCCATCCTAGCGGCGCTGCTGCTCTGGACGCACAGCTCAGGCTACCTCGGCGCGCCGGCTGAGCCGGAAGCCGTCAAGGTACCACCGGTTGCGACACCGGCCGACACCACCCCAATCCCGCCGCCGGCGCCCCTCCTCCCGTCGTGGTACATTGCGAACCTGGCGAGCTGTGGGAACGAGACGCATGCCGAGACGCGCAAGGTGTGGCTCGAGGCCGATGCGCAGTATGCGCACTTGGCCGACGACAAGTTCACGTCAGTTTGGCCTAGCCCATGCCCATCTCCTCCCCATTGGCCCATTCTCTCGTTGCTTGTCGTCGCATCCCAACAGGAACTGACATTGAGCGCGGCCACAGCATCGCCATCCCCACATACAAGCGCCCCGACGTGCTCAACGGGACCCTCGCCAAGCTGCTGAACGACAAGATCCCCTCACTACACGAGATTGTCGTCATCTGGAACGAGCTCGACAAGGCGCCGCCCTCGGGCTTCGTGTCCAAGCACGGCGTGGCGGTGCGGTACCGGACATCGGAGCGCAACAGCCTAAACAACCGGCTATTTCCGGACCCGGAATACCAGACACAAGCAGTGCTCACGCACGACGACGACGTGTGGTACGAGCCCGACGACGTCGAGTTTGTGTTCCAGACGTGGCGGCAGCTGGGGCGGTACCGGCTAACGGGGGCGCTACCGCGGTGCTACAGCCGCAACGACAAGGGCCTGCTACAGTACCACCAGTGCCGCGACGGTAGCGACTGGTACGCGCTGATCCTGACGGGGCTGTCGTTCGTGCACGTGTCGTTCCTCGACTACTATTGGTCCGACGAGGCCATCCCGACGCGCATCCGCCAGCACGTCGACGAGGCCTTCAACTGCGAGGACCTGGCCATGAACTACGTGGCCTCGATGCTGACGTGCGCCGGCCCGCTCAACGTCATCGGCAAGCATCCCTACACCAACCTCGACCCCAAGGGCGGCATCAGCAGAAAGGGCAACCACATGCCGCTGCGCCACAACTGCCTCAACGTGTTTGAGCACATTGTCGGCTTCCTGCCGCTGGTGCACTCCATGGGCTCCATCAAGCGTGGGACGCCGCACTTCAACTGAGGGGCCGGCCGTAAGAGAAGAGAAGAGAAGAGAGAGAAAAACGAAATGAACAAACAATGCGATTCGTGTTGATATTGGCCGCGGCTCTGCGAGTCGAGCATCACAAAGGATGAAATACCCTGTACCATAATTAGCCACCTGACGACCGCATTCTGCCGAACACAAAACCCGCCCAATGAGGGACGCCGGAGCACGTCGTGAGCAGTCGCTGTCTGGATAGACTCGGGACGACGTGCACTGCGCAGGCTCGCGCAGGCTCGCGCATGTCGAATGAAGGAATGGACGGTCGTCTCCTTTAAGATATTAAAGATATTGCCGCGTCAAGGGTTTGTTTAGTGCCGCGTCAACCAACAGGTGCGAAACGCATGATTATCGCAACTTAAGCCCGACTTGGAGCTCAGTGGCGTTTTTAGTCTCGATCCTCACTGGGTGCAACTCGCGCATCCTCTAGGCCTTATCCCCGACACCAACATCTATCTAATAAGAACGGAACAATGCATCAAAATATTTTATGTCAGGTGGCTAGTAATTATCATATTATCAACGTGATTTGCATAGGGTAATCTTCGTTATATTCGGCGGGGGTATTATCATGCAACGAATACCAACAACTAACAAGTAACAGCAACTAACAAGAAAAAACAGACGCCGCCCAAAACTGCACGCCCACCGGCGACCAGCCAAGAATGATCCCACCTTTATCTACAGAGTAGTCCAAGTATATACACAACACCAATCCCCCGTAATTAAGAAGACTAAACCGCCATGGCAACAGCGACGACAACAAGGCCCGCGAAGCTCACGCCCGCCACGCGGTTAGCGTTAGCGGAACTGGTGCCCGTGGGCTTCGTGCCGCCGAGCGCCGCCGTAGCGGTGTCGAACGCGCCGCCCATCGCCGACGTGGCCGTGTCTTTCGCTCCGTCAATCGCGGAAGTAGCGGTAGTAAACGCGCCGGCAATGGCCGAGGTGGCCGTGTCTTTTGCGCCGTCAATTGCGGAACCGGCAGTGGTGAACGCGCCGCCGACAAACGAGGTAGCCGTGTCCTTGGCGCCTTCGATGGCCGACGTCGCGGTGCTGAAGGCGCCGTCGATCTTGGATGTCGCCGTGTCGAACCCGCCGTTGTTGGCTGAAGTGGCAGTGTTGAAGGCCGCCGATGGCTGTTGCGGCAGTGTCGAGTGTCGAACGCGCCGTCAATCTTGGACGTGGCCTGGCCGACGTTGATGCCGGGCGTGAAGTCGGAGACGACGCTGGGGATGAATTCTGGCATGGGGTTGCCGGCGGCCACCGACACGAGGGCCGCGAGGATGCACGAGGTGGCTGTGATGGTCTTCATCTTGAGGAAATGGATTGGGGGTGAACTGTTGGTTCTGAGTGTGAGTGATTATGAGGATGATGAGTATTGTGAGGTTGACTGAGAATTATCAAAGTAACATGCGGATAACTTCCTACTTATAACTGTTCGTTGCCAAGGAATCATGAATGGTACGTCACTGCATGATATTTTGTCAATCTTGGTTATTAGGGGCCGTGAATGGATTGCGGGCTAGGTAGGTCGAATCGCCGCTAAGAGCAAATTCTCCAGCCCTTCTTTCTTTCTTTTCAAGATTCCACGTCCTGCCGCGTTCTAATCTGGACGATTTTCAGGGTCCGGCAGGCACATCCAGGTCGCTGGTGACGGCTAGAGACAGGCATGAATTTTAAGTGGGCGGGATATGCTGGTGGTGGAGAGATTAGACCCCAGATCTGGACAATGCGGTTCGCAGAGAAGCTTTTTACAGGTATTCGTCTCGATGACGTTGAACCATGTTATAAGTGGGTCGACGGGAGGGCGCGATTCCTCAATACAGGGCAGGAAGGAAAGAGGGGTATTTTCCTGTTTGGTACTCTCATTTCTCCATTTCGAAACATTTCACAAGGCCTCCTTTGGCAGTAATGGCCCATGGATGACAAGTCCCAGTACGCCAAAGGTCACTGCTACGGAGGTAGTCTAGTTAACCTTTGCTTAGGGACACGAATGTCAGCGTGATCGTCGAGATAGGGTGTCAGTGAAAACAACAGAAAAAAGTAGTGGCTTAGGACTAGCATTAAATGCTAAATACAACAACACCGTTTCTTTTCGACACCCACAAGCAAATCGTGAAAGAGAAGGAAGTCAACAACACGCCTCTTAAATACACCGTACTAATACGGCAGGTATCCACGGTAACAGGGTGCATGTGTGGCGCGGGAGGCCTCGGCAGGCGACTGACGCGTGGCGGCAGCGGTGGCGGAAGCGGAGATCGCCGCGGAGGACACGAGACCGAGATTTATCTGTTCTTGCGATGCACGACTTTTGCGATGGGATAATACCATGACTGTGGCTGACCTATCTCATTACGTACCACCAGTCAGTCGACTGTAATGCGAGCACGTCTTTCCATCAAGATGGAATGAGAAAGGAAACCGAGCGGGAAAGAAACCTGCAGTCGTGTAACGAGTTCGAGAGCACACACATGGCAAGCCGATTATTGAGATTCGATTAATTACAAGAGTGCTACCAAGTCCTTGCCAGTCCTGGAAAACACAATCTCCTGCGCCACGGAACAAGAAACAAAATCCCAACAAGTACTCCAATGTACGATGACAGGCTTGTGTGAAAAGGTTTCACCCCGCCAGAGCAGCACGGCAGGGCTTGGACGGGATTGAAGCATAAACGCGTCTCAAATAAACCTGTAAACCTGTAATAACCCTCTAAGTCCATCCTGTCTGCCCAGTGCCTAGCCCACCATGATAACCGACGATGAGAAGAAGAAGAGAAGAAAGGAAAGAAAAAAGAAAACAGAATTAACAGCCACGTTTGTCGGGCCTCCTCGCTAGTAGACCCGTTCCCCGAGGGGGCGTGTGGCAAACACGCTGCAAAGAAAAAAGACGCTGCAGCCTCTATTAAACAAGCGCCGAGCACCACATGGTCTTGCCTGCTGATTCAAAAATATCCTACTGGGTAGATTTCCCCCGATCCATGATGCAATGTTCTCTATAATGACAACATGACTGAAGGAAACGACAGATCGCAAAGTGCTGGGTATCGAAAGGTCAAAGTGTTTGAACTGAGGAAAATCCGCGAAGGCCACTGCAGTCCCTAGCAATGTGGCAGCCCGTCTTGCAAATAATTATTGTCTAGGGGGGCGTGTGAAGGGCGGAGCAAAGGTGTGGCAAGGTGTGGGTAAGGAGCGATCTAGAAAGGCCTCGATGGAGCAAGATGTGAAAGCAAGGGGGTGGCCGCGCAAGCCTCTCGTGGTCTGATCTCGCCTTCCTGGGAGAGAAGGAGGTGCTCCCGGCATGAGCGTGTGGTGTAGGGTCGGATTCAAGTCATTCGCACCCTGCTGCAGCAAAATCCCGTATCTGCCGGCGATCAGCTCATTTGTGATAACTCTAGGAAGCAGGTGGTAAGCGCCCAAAAGAAAGGGCTCGAGGGATATCGTTATTATCCCACAGCTCGCGCGAGGTCAAGGCGTCGGTTGAGGTTGAGATAGGCCATACATAGACCGGCAGTTGGGTGTCTCAAATGCTCATGCCGGGCAAAGGTGTGATTCGCGAGCCACTGTGCCAAGACCGTTGTGTGCGCGGTTTGGTCCGCCCGGTTGTGGTAGAGACACACGGGTGATGGGGCAGCGGGGCAGGCCTTATCGGTATGCGGCATGGGGAGGTCTCGGGATCGCCCTCGGATGGCAAGTGGCCAGGTCGCAGGACCGTCCGAGGTGAGAGAGTGTGGTACACACCTCAAGGCAGGCCGGCAGTGGATGACTGACCGAGGATTTGCGCCATGCAGACGCCCTCCCTGGCTCGGAGCGCATCCGCGTGCCCTAGACATGCAGTAGCTTTTGATATCGGGCAACGTGCAGCTCGCTTGATCCACAGCCTGCATAAGGTATATACGACCTGCGGGCCGCAGCGAACGCCTTTGATTGAATGCCGCCTGTCGACGAGGGCGACTGCACAGGCGACATGTCGGTAATCGCTGTTGAGACGCGCTGCATATTGCATCCTCTCGATCGCGAAGCAACGTGCCATTCGCTGCCCCAGGTCGAATCAAGATTCCCTGGCAAACATGGCCCGGTTTGGGCGAGGCCCTAATAACGGAGGTGCCGGCACCTGTTTGGTCGGATGCGGGTCGGAGACTTTGGCATGGTGGACGGCAGGGAGCTCTCGGGATGTGCCTCGATGAGATGGGATGGGGGAGCTCGCCAGCCGCTGATTGGCTGCGCGACAGCAGCTGACCAACCCCCATGGTTTCCACACCACCACACCCGCTGCCCGCACCTCGAGGCCCTCTCGAGCGTGTCTCATACTTCCTGGTGTCTGAGCGTTGGTTCGACGGCTCTCTCGAGATCCGCACCAGGATCTATCCACGGACATGCGTCGACAGGATTGGTCCTTGATTGAACCCTGCCATCTCCGTTTCCTGTCGCTTGTCGCTTTTCTCAGATTCCAAACAGGAATTGCCCGTGTTGTGACACTGAAGTCGAAATCAAACAGGGTGGTTTTCGTGTTGGGCCCAGTTTCGGACCATCACATGCCCCTCCCACCACGACCATGACTCACGTCCTGCAGTCACCCAGGTTGCGAGACGCCCCATGGCTGTTTTGTCCGGGCCGTCTTCTCACATGCCGTCGTCCATCCGGGCATCACGCATCGACAACGGCCGCTAGTCGCCCACCCCACATCGAAAGACAGCCAGGAGTGGAACCATCACGCGCCAGCTGCCGCCGCCAAGGCCAAAAGGGCTGCCGCAGCCGACAATAATTATCTGCCAGATGTCAAGCGCAGCACCGTTTCGCTGCCCAGTCTAAGCGCGCTGGGTGCCCTCGCCATATGGCCCGGCTCCATAGACTTGGCTGTGGGGGTGGTTCGATTGGGTTGAGTAGGCGTCTGCGACCGCGTACCCCTCCCAGCTCCGGGTCTGGCTCTGTGTGACGGGTACTCCCGGTTGGCTATAGCCTCCTTGTCCATGGTATTGGCCACTGTGGGCCGAACTAGGCATGTTGTATGGAGATGTGATGCTCTGTAACGACCCGCGGCTGTCGTAAACAGCAGGTAGCGTTGAGATGCGCAGACCTGATGTTGGGATCGGACCTGATGTCATCGGGCCAGATGTTGGGATCGGGGAGCTGATGGTCTCAAGTTTCATGGCTGGCGACATTGTCTTGACTGGTCCCCCGTACGCCGCCCAAGATGCTGAGCCACCCGAGAGAGGCCGAGGACTTGGTCCCGACTCTGCATGGTGCTGATGGTGTCCGGAACCCATGTATGCCGTTGCCATCAAGGGGTCGGCAGCACTAGCTGAAGACGCGGAGACGGGTGTAGGGGGCAAAGTCGGGTATGAGCTGCTAACACTAGCTGGTGGCGGAAAATTGCCGGACGACGGGGCGCTATACTTGGAGATGATCTTCATTAACGCCTGGCTCAGGACCTTCCATGGAAACACCTTGACGTCTTTCTCAATGTTTCGTGGCTTTGGGTTCCCAAACCCCATGATAAGTTTGAAAAACTCTTCGCTGTCGAACTTAGATTTGCTGACCGTCAACGGGTGGAATCCCTCGAGGTTTCTGCGTATGCGGTTTTTCTCGTCCACCGCGAACTTCTTGGGTGCAGCAACAAGCTGCTCCAGCAAGTGAATTGTGTCGACCGACGTGACAAAACAGTCATTCTTTTCCTGCCACCATATGCAACTGATGCAGATGCTACCTGGAGGCCGTTCGGAGACGCTCACGGGCTTGAAGCTGGTTGTGAGCACGTTTCCATTCTGCTGCTTCTTGAAGAGGACGATTCTGCGCCTGTTCTCCCACTCCTCGTGCGTCCAGTTCTCTTTCATGCTCTCAAGGTCACCAACGATGTTGAGCGAGGCTTTCGTCTGGAACAAGATATATGGGTTGTAACCCGATGGCCCTGCATTTGGAGACTGGGAGATGGTGCTCGTCCGGACTAGCTGGGGAGTCGATGAATTCGAGTGGTGGATAGGATTCAAGCTTGGCCGTGCAAGTCCATTGCTGTGTGCTGGAACAGCCCTTGCAGAGCTCTGGATCGTGTCCATGTGGTTCCCAAAGGGCGACCATGGTGATCCATGCGGTGATCGCAGTAGAGGTGCACGAGAGTATTGATCCGTATAGGATGGAGGCTCAGTGCGGTATGGCCCCAACATGCTGCTTCCTTGGCTGAAGGCGAAGTCGGGTTGAACATGCGCATGTGCCTGCGAGGCTGCCGACGTGGCGGCCGAGACGACAGGTGGGAAACCATATGTATTTGTATCTGAGTCGCTAGGAAGCCCGTGGTGAGAAGGCAGGCTGGCAGTCTTGGTGTCCACCTTTAGGGTTTGGTTAGGTGGGCTGGGGCGCGGGACAGGTGACCGTGTCCTGGGTGACTCTAGGTCCGGAGTGCTGGTGTCAGCAGAGCCCCCAACTACCACACTACCCGCGGCTGCACCGTGTCCACCGTGGTATGAGAACACGCCAGCGCTGTTAACTCGTGCGACTTCCTCGCCGTTGGTGCCCTCGACCAGCAATGTCAAGGGCACGTTGCTGAGCGAAGGGCAACTTGTCGTCTGAAACTGGGGAGCCTCAGCGGTAACAGTGTAGGTGCAAGCACTATTACCATCCCTAGAACCCCTCGTCACTTGGGCTGGGCATCGCTGCGACCCGAAAAGGACCGAAACAAAGGGGTCGTGTGCTGATATGGCCCCAGAGGCGAGATCGTACTGGCTCCTCACTTTGAGGGTTATCTTGGTGCCGTAGGATCCGCTACTGGGCTGACATGAAATGACATCAAGGGCAGGCCCAGAGGCCGTTTGAGGACCAAGGTACTGTCCAGTCGCCGTATTGTTTGCGGCAAATGCCATCTGATTCATCTGCGATGCTGCATTTTCGCTCGAGAAGGTCTGAGACGAATATGGCGGGTAGGAGGAATCTGCGTACCCTACACGACAAGTTAACTATCCGGACGGTGCAAGAAGCCGCTAAGCGACCAGACCCAAAGCAGCCCATGATTTTCAATTCGAAATCTTTCCAGTAATGGCGGGGTCAGGTTGACGTACCGTGCAGCTGGGACGGCTGAGCCTTGTACGACATGGGCAGGAGACCGGTAGGGGAACCCCCGCAAAGGTCTCCTCCGTTCCGCGCAGCTTCTTCCTCAAGCCTGATAGTCAGCGTCTCGGGCGATTCGACCTGTTCGTCAACGATTATCGTCCGCCGTGTGCGGTAGCCGGGCTATGGAGCAAAAACAAATACGTCAGTCTAGGTTCGGACGGTCTAGCGTAGATTTCCTACTCCATAATCATCTTGACTAGAAAAAGCCATGCCAGTGACGGGCTTGGGGATTCAGATAAATACAAGATGGCTGATCATCAAGCACCTAGCCGGCACTTCTGGTGCAGGCCGGGCTCGACAGAGAGAGCAGTGGATTGCAGCACGGAACCGCATGTTCGGATGAGCACTTTTCTATCTTACCTCGAACACCTTGTAAGCCGGCTGGTCGAACCTGGCCACAGACATTCAAACTGATTTGAACTAGGAAAGTCTGCCGAGGTTGGGAAAACTTATCGACAGCGAAGCCGTCAAAGTAGAAGCTATTCGTTGCCAAAAGGTCGACGTCAACGTAGGAGACGTCCTCGCAGTCGCTTTCGGGCTGTCCCAGCAAGTGGGCGAAGAGGCTACGAAAACGAACAAGATTAAGCTTCAAGAATATTTCCTCTGTGCAACAACTGTTAGTGGGGAACCGAATTTCTTCCGGGTGTCACTTAGGGTCCGAGGCAGAGGAGACAGATGGCAAATGGTATGGGCGTCCCCCAGACAGTGATCCAGAGCGGGACGAAACGGAACGGGGCTCACCTTCAGTGCGCACACGGCCGGAAACCTGTCGCTAAATTACTTGTCGGCCGGCCACAAATCGAACTGCTGTTGATCTGGTTGTCGATCTAAGCGAAATTGCCCCGAGCTTGGTCGCGATGTGGACGACCTTAAGTTCAGATGGCGGATTCTTTGACAAGGCTTTCTTGGCACCGGCAGGTTAGGGGCTCGGCCTAGTTTTGCAGCTGCGGCAGCACCACGAACCAACTTCTGAACCGAGTACCAGATTCCGCTGCGCAGACCCCCTCGTCGATGTTGGCCAGGTCAAAGAAAGAAGTTCAGAGGTGCTTCTGAGCCTGTCAATTGTCGGTCAGCTTGAATTTGGATGACTAACTAAGTAGGCGGGATTGCATGAGCAGCCCTAGGGCCTGGTGAAAACAAAGCACCGGTTTCCCCTGCCGACCCATGTGGGTGAAGTTTGGGAAGCCGGTGGGCTGGCGAAGCTTGGGGCATGGGAAGGCTCTTACTCTCTCGCCGATTTGGCACAAAGGTGTTGCCAGTCAAGTCCCAGCTTTTGCTTTCGGTCTTGTGGGCAATGAGATGCGATGTGGTCGATGCAGCTATCCCGAACCTGTTCGCATGGTGAAACGTCAGGAACGTCTGCAATCAGAAGAAGCAAGTATCCGCGAACTGTTGGTCCGCTGATGGCATAGGACGCGGCGGAATACAGCGGTAGACAACAAGGCAACAAGAGATTCAAGACAAGATCCAAACACTACGTTTCCAAATGTTTTAGTTTGGGGGAAGGAAGTTGGGAAAGGCCAGCCGTGGAAGAACTAAGACGATGGATGCTGCCGGTGAAGACGAAGCTGGGCAGGAAGGCAGAAGATAATGACACGGACCAGTAGCTTGCATTTCTTAGGAGGGTTGGTGTGTTGCCGAGATGGCCGCCAGAGACCGGGAAAGGAATGATGCTGTTTGAGACCTGGAGAGGCGCATCAGCCGGCAGACGAGACGCGCATCGCCAGTTTCCCCGCCTTGGTTGGGCCTTCACACCCTCTCCAGCCAACACCAACCTTTGGTGCGTCTCGTCTTGCGAAAGAGATAAACACCGAAAAGTGGAGGGCTTCGTCCTAGTCCTGCCCTCTCTGCTCGTCGTCCTAATTCTGGTCTCTTGATCTTGTCGAGATCGCAGGTGACAACCTCCGGCAGAAGGGTAGGATGTAGCGCGAGACAAGCAAGGATTGCAACTGATCCGGCCGTTGAATGCAAGATCATTGTCTCTCAGGCGACGCGGATCATGCAGAGGGACATTGGAGGGAGGGGCGGACCCCAATGGGGGTGGTGTCAGGCTGCAAGGATGGACAACGGTTTTTCGGCGGGAGCCAGGAGTTTCAGGGCGGAAGAGCCCCAACAGTCTCCAGCGTTTGCTGGTAGGTTCTGACGACGCAGGCGAGCCAGTGGAAGGAGGGAAGCAAGTGCTGGAGTCCACCATGGGCCGCGCAGCGATCGACGGCAGGGGCGCGGGCTCGGACCAGCCAAGATATGCTTGACAAAACAAAGAGAAAAAAGACCGATACGGAGTGCGAAGCCCAGACCAGGAAAAGCAGAAGGTGGATGGGATGGGATGCTCAAGACAGGGATGACAACAAGCGGGTATGTGGGTGCTAGGGATGTCACTTACAGGGTGGGTGTGTGTGGTGTAAGTGAACGGGGTGGCTTCCCAGATTGCAACGAGAAACACCCGTGGGGTGTGCGCAGGAGCCGTCGGGGAACTGGCGAAGGGGGGCGGGCCTGCCGAATGAACGCGCTGGGAATGGTCGCTCTTGGAGAGGGAAAAATTCTCTGCGCAGGGGGTGGCCTGCGAAAGCCCTGTCAGCGGCGGCCACTATTGGACTAACAGCAGACGGCGCCTGAAAGGCCTGCACTCACAGGGGGGGAAGAGATCTCCCTCCGCGAATCTTGGATCCCAGATCAGCTGCGCAACAGGCCAACAGCAGGCAACGCAACCCTAACGCCTGTCTTGACCCCTGTGATCGAAAATGCGACCTCTGCTCGTCGTCCGGCACTTCCACGGCCCTCAGTCAAGCTGCTGGCGGCGATCCGTCGGATCCTGGCCGCCTGTCGCCCTGGGAAGCTCGGGCAAATACGGAGTGCCGGTCGCAGATCAGCCGACACGCAGCAGCCGGGGTAGCTCTCCACTGAAGGGGTGGTTCGTAGCGGATGTGCAAGGCCAAGCATGCAGCAGCAGCAGCGCGGTGCAAAAGCTCTGGAATTCTGCCACCTGACTGGTCAGAACGTTGCCACCGTGATGTGTTATCCAACAAGAGCTAGCCATGCTATGGTCGGATACATCGCGGGACTACCGCAGCAATGCACTGGGAAGGAATGAAGATGAGAGAGCTTCTTCTGCGTGAGCCGTCCGTCCTAGTCCATGCGGCCAGGCTTGGGAGCGTCTTTCATAGATACCGGTTATCCCAGCTGACAGTTACGTCTTGAGAGGCCGTCGAAGCCCCTGCACCAGCCGCGCGTGTAATGGCGCACGGCCTGCCTGCCTGTCTGGCTGGCCGCCGCTCGCTCTCTCTGCATTTTCTCCTGGGCTGGCGCGCCTTGCATCTAATAGCTTGGGGGTTGGCGGCTGATGGGCTGCTAAAGCGCTCAAAGGTTGGGGCTTTGACCTCTGGGCGGGAGCTGGGAGCTGGGACTCGAGCTACCCACCCGCCACCTTGACAAGTGCAGCTGAGGTGAGGTGTGGGAAGGCATGGAACTTCGTAATGAAACCGGAGCTTACCAACCGCAAAATGCCACGAAATCTTCTCAAACTTCTCAGGCCTCTCTCGTTGTCCTGTTTTCCTGTTTTCCGACAATTAAGACGGCCACTGCCACCTAGAAGCAACCGAAGCTGTTTATCTCGCTTGGTGCTTGGTGCTTTCGACGCGCATCGTCCGTGCAGGTGCAGTGGAGAGGAAGCTGTCTGTCCGTGCTGAGTGGGGCCGCGGAAGGTCGTTGGTGGACTTCGCTACTGTCTCGGTCCTGGGAAGGGAAGAGAAGGACGCTCGGAAACAATAGGCAAGGTCTAACACCTCGTCTAGTCTTGGAGAGTTGACTACCGTAGGCGCGTTTCTCGACAGAGCGTAACGGAGTCCTCGAAGCGAAGTTTCCGTGGAAGTTGAGCAAGAAAGAATGAAGGATCCGGGGCCAAGGCAAAGACAAAGTGAGAGCTTGTCTGCACCTATTGTACTTTGTAGATATGGATGCTCGGATGCGCACAGTCGAGGTCGGTCTCGAGCGCTAGGCAGAAAGTACGGATACCTAGAGATTGAGGTTATGATGGGTGAGGTGAAGGCAGATTGAGATTACTCCGGCCGTCCTAGAGACGCAGACGCGCGAGCGCATCACAGCATATACATTGACAACCGGAACCAAGAGGCCGAGCTGTCGTCGTCAGGGAGCCAGGTTATTCTTGGCCAAAGGCAGCCACGGTTGCAGAGAACTTACAGCCGCGTCCGGTACCTCGATTGACCAAGCGGGTGTGGGAAGGTGCAGGCCGTCAGTCGGTATTGTCAAAGTACCTTCCGTAGATCTTGCGGAAGCCATCACGGACGCCTGTCCCTGGGCGCGCATGTTTCTCCCAGGGATCCAGCATCATGGGAGGAGAGAAAGGTGCAAAAACTGCAGATGCCTGCTGGGAATCGAGGCTGGTGTGGTTAAACAGAGAATATTGCTTTGTGAACAGATACGGACGTAGTCGCCGTTGATGGCAAGCCGACCACGATACACAGGCAGGCAGGCGCTGGCTCCTCCCACTGTCGGTCGCCCGCTGGAGAGAGTGGAGAAGCAGCCTTCAGTACTGTATGTACATACTGTAGGTAGGCGTACTAGCCTCGGAGGCCAGGGTTCAGGGGTCCCCGATGACGGGCAATCTTGATCGAGCCCGAGCCCGGCGTCGGCCAGCCCAGAACTCCCGGCCACCATGGTAAAATCGCGCCTTGCTGCTGTGCATCGCGAGGGTGCTTGCCTGACATGAAGTCTCCTCAAGTTGTCTGTCGCTGCGCTGCGGTTTTTTTGCGGGCTGGCACTCTGCTCTGACCATTTCCAGGATGCAGTTGCCCTGCCCGAGCCTGGTGGATGCATATCGCCGAAGGGGGAAAGTGCAAGCGGTGTATGTGCAGTGGCCCTCCAGCTGGTACGGATACGGTTGAAGGAGGGAAGGCGGGCCCATGACGGGAAATACAGAATAAATGCACTTTGAGCTGTACAGTACTCTCCGCTTTTCAATGCTGCCCGCTTTTCAGTGCTGCATGCCCGGGTGTCTGTGGGTATGTACGAGTACCTTACTTCGTAAGGATGCGCCTCAGTATTCGTATGGACAATACGAATGTGGTACTCGACAGCCATAGCGCTATTTGTAGGAGGTCTCTTATCTGGAAAACACTCGGAATCCAACGATAGACGGAATCGGATTGCTTGAACCTTCAAGGTTTGGACGCCTTCAGCTGAATGAAGATGCTGGTTCCCATTGGCTGTCCGCTGCTTTGCTCGCGCCTTCCAGCTCTGTAAAATTGCTCGCAACAGCCCACTGGCTGGCGTTCCCGAGGTCGAGGTGCCCCATAATGGCCTGAGGCAACCTCGCACCTCCCGTCTGCGTCTTATTTCCAGTTCGCACTGCCCTGTCTACACAAGTGCAACAACGCGACAGAAATCTCGATTGAGTCAACCTTTCTTGCCCATAACGTCGGCCTTCCAGACCTCCTGTCCGTCGAATACCAAGAAATTTTGACGACGAGTGCAGGTATGTATGTATTGTACGGACATACACAGCGCATTGTTGCGGCGTCCCCGACGCAACGGGAGGTAATTGGATGCAATGGCCCAGACAGACGCTCTTTCCTTTGCTCCGGACAATATGGAAGTATCCGTACGAAGTACTCCTCAGCTCGACTGGCCTGGAATCCAGACGCTCGCCTCGCCTTGACTTGCATCGCCGGCAATGTCCAGGTAGCTACGGAGTAAATGCAGCTGGATTGCCCTTCTCTACCTGCAGGCGTACTGGAAAGCTGTCGTCGAAATTATTGCCACGACAAGGAGTACTGTACGGCCGTACGAGCACGGGCAAGCTGCTTCACTTAGCTCCCAATCTTGACGGCTCCCCGCCATCTGCGCCCACCTTCAAGGATGGAGCTTTTCGTCAAAATGTTAGGTAGCGGCATGCGCGCGCGCTCTCAGTCTCGCCCATTCCGGTTTTCGTGTCACAGCGCCGCTCCTCTCACCCTGTGTGCCATGACCAGCCTCGCACAAGCCTGTGGGGAGTCGACCTGTAGGCCAGTCAGGGCTGCTGCACAATCTGCAATCTCAATCTCACCATGTCGGGACCGTTCTCTGGTGCGTGCTCCCCGAGCCAGCCTGCGATTTCCGGCGATAATGACAGTCTGCTGTTCTGAATGGTAACAATGCATACATACCATGGTACGGACATTCGAGCACGGTATGGAGTACTTTGTATATTGCCTAACAATGTATCCGTAAGTTCGTACATATATAGTACATGCAGTATGGAGCTCCTCCATGGTACCAAACCCGTCTGGCTGGGCAGGTGAAGTATTCGTACACCGAGGTCAGATCTCGGCAGTCAATCCCGGCACAGGAGATGCCGTGTCCCCTTTCCAGCCAGCCGAGGACGGAGTCCAAAGACACCTAGGTTCAACTTGCCAAGTCCCCAAACATTCTCCTCCTCAACATCACCTACGGCAAAGGAGCGAGCCGTCAACTGGAGCTCAAAGTTTTACGCCTTGGTTTGGCAGTCAGGCGGGTGTCAAGATACTCTGCGGTAAAAGCGTTGAAGACCCGACGCTGCGGTACGAGCTGGACGCCTCATGCTGAGCGATGCTTGTGGCACAGGGGGCTCAAGCGGGGGAGAGTGAGTCGGCGCCCAGGGTTGACCTTTCAGCCATTGCACCATGGCACGGCACTACATTCCTGCGGGCAGTCAACATTAGCTCTCGGTCTGAGCCGAGAAAGGCTTCCATCTTTGGAGCAGCTCCAAGCTTCAATTGGAAGCCGAGGTATGTGCAGGGCAGTCAGCACCTACGGAATATCAGCACCCCAGCTGGCCTGAACAGGGTCCATCCCATTGCGGCCCGAGGATCTGGTTCTCCAAGTTCCCGCACTGCATGCACGAGAGACAGGGACTCAAAACCCCTGTCCCCATCGCTCCTCCGCCATAACAAACTGGCCGCATAATTACCCAACCTTGATCACCTCACTCCTTCGCAAACGAGCCTTCAACCGACGACCAAGCCTGTTCCGTGTCGGAAAATAGGCGCATGCATTGCCATACGGCCACAAGGGCCGCATTGGACTCGGGTGACAAACAGAGAACGTGTTGAGACAACGTGCTCCCCCTTCAGATCATGCGCGATTGCTACAATTGTTTTTCCCTTGCTAGCAAATTTACCGTTGTGCCAAGTCTACTATACAGTTTCCGCAGCCCTTCATAAACCCCAGCAGGGGTTGTGCCTCTTGTTGTATTTCGACATTAAGTTGCAACATATTCGCCTATGGCTCCCAGCATGGATTCACCTTCTGAGACGGGCTACAAGGACATGTTCTCACCCTTCCCCCACTGATTCGGATCGCATGTCTTCTCTGCTATGGCTAGCCTATCCTTAAAAATATTTCAGCGACGCCCATGTGGGAGCT